ATAACTGAAATATTAACGACCAGAACGTCTTCCTTTAAGTTTTCTGACATTTTCTAAGCGGTGAGGTATGGAATGTAAGAGGTCCCAAAGCGTGTCTTAAGTCACATTTTTCCAGGTGAAGCCTGGTCACTGTCTTAACTCGTCTAATGTTTTGTGGGGGCTAGGTCTTTGTAAGTCGTGTCGTCAACGATAATCCAGATGGTCTCTAGGTGGTCCACATCATGTGAGTTTACCGGCCGGTCGTCCTTTCGGTATAAAGTTTGCAAATCCTTCTGACATCATATTTGTATGAAGTGTGCACCACCGTTTTGGCTGTTCAAGGCTTTCCAACCTTTGTTGGTCATATAGCTCCATACCGTTGTGCTCAGAACTTTGATATTGTGAAGCTGAAGTTTTTTACCTTTCTGTCTTGTGGAATTATTACGCATATAGCTTTTTCGCTAACATTTCTCACACAGTTTGTAAAAAAAAACCGGCCATCCACTCTTTGGTTTGTCTTCTAAAGTCTTTACTTTCGACCAGTTGTTCACTCATCATTCAGACAATTTTTTTGACTGATTGGCCAGAAGACCGTAAGAAAAAAAGATGCCTGAGCTGTAGCACAAACATTGTAAGCCTTCATTTCCGAGAAGGAGTTAAGAAAATAAAAGAAAACGGTAAAAAATACGAAAGTAGAAAACCTACAATGTGCTGGAACCTTGGCTCCATCACTTAGTGACGTTTTTAATGCGTCTCTTGCATCAGACATGTTACCACACAATTGGAAATTGGCTGACATTACTCCTTTGCATAAGAAAGGTGCTAAAAGCGATCGAAAGAACTATCGCCCTGTCTCACTAACATCCGTGGTGTGTAAAGTGTGTGAAATGATAGTAAGACAGCAGCTTGTTCAGTTTTGGATTTCAAACGAGGTCTTTATTCCGGAGCAGTTTGGCTTCCTGAAAGGGAAATCTTGTCTTTCTCAATTCTTATCATCGTTTCACGATTGGGCCAGCGGGAGAAACAAAGGCTTGACAACTGATGTTATATTTTTAGACCTTTCAAAAGCTTTTGACTCAGTGCCACATGAACGCCTTTTGACAAAGATACACGCATATGGTATCCAAGGTCCGCTCGTGTCTTGGCTTAGAAGTTTTCTCACCAATCGATACCAGGGCGTTGTTCTGCGGGGACATTACTCATCTTGGACTTCCGTTTTGTCTGGTGTACCCCAAGGAACTGTGCTGGGACTCATTTTATTTTTAATTTATATTAATGATATTTCAAGAAACATTATGTCAAGCACAAAACTTTTTGCAGATGATATGAAATTGTATAGGTTACTCAGGGATACTAAGGAAGATGTTGAAGAGCTACAGAAAGATCTTATTCGCCTGGAATCTTGGAGCCATGTCTGGCAGCTGAAATTTAACACAGATAAATTCGAAGCGATGCGCATTTCTAAAAAAAATGATTACTCAAGTCCTCAATACCATCTATGTGGTAACCAATTAATAGCTGTATCTGAAGTTAAGGATCTCGGAATCTATATTACTTCGAACCTGTCATGGAGTATGCAAGCTAACAAATGCGCAAATAAGGCAAATAGTGTGCTTGGATTCATTAGGCGAACGGTGGGTCCTAAAAATCCTCAGTTGTTTTCAAAACTTTATAAGAGTCTAGTACGTCCGATACTCGAGTACTGCTCTCCAGTTTGGTGTCCGCACCTTAAAAAAGACTTAAACACCTTGGAGAAAGTACAACGTAGAGCATCTAAATGCGCCCTTGGAAATATTGGGCAAGACATGCCTTACGAAGAACGCCTAAAGCTCCTTAAATGGCCATCACTTGAACAAAGAAGATTATTTTCGTCGCTTATCGAGTGTTATAAGACAATAAATAGACTTAATGGACTTGATCCCTCGGCATTTTTCACATTTGCACATGATTTTCGGCCCTTAAGAGCCAACCATCGTTTTAAACTTAAGCTTACATCAGCAACTTTAAATAGTTTTACACATTCTTTTTTTATACGCATAATAGATAAGTGGAACAATCTTCCAAAGGAAGTTGCTGAGGCGGAGAATTTGAATATTTTCAAGAGCAGACTGAGACGTTATCTTACAGATTTTCCTAGTGAACACTAAGTTCTTTTACTGTGTGATGTTTTATATACATATATAGTTACTATTTTAAACAGTTGTAAATAATTTATTTCTTAATGTATTTTATTATCAGGAGAAAAACTAGAAAGGGATAACCTCTTTTATCTCCTTTTCACTTTCCGATTTGGATTTGTGAATAAACAGTTATTATTATTATTATTATTACAAAATGGGCAGAAAAATATGGCGGGAAAAACCACGCGAAAGTCAAAATTTGGGGCAAAAATTAAGAAATATTATACTTTCTTCAAATTTTAGTTTCAAATTGCTTTGAACGGTTATTTTGATAAATGTCTTACCTGAATCAGTTTACATTTGCCTAAAGAAGCATTAAATGCTCTACGCAAAATACAATTTACAATCGAAACGAACTTTTGAAACACCCCGTACTTTTTACACGGAATAAATGTTGTTAAAAAAATATGAAATGGCAAACTGATCCTTATGGCAAGGCGATGAAGAAGTAAACAAAAAATAAAACAAAAAATATATATATTTAAACAAATTGGCCGATATTTCGGTTTGAAAACAAGCCTTCTGCAGGGGCGAAAAGAAAAATGAAAATAAAACTAAAAGTTCGTTAGAAATGAGAATTTGAAAATCTGACAATAAAATGGATTGTTATTGGTACATAGGAGACTAGTTGGTATCATTTATCAGTGAGCTTCGTCACGTCTATTTATTCCTACTTTAATTTATTCCTACTTGGCATGAACAATTCTTCCTTTAACAATGAGCATTTCATACAAATTCACGGAACTGCAATGGGAACTCGTATGGCACCTCGTAGGCAAACCTATTCATGGGCAAATTTGAACGACACGCAATCGACAACGCCCCCTCCAAGCCCTTAATTTGGCGTAGATTCAAAGAAAACATCTTCATGGTTTGCAACCATCCACGCTGTCTTACCTGACCCTTCCTCCAGGAAGGCCAAACAAATTACATTTTTACCGCAACCAATGAACAAAGAAAAATCATTGACCCCTTATCCTGCAAATCCAAAAAACTTATCTACTTAATGCAACAAATGTAAATGCCAGTACCAAACGCCAACTAAATGAACGATTTGGAGAACACCGCCGATCCATCTTGACCACCAACAAGTCAGTGATCCCACTCCTGTCTCCTTAAATTTTAATCGAGCTGGACATTCAATCAACGACGTCATTCTAATCCCACTTGAACTCATACGTGGCAACCGTGATGCAGTGAGAAAGGCTCGAGCTCATTTAATACACAAAGGGAACACAATATCTCCTCTAGAAATAAATAGACGCGACGAAGCTCAATGATATATGATACCAACTAGTCTCCTATGCACCAATAACAATCTATTGTCTTTATTGTCACATTTTCAAATTCCTATTCGTAAAGAACTTTTAGTTTTATTTTCATTTTTCTTTTGGCCCCTGAAGAAGGTTTGTTTTCAAACCGAAATATTCTCCAATTTGTTTAAATATATATATTTTTGTCGTATTCTTTTGTTTACTTTTTCATCGCCTTGCCGTAAGGATCAGTTTGCCGTTTCATATGTTTCTAAGAGGTTAATTGCACTCATCCAGGTCTACAACCGCGAGATCCGGCACCACTCATTGGTTTGTTGCTGTGGACTTGCTTACATTTTATATATTTTTAAATGTTGCTAGTGTGAGTGTATAACGCAAACCAAAAATTACTTTGTTTATACGACTTAAAAACAAGGGACAGCACGGTTATGACCTTCGGACCTCTGGGTTATGTCGCCACTCTGCCGAGAGATAAGGTTTGTTTTTGTAATGTGAAACAAAAAAAGGCATTGCTCTGCTCGGCGGGGAATCGAACCCCGGTCTCCCGCATGACAAGCAGGGATACTTATTCATTATACTAACAAGAATCTCAGACGAATACTTTTTTCATGGGAATAAGTTATGCGCATGCGTGGTAGCGTCCTGTGTCCCACATGCCTACCACGGACAATTGGTCATCAAATACAAATCCTATCTGATCAAGTATTCAACAGATGTCCGATGCATTCCCGACCCTTTCTTTTATATCCCTGACCATAGCCCGACGTTTATCCGACTAAAGCTCGAATATATCCCGACTATAACACGACTCCAAACCCTAACCTCTTACTATAAAACAAACCACACGCGATTCTTGATCATGTGACATCCCTCCACGCGCGGTCCCACGCGCGTCCGTCAGGTCCAGACTTTACTCGACCCAGGACCACGCGGTCAAAAAAAGGCTTATGCCCTAATAACTCTTGCAACGGACCCATACCCTACTCATATTGCGCCACATAAGCAAGCAAATTGCTCTTGTATCTCGATATTCCCTCTTATTTTGAAGCTACTGGTCCAAATTGTGTTAAGAAGGAATCCATCAGAGAATTGGGTAATTTTAATTTTCAGTGGACCAAAACCTTGTACCAGAATAATTTAAATATATCGCTTTCTTTTTTACATTTTCCAAAGTCTATAAATGTAAGTAGTTATCTGTAACAACAACAAAGAAAATTTCTCATGAGAGCCCGAGAAAACATATGTCAAATTTCACAAAATGCCACCTTACCCATGAAATTTTTTGAATTTTACCTGTTCTTTCACATGTACAGTTCTTGTGAAACTATATCTATAGCCGTTGGAAAAAGGTTAAAAAGAATACGATATTGTATAAATTATTCTGGTACAAGGTTTTTGTCCACTGAAAATTGAAATTACTCAAATTACTGATGATTCCGTCTTAATGTTTTCTGTAAAATACCTTTTATGAATTTAATCTTGGCATGCTTTCCTCAGCGACCTTTCTACAATCGTAGCCGAAACATCTGGGACACTTAGTCTTTTATACATGAACATAGCCATTCGAGGGGGAGGGGGAACCTCTGGTTAATTAAGCTGTATTCCATACCAATAAGGGGAGAAAACGGAGAAGTCCAGTGTAGATCGTTGGAAAGAACAAATAGTAATGCGTGGACCATTCAGCAAATTTCATAAACACATTGAAATAAATTGAAGTTTACAAAGATGTCTTCATGAACAACACTACAAAGGGATAGATGTCAGTAGCCCTGGCATAATCCAGCAAATTGTTACTGATTGTAATCTAACGGTTGCCAGCAAAGTCACTGCCTTCGCTACAGCGACACTGGAAGTTTTTGCATCTTGAGCACAAGTCATAGCAGAACAAGCTGATAATCATTTGATGTTGGTCGACGCAACTGAGGGGCCATTATTCCCTTTTGATGGAGGAAAGACCAAAACTATGATTTCATTTCTGACGCTACTTTGTCCATGATTTCTAGTAATATGTCCGCATGGCGAGGCAAAAAAGTCAAAGTTGGTCTGAAGCGAATGCTTACCGCGCCACAACCTCCTCCTAACTCCACACCTAGAACACATACAAAAATAATAACAACAATAATAATAATAATAATAATAATAATAATAATAATAATGATAATGATAATGATAATAATAATAATAATAATGAAGATGAACTTGACGCCGGATTTAACATTGAAATAACGATGGAAATAAACAATGAAGGCTCTGTGTTGTAATTCACCTTGCTGTGTAACAACATTCAGCGACGTTTCTGCCATTTTTGTCTCTGAGATTAAAACCCTTTCAACGAAAGCTTTGAAACTTAAAACGTCCTGAGGCCTAGAGTTTATCAAATGCTACTATTTTGAAAAGTATACTCCGTAGAATCATGTGTAATTTCTATTTTGCCTGCCCAGCGAGCTTCGTTTGTTAAAGTAGCTCTTCTATAAAGCCTTTGGCAATTTTGATCCACTAGATTGAATTGATCTTTCGCCGAAGAAAATCTCTACTGGCGACTGGGCTCGAAATTTCAATTCCAGGGAGCACAAACTCCCTGAATTGTAATTGTACTCCAATCCGGCCTATTACCATAAAATATGTAAATTTACATAAGAAAACATATATTGATGCTACTGCTTGTTATGTTAACTGACGTTCACACAAGGGTGTACCCTACGACGCAGATACCAAAGGTAGCCTTTTAAAGGGCTAAAAAATGATAACAAACCACTTACCATTTGCTTTCATTCTAGAAATAAACTCTGCACGAGTGCCTTCATCCGCGCAGTCAATCGCACAAAATGTACCAACCCCTCGAGAGCGGGAAAATAACCTAGGGTGTTTGTCCTAAAGAAGAAAGAAAATTACTCTCAAATAAGAATTTACATCATCAAGACTAAATGCAGTACCCACCCCAGAGTAGGAGCCTGATTTTGTATGCCGAGAGGTTTAGCGCAGTACAAAAAGGACTTTGGCGATGGGATCGTAATTGATTCGCATCTACACAATACATTGTTTGGGGTTTCTGATAAGATCACTAAATGTTTCAGCGGAATTAACTTTCAACAGGTGAACAATATAATACAGTGGAACCTCTATTAAGCGGACACCTTTGGGACCTTCCCAAGTGTTCGCTTAATAGAGGTTTGTAAAAATTGCGCAATGTTTGTTAGCAATTAACTTTCAACGGTTACTTTGTACTGTGATAAAGTTCCACGTTGTTAAGGAAGCTAAGGAAGCTGTGCTGTACTTTGTGCAAGACTTTCGGTCTAATCTGTAGATTATTGACAGCTAAATGTGTTGATTAATATTTATTAATCGACTACAGTACGCATTTCAAGGACGTAATCTAATACTACTATTGTCAATTCAGTCCGGTGTCCGCGCGTCCGCTTAATAGAGGTGTCCGCTGAATAGGGGTTTGTTATGAAGAGAAATATATAACAATTATTCACCGAGGTGGAGGTGGCTAGTGGTGTTTACCGAGGCCGCGAAGCGGCGAGGTGAATAACCACCACTAGCCACCGACACTGAGGTGAATAATTGTTTTAGTATATACTAAAACAGTGAGATAATTGAGCACAAAAATGATTTTCAACTCATTTACTGTTGCCAACGATTACAATTTTGGCGCAAAATGACCGAACGGCCACGGTGGTCGCTTTTTCTTGCCAAAATTTCTTCAAAGGGAGTTGTGAATTCTTTTTCTATTGAAAATCATTCTGTAAAAAAGGTTATCAAATTTTCTTTTAAGCTTATTTATAAACAAGTCAACCTAATAAAATAACACAAGACTTAATTTGGCTTAATTTGCATTTGTAAACAAAAAACTTTTTCAACCGGTTTTATCGATAAATTCAAGTAAAAAAGACAAAGCTTTACCTGTTACAACTTCCAAACCGAACTTCGAAACCTTCTTCGTGTATTTCGGGAACAGCTTGCTTAATTAGTTGTGAAATTTGTTTGTTTGTTACGGAAGCAAACCGGGAAGGCATTTCGCTCGCAACTTACGCGAGTTTGGTGTCGCTCGCTCGGAGGAACTGGAGGTGAATCAGTGAATAGTGCAGGATATTTACTTATTGAGTAGCCAATCAGAGCGCGTGAAAAACACTATCCACTGTTTTAATATATACTAAAAGACGTTAATTTCGGCACCCGGCTTAGTGTCCGCTTAATAGAGGGTGTCCGCTTAATTGGGGGCCCGCTTAATAGAGGTTTCACTGTATATCAACATATAAAATATCTATGAAGAAAACAAAATCAATTAAGCCAGGGCCACCCCGCAAACTACAGTTTTCAACAGTAATTTTTGCTAACCCAACAGACGTCAATCTCTAGTCATCTCACCTTACCCCCACAACCTTCAGTAGAGTACAATACTACCAAACCTAAAGAAGTATCGTTGGTATCTATACTCCAGAAACTGACAAAACGGCTTAATAGTAGCTAAGATAGAAAACTCCGATTAAACCGCAAGCTTCAGTATTGAAAAGCCACTCACCTGTAAGGAAAGCCAAAATACCACAAAATCACCCATTTAAGAGCGAGTATACATAAAAGCGGTCCGGCCAATGTGGCTAAAAAAATAGATTTTGCTCATTTCCTGAATACTGAAAGACTTTCATGTCCTAATACTAAAACCACAACCCGCTTGATCGGATCTTTAAAATTTATCGAGTTATGAGAGATTTTCTGATCACCCCAGCGAACAATCGTGGCGACCAATATCGATGCTCAAATTTAAGGAAACATTGGAGGTCGATTTACGAAAAATGTCAGGTCCTTTATAAAACAAACACACAAACCGGTTAAACTGGGTCCAGGTGGTGTCCGTACTACGATCGCTAAGCATCATGGGCGGTATTCAAAATCTGATCATTTGTGTCAAGATGACGTGGAGTGAACATCTCGACTGCGGAGTGAATATTCGTTAATTACGCTGTAGATATATACGAGTTTGCTTTGAATCTCTTCCGGAAGCTCTTGAAAAAGAAAGTCCAATTCTCAGGGAAAAAACAGTCTCATTCCGTTGATAAGTGTATTCTGGTGTATTTTGTTCGTAATCACTTACATCCTGTTTGCAACTGACCGAGAAAAGTCGGCACAGAAACGCTTTGTTCAATTCTTCAATCATGAAAAGCACTGGAGGTAAGACCCGCGGTTCGCCGAAAATTTTGAATTCACTGTGAAATCAGTGCAACTAGTGCTAAGAGGTACTGATATGCATAGCTGTGATATACTCATAAAATACTAGGAGCTTCTTCAGAATACCCGACCACGGTATTTAAAGACAGTGAGTTTATTTTGTTTTGTCATTCAGCTGTAATAAGAGAATCGAAGTTGAGGGGGTCATCTTTTCAAGGACTTGTTTCTCTGTTTGCACCAAGTCTGCATTTCGTTTTGCTTAACATCTGTATTTATCATCGCATGAAGACAAGTAAATAAAGTAGAGAGTATTTGTGTACAATGAACTTGTGTCCTCTTTATAGATAATATAATATTGAGCATCTTTATTTGCCCATATATTTTCTATTGGTATGAGTCATAGAATGTCTTATAACTGGATTGAAACTGAAAATGGCATATTTGTGATTACCAAGCCTGATGCAGTCAATAGATTTTAAAAGCTTCAGCCACTAGTTGTTTAATGATTGTGTCAGTATGTACAAACACATGTTATCACATATTTTTCTGGATTATAAAAACTCTTCAAAATGTGAAATTCATACATGTTTACAAGTCTCCTGTAATCAGGGCTGGGACAACATAGCTTGAGACCCCTTTCCTTTCTCCTCACCCCAATTTTATAATTTAAATATGGTGTCATAGGTCTCATCATACTCACAGTCAACTCTGTTATACAGACACTGAGGGGACCATAGAAATTGTCCATCTTCATTTAGAGAAAATTTAAGGGCTTTTTTCCAGGGAAAAAAGCAAGCTGTCTATAATGATGAGCAAGGCTGTGCTCTAAGGAACATTGAAAGGAACCCAGTTCTCTGAACCTGTAAAATCTAGGCTGCCCAGCATATGATATGAAAAGTCTGAGATTTTCTAGTCACCCAAAAGCAAAACTTAGGTGCCAGGGGCCACAGGGCTCTGCTAGAGCACAGCCTTGATCATGTGTCTGTATGAAGTGGTTGTCCGTAAAGAGGGCTTTTGGGTTACCAATTATTGCAGAGGTGGATCCTAGTAGTACAGTAAAACCCCCTGACTTAGAACCTGAATTTTAAGAACCTGTTACGCTAAAATATGCCAGATGAGCTCCCTCTATATAAAAACCTGTTTAGCCCAAAATTTGAAACAGGTTCTTATTTTTGAAATCTATGAAAAAATTCTGTACACGTGAGCAGAGATAAATCAACATTTAGAATCTTCTTTGGAGACAAAGCTGTCTTATCACTCCAACTGCAATGTAAATGCCAATGTTTAAATTTAAATACCTTCCTCTTTTTATGTCCATTCTCACATAACTTCTAATTTGGTATGCAGACTTTATATGAGGAATAAGGTGAAACACAAATACTCTTAGCTACATTTTTTCTTCAGAAAATATGAACCCATTTAAAAACCTAAATAGCCTAAACGTGTGCTTACTTAGTTAATTCAGGTTCTTAGTCTCACGATTTAACTGCCCCATTGTTCCACTTTTTCCATTTCCTTTCCCTGTCACCATTTTTTCAGCCTTGGTTTTCCAATGTCAAAAGTACATTCAATGATCAAGCAATTTATATTTTAACTAAAGCCACCAAAATATGCAAATTGCTTGATATATATTAATTTTTTGTAAACGGGTAAACAGATTGAATGACATCACTTTGCCTGTGTAGCAGGCATTTCAAAGAAAAGGGAAAGTGGGTCTTGGTGCAAGAGAAATATGATGGAAGGAGGGAGGGAAATGCCTGCCATACAGGCGACTAATTTTTTTTTGCATCATATGCATCAACCAGGTGAATGTTGAAATCACTCTCTCCTTCCTCGTGCACTCTTCGCATTTCTCTTGTGCCCAAAACCCCTTTCCCTTTCCTTTTAAATGCTTGCTACAGAGGCTAATCACCACTGAATAAAACAGGGACTAGGCAAGAAACTGACAAAGTCATAACATCCACACAACAACACACACCAATCTTGGAAGTAGATTATGATTTTCAAGAGTGATGTGCATATTTCTCTGAATAAAGGTAAAGTGCAAGCTTGGTGGATGTTATGAAACTCTTCTTCTATACTGCACTATTCTTGCAATTCTCCCAAAAACCATTTTTCATAAAGGATGGCTGGTTTCAAAATGCACATGGCTTAACTGTATAATCAAACTTATCATTTAATTTAATACCTGTAATTCTCATCCTACTGATTTTATACCTATAAAGGGAATCACATGTATGACTGTAATTTTATTACGCTTTTTTAGTCCTATTACAGAAACAGATATTCCTACATCAGAGTACTCATCAGCCTATTTATATACCAATTTCGATTACAACAGTAACACTTCCAGTAACATGTCACATTGGTCTTCGCGAGGCTACATTTTCCCATGAAAACATGCCCATTGGAAAAAAGTATCACAAAACGTGGGGCGCGTTGGGGAGCGATAAAAAATTAGCGTAGAACAAGGTTTGTAGAAACACTTACAATTATCTTCTACTTTCGACGAGCAATATAATGGAAATAATAGCTTCTTAAAATTAAAAAAGCGGGTTCAAATTTCATGCTCTTACAGGAGGAATCTTCGGGCTCCACGTTTTAGATTGAAATGAAAAATATTGATTTGTTTTTCTTCACAGAAAAAATCTAAACAAATATTTGCTTATGAAATCGAGAAAAACGATCTAAGGAAAGAACTGTATCTATTGAAAAATAAATCATATAACCTGCGATTGCATCGCAATCGTATTGCGCACACCACCTGAACTGAGTCCTTTTGAGCTACCAGAGCGACTTTTATAAAGGTTAAGCGCGAGAGAAGGCCATACTGACAATTTAACGTACCTCATATTGTACTGTTTGATCATGCCCACGAAATACTAACTTTATTTCTGTAAAAGTACAGCGAGCTATTTCATTTAAAGTGGCTCATTTGGAAAGAAGGCAACATATATAATGTCAGTACAGAAGAAAACTTTGCGGTATCACGCTACTGAAACAATTAAAGCTTTGTGAACTTGTCAAATTTTTGAAATATCCAAATCTATACCTCCATTTTGTCAGACCCATCAAAATAAAAACTTTGCAATAATGTCGGTTACAAACAAACTTAAAACAAAAAGTAACATGGTAAAAGCGATGTAGAAGCCTCAAAGGCTATATGGTAGCGAAAAAATGTCTTTGAAAGATTTAACTTTGAGTTACCCTACACGCATATTACATTTATATTTCCTACAGACTTTAGTCTCACTTTTCACGTTATTTCCCCTTGATGACTTCACAACAAGAAAAACATCCGCTGCCGTCGATCAATTTCGCTCATAAACAAAGCCGAAATACAATACTACGAGGGGAATTATCTATTAAAAATAATACCAAGATAGCGGGGCTCAAATTAAAATTACTCTCATTACAGGGGGGCCCTAACTTTCATTTTATGTCATGTGCCTTTGCATTAAATTGTAAAATAATTCCTCATGCATTGTAAAACAGGAAATGTACTGTCAATTGCTCAATAATCTTAGAAAATTTGAAGTTTATATAAAAAAATATATCATCTCATTTTAGACATGTTAGGGGCCGGTCATTATTAATGTAGAGGATGGGAGGGAAAAAGGAAGGGTCAAGGCTATTTCAGATTGGCTAGAACGGGGGCTAAACGTTTTTATAAAGACGTTTGGGGGGATCTGTGGTTTGATTGCGAGGTATATTAATTTTAAGAGGGGTCCATTGGCCAAGTTGGGTAAAGCAGTTAAACAGTAGAGCACAAACAATATGTGTGAAACAGTAATGCTAAATTGCACAATTTTATTCTTATCCTATTACTTTTTGTTAAGCACCACTATTTTGTACAACTTGTTCATCTGTATTTGACGGAAATTCTGTTTGTACTCTAAAGTTCATTGTTATTTCAAATTTTAGCTAATTTAGGAATCCAGACCTATCTGCTTTAGCGGTTTGACTGAATCTTCTCCTAACAAAATGCTTGTCACTTCAATAGCCGAAGAATAACATGAAAAAAAAAAAAAAAAAAAAAGAAAAGTAGTCCTTTTAGAACTGCATATAGGAAAATCATTTCAAAAGAACTATATTTTGTATACATTTGTGTTCACCATGAAGGTACGATTTCTAAAAATCTATCACTTTTCCTATATTTAACAAATCATCTTATGGTTAGTATGTTACTTGCATTTTAATAATTACTTCGTAGAGCATATACGAGGAGATTTTGAGGTTGGGGGGGGGGACATCACGTAAATATTGAATAGAGAAGGGAGGTCACTTGATATTTACATGGTCTGCAGGGGGGCCTTACAGATATTTTGATCTTTTCAATGTATTTCCCCCCGCCTCAACACAAACAATGACCAGTCCCTTACCAAATTATTTCGTCCTTGCAAAAGAATTGACTTGTGTCGTAAATTTTCTATAATCCTTAGCTAGTATCCATTACAAGGCCAAATTCAACTTCACTTTCTTTTTTTTTTTAATTTTTTTTCCTTCAATTTCTTCTGTTTTCACAAGGTGCGAGCTTCTTAACTTGAACACTTTGGTGGTGTGGGGGGGAGGGGATAGTAAAAATTATCAAGAGATCAAGAGGGGGTACTGAACTAATTCTGCTTTGGGAACGGGGGCACACATGATAATTTCTTATTTTAAGCTAATTTTTTCAGCCCCTCTCCTGATAATTAATCCAAAGTCCCTGAGCTCGTATTCTTCAAGCCCTTCTTTGGAAAAATGACAGCTTATCAAATAATTTAAGATTCCATCATTACAAACCTTCAACCAAACTGCACCACCTGCGCCGCTGTGCTTTTTAAAAGGACGAATCCGCAGACGCCAGAAGCTCTTCAAATGTACAACGACGTACTAACGCCAATTAGTGTCGACTGTGTATTCGTAATTGAGAAAAACAGACAAGGTGGTCTTTTTGCAAGAATTGCAAAAAATTAGCGGGAATCTCACAAAATAAAATAACCCCAAAATTGCTTATATAAATTAAAAGATTCGTTTTGTTTACTTAGATTGTGGTATTGCCTCCTCTGACAAAACACAACGCTTTGCTAAAAAAGAGTTCAAAATATAGATATTACAGCAAAATCTATAATATTTTATCAGAACCTTTTTCACAAAACGCTTACCTTTAAAAATCGAAATTATCATTTTTGGCAACTGCTGCCCACCCCCTCCGGCAACGCCCACGTGAGCCTCCACCACTATAGTCTGATTAGCGGTTGTCGTGAGGAAGTAAACATCAGATACCACGGATGGTTTTGACAGTTTCTAAATTCGTAGCTGGAAAATAGTCTGGATAAACTAATTTGCTACGATTCCTCAGGAAACTCAAAGAAAATCCCGTTAGTTCATAACTAGCCGTTAAACATCCATGGTTTTGAAAGGAAGTAACCTCATATTTAACCTCATATTCTGGAATGGAAGAGCGAAATTCGATAAAGATCATCGTAAATGACGCGTATAGTTTTTGCTGTCTTTTTTGTTGTTTCGGGCTTGTTTGCAACCGATGGTGATGAAAAAATTTATTCCGACGGGTCTGTCAAAGTGGAGGTAAAACCTTAGATATTTTGAAAAATTTTCAATTTCACAAAGCTATAATTATTTCAGTAGCGAGATACCGCAAAGTTTTCTTCTGTAGGGACATTATATGTGTTTCCTTCTTTCCAAATGAGCCACTTTAATTGAAATAGCTCGCTGTACTTTTACAGAAATAAAGTTTGAATTTGACCTGTTTTCGTGTGGATGATCAAACAGTACAATATGGGGTTCGTTAATTGTCAGTATGCTCTTCTTTCGCGCTTAACCTTTTATAAAAGTCGCTCTGGTAGCTCAAAAGGACTCAGTTCAACCGGTATTGGTGTTTGTTTTATAAATGACCTGACATTTTTCGTTAAATCCAACTCCAATGTTTCCTTAAATTTGAGCATCGATATGGGTCGCCACGAGTGTTCGCTGAGGTGATCAGAAAATCTCTCATAACTCGATAAATTTAAAAGATCCGATCAAGCGGATTGTGGTTTTATTAATAGGACATGAAAGTCTTTCAGTATACAGGAAATACGCAAATCTATTTTTTGAGTGAGATCGGCCGGACCGCTTTTATGGATACTCTCTATTACCTATCCAATTTAAGATTTTTTCCGAAATGAATTTCGCATCCCATGAACTAATTTAATCGACATGGCAAACATCGGCCTTCGAACAACTGGGCCCAGATTAATGCCGGGTTACAAGCCCCTAATAAGTAAAATCTACTATTCCAGTTTGTTTGCATTAAACTCGAAACATGCTAAGCTTCACGACTGAGTAGATTACGGAACAGTGTCTACTCAAAAAAAAAAAAAACAATTAAGATTACCTGAATATTTTCCAAACCACTCAACAGTACTCGTCCACTCTCCTGAACTCTTTGGAGCAGACCCTCTTCTTGGATTACTTCAACAACCGCTTTTAGAAGGACAAGCTTACTTTGGTCACCCATCCAGGTGTTAAAAATACGCGAAGGCTGTAAAAAGGTGGAGACTGATTAGCATGTAGGCCGTTCAAACAAAACTACGATACAAAATGGACACCTAAGAATGTAGATCGAGGAAGAGTCCAGATCACACACAAGCCAAATTAACTAATTGTTTTATTATTCATTTAAAATAATTCATCCCTAAAACTAAATATGCTTACCTTCTGTGTTGCATGCAGAGGGTTTTTTAAGTAATAATCCGGGTAAGGTGGATAGCAATTTCTTTTGTTATGCGGCAACGGTGCTTTCCCCACATAGGAATGTTCTCATTTTTACACAGAGAATGCATAAACCTACAGGAAGGCCGTTTACGCAATAAAATGCATTTACACTCCACTTTGAACGGATGTTTTTTTGTGTTAAAAGATTTTGACCAATTACAAGAGTTGAAAACAATAACCAAGAAAAGTTTACAATTTTACATGTTCCCCACATAGGATTTCTTTGTAATTCAAACTGACACCAGATTTTGTTATATAGAAGATGGTTGGAAAGTAAGGATGAATATATGTACCGCTTTATGAAGTTTTGTTAACTTTTGCTGTTTAAGCCAATCAGAAGTAAGTACAGACAGTAGAAAAGTTAGCACCTTTTTTGCATTCCAACATGTTCGTTGCCGTTGTTGCTATCGTTCTTATCTGGACCGTTTCTTAAACACGGATGCTTTGCATGAAAACGAGGCTGAACCTTCCATAGACTGAAACTTGGAGGTATGTTGGAATAACTTATCACCAGTTTAAATAGTCTGAGATGCCATGCAATATAGTCTAAGTTTTTATTAGTAGGGATTAGCGCGGTCACACCACCTGAAGTCAAAAGTTAATAAGTGTAACAAATTATGTACAGTCGTACTTCATGTGCGAGCACCTCTCGTAAGCGCCCAATATACCAAACTTTTTCCAGTCAAAGTCCCGCTATTGGAACCTCTTGTAAATGACCTCTTCTGCTAAGCGACTGTCACCTCTTATAGGCGACCACTTGACCCATGGTATGACATATATATGTTGGCAGTTCAATCAGACGAACTCCAGTTTCGTGTGGAACTTAAGGACCGGCCCTTAAAGGTCAAATGAATCAAAATTTCGACATTTTTTATTTTAGTTCAATTCTAGGGAAATGTGTTTAATACGAAACAAATAATCATACTATGAAGTTTCAGCTCAATTGAAGCAAACATCTCCGAGATGTTCGCCATTAAAAGTTGCTATTATTTGACCCTTATCTTCGTAGAGCGGTCGGAAACATTGTCGGCCAAAACAGCTTGTGCCGTCAATGTTGATCAGGTAAAAAGGCGAGAAATTTAAAACAGTGTTTTTCGAGTCGACTTGACGCAGAAATTATGGTGGTTTGTGCTGCCATAAACCTGGAAAGAACAAGCAATTTGCCTTCAAAAGTTGCAAGCTGTGGTTATAACCTTCTCATTATTTCATTTTCTCGGAGAATACATCATAGTAAGACGGATAGGACTTAAACGACACTAATTTCCTTGCGATGTACTGGAAATGTGCGTGCGTAGGTTCGATTTTTTTCAAGATGCATTCACAAAATGTGTTCATATAAGGAAGTTGGAAGTTCCCGGATATATAAGGTCCAAAGCTCCACTAAGGACAAAAAAACAAAATATCTTATTACAGTGATTTGCCCAGAGAAATTCAAGCTTGTCCACAATAAGGAAGTCACTGAACTTGGTCGCACTAGAGCTGGTATTTTAAAGCCCATGCTCGATCGGACACTTGTAGCTTCGCAGTTCACTAAAATATAAACAAAATCCTCAGTGTAGAAGTTTTGCCGTTGATATGTGGGCAGAAAAAGAGTTAATCTTTATCTAGTAAAATCTTCGCCCAAATTGGTTTCAAAGCAACTATAGTTTTTTCAACTTGATCGTTTCGCGCAGAAAAATCTTGCTTTGTGTTGTCAAGTTGAACATGCATAACACCTGTCAAAAACCTACGCGTAAGTAAGATTTCCTTCAAACAAAGTTAAAGTTACATTATTGCAAAAACTTCTATCCAGTTATGTATATGATTTAATCACCGACTGAGGTCACTTTAAGGACCATAGACGCCACTTTAAGCTGGCAAGAGATGCGACAAGCAAAGAACAATTCCATCACGGACAAAAATAAGCTTAAGTGAACTAAAAAGAGCTTCAATAAGATTGCAAAACGACAAATTTTCATTAAAAAGAAATAAGGCTCAAGGCTCTTATACCTGCTAACAATGAATAAGTGAATTTTCTATACGAAAACAACCTACCTAAAGATCTTAAAAGCAAAAGATCAGTTCCAAGGTTCGCAGCCAAGCCATGATTCACCAGTTAGCAACTTTTACTAAGTCTAACTGGTCTATGTGAGGGTCTTCATTCAAGCAAATTAAACTCAGCAAACTGGATCAATAGAAAATACAGAAAACTGCACACGAGGAATTGTTTTGCTCGCTTCAGTCAAATCCAGCCCCAACAATTGTTTACGAGCAAAGAGTCAATTGTTTTGAAGCCATTGCCGGCAGTTGTCGTTCTCAGCTACTTCACAGCGAGTGAAAAGGAAAATATGCGTACAGAAAGAAAAAACTGTGTAATTAAAAATAAAAAAGGAAAAAACTCTGACTTTTATTACTTGAGCAACAGATAAATGATCGAAGTAGTCTTTGTTACATGAAGCAGTTTTTGGAGTCTTCCCAGGAGTCCTTGTGTGATTAAAGTAGAGAAAGCATGGCTTCGTCTCATTCAAGTTGTCTCAGTCAATTCCTCAGATAAAGGCCGAATAACATGGTGTCAGAAGTTAAAATCGTAGTTACAAGAATTCTAAAGCAGTAGAAGAAGAAGGGGAACGTTTCAGAGAAGCCGTCGTTGCTGTTGTGGTATTGGGGACTTTACGAACCAGAACGCGACGCAGCCTGAAACGTCACCGGAAGTAATTTGCTCACAAAGTGCTTCACTGCGCATGCTTGGCGCTAAACTGCAACGCGTCTTCTTCACGTTCAGAACACGAGGTTGGCACTTGCAGCGTTTCCAGAAAACGTGAGTAGTTTCCACTGAATTTGACCTAGAATTGAATTTTCTTTTGCTACCTTATAGGCAAAACTGTTTTTCCAAGTCCATGAAAATGTTATTTATTGTAAAAAAATACCAAACAAACATTTTAATTTGCCTTTTACTGCAGGTCAATTGGTTACCGCTATGATGAATGGACAACACGCAGACCCGCCGAGTTCGTTACCAAAGTCGAAAACTGGCAAGTACGTCCAATTTAGTTTATTAGAAGATTCAATCTCCTGTCCTGCTTAACTATAAGATTAAAGTGAGTTTAAACTTTATATTTATGTTCTTCATTGAAAAAAACTAAAACAGACTGTTCTTTTTTTCACGCAGTAATGTGATGTACTGGACAAGCCAGCACGATGTCCTGTTATGCAGAGAGGTTGTTTCCGAGAATCCGTTCAAAACAAGAAAGGGTTCGTCGCAAAGAAGCGAAATTTGGGATAGAATAGCCAACACTTTGAATACCTGTCCCAAGCCTGTCTTTGCTGTGGATAAACTTGTTGGATAAACTTGTGAACAAATTCACTTAAAATTCACCAGTATTGCTGGTATAGCTGTCGCTTGATTTTCAAAACCAGTTTGTATATTGTATTAACTGTTGTCGTTGTTTTGACAAGAGTCACGACCAACGTTTTCTGTTAGCGATCAATGTTTGTATTTCAACAGTGGCACCGCATTTTTCTTGTGCCGAGGAGCCCGCCTTTTGTCATGTTCTATTAATTGCAGTTATCTCATTGGATGGTGGCATATTAGAAAATACTTTTTGTCTAGAATAGTTGAATAACTTTTTTGAAAATTCGCATTCTGTAGCGTAAACTGCAATAAAATTCTGTATTTTCAGTCTGCTATAAAAGAAACTAGTGATACTTTATGTGTTCGAAAACAGGTTTTAAAAAACTCCGTAGGATAAAAAGGGCTGGGGAGTCTAGGGGAGGGAGTATGTTGAGACCAAATATTAAGCTCACATTTCTAATTTTAAAATCTCTCTTGTAGGGTTAACAGTACTCTTCACTAAAATCAGTTTAATGATTAAGTTTAATCTCAAGTTGTATTGAAAAAATTGTGAGTTGTATTTCAGTGCCTAGGCTGTGGTCATTAATACTGAACTAAAAAGCACGATAAGGGGTGGGGGCGGGTGGTTAGTAGGTTGCAGGCATTACAATTTTATGTTTATATATTGCATTAGACTCGATATATTTTTCTATGACTTTTCCGCCTTCCCCGTTGTGTTATAATGACCACAGTGCAAATCTATGGCTCTATAACCTTTTGAAAATGAGTCAGAATTGCAGAATACATTGAACCTCAGACACCTAATTGGAATAGTCCTGGATTTGGGGTGGATCTATTCCAAAAAACTTCGACGTACTTGATGGATAAAGACAACTGTGACCGTTTCTCAAGAGCGCGCACACAATGTACATTTTGCCAACAGGACTTAAGCTTATTTTTAAGTTTTTCTTGAAATCTAGGAATGCAAAGTAGTTAACAATGTCCCCAAATAGCCATTCTACCGAAACTCTGACTTGGCTCATGGCCTTGTTGAACTGTTGTTCTGCTGGTTTTAAATGAGCGCCTTTGAAGGGCCCTTGTAAATGGACTAAATGGACACGCAAAGTGTAGGCAGGGTCGCCATAAACGCATAAGGGTGTCCCGTCCGGTGCAAACGAGTAATGCGATAGTTCTTGCAGAAGTCCTGAGTCGACTAGCATACCACTATCGTGTCTCCTACCCTCGACTGGACCAAACAGACTTGCGATAAGCCCATTTGGCGCAACTACGGACTGAAACTTTATCCCATGCACCCTTTTATGTCCGTTATAGAGAATTCTTTGGTTTTCATCTGGCTTACATAAGGGTCCCACTGTTCTGTCTATGAAACCCCAACAGTTTTCGAGTGGAGCTCCTTTAGCATGTATAGTGGCAGCAAAATGACGGAGACGGTCTCTGGAAAGCCATGGCTGAATTAAATCTGCGAAAAGGTGGCTATATTCATCGAATAAATAGTCCATCATTCGATTTGTAATCATGCAAAGTTGTGGAACTGGTCTCCCGAATCGAGCTACCAAAGCGACACGGGTATGCAAAACGCTTCAACAGCACACTCAAAGCCTCCGTTCCGTCCACAAGAACGGCATTGGGGCATTTCATTATGTCTGGAATATCAAGAACTTCTCCGAGTAAATAAACATCGTTCTTGAAAAACCGAAACTCAGCCTTACACTCATCATCTGTCATAGCATCAAGATCGAAGCGACCATACTTCCAATAAGGAAATTCGAGATTTTCAGAAGAATTTAAATCGTACAACAGGGCAAACTCTGTATCATCAATGCTTCCATCTTGATAGGCAAACAATAAAGCTTCCCTTGCCTCTCTGAATGTTGCCATTTATGATGTACAACACCAGCTATAAAACGAAAATGTGTTTAGCGGAGTTTAAAGGATTTGCACAGATCTGCCTCTGTCGTCGCGTTCGCATCCGTAACTTTGTTTTTCCCGCGCTCGTGACCGCGTTCTCGCCCCGGGCCCTTCTCGGTTTCAGTGTTTTCAAACTGCGTCGCGTTCTGGTTCGTAAAGTCCCTATTATTTTCTCGTTCGCGAGTCGTGCACGTGGTGAGACGTCGCCATATTGTTTAGCTGAAAGAAACTAGAAAGCATCAGAACTGTGAGTATTCGTTTTCTTCAACATGCCATTTTATCAAATACCACCGCCAGCGCCCATGAACGTAAAGGATGATGTATCAAAAAATTAGAAAATGTTTAAGAAGCTTGGTGTTATTATGTCACTGCCACTGAACTTAACAAGAAACCTAAAGAAGTACAGGCTGGGGCTTTATGCAGTGTTATGGGAATGGACTGTTTGAAAGTAATGAATAGCCTTACTACTCTAACTACATCTGACAAGAAAGACCCAGAGAAGATTCTTTCTGTCTTAAGCGACCATTTTATGCCTCAAAAACATTTGTTGTTTGAAAGAGTAAAATTTGGTTTTGCCAGTCAAGCTGAAAATGAAAGCATTGATCAGTATGTAGTGAGATTGCGCCAGCTTGCTGAGTCATGTGAATTTGAGAATCTTTGTGAAAACTTAATTAGTGACAGATTGGTAATTGGCACTCGAGACTCTTCCACCCGTGACCGCCTACTTCGAGAACGCCCTGTGCCAGGGTTAGCCAGGTGTATTGAAGCTCTTCGAGCCAGCGAGTTATCCAGGATTCACAAAGAGCAGTTTAAAGACACTGTTGATTCTCCAAACACTGTTCATGCAGCAGAAAAGCATCATTCAGCAAATGAGAAAAGGAAAGGAAATAGTGGTGTAGTAGCAATGGAAACTTGAGAGGTCGTAACAAGTCTGGAAAAGAAAAACCATCTGGTCTATGCAAGTTTTGTGGCACCGAACATCCATATGATAGAGCCAAATGTCCTGCGTCTGGTAAAACCTGTCACAAATGTGGTAAACAAGGCCACTTTGCCGTGAAGTGTCATTTAAAGAGGCAGTCCCCAAGTAAACCAGACAATAAAGTTCATCAAACAAGTGGAGCGCATCAGAAATTTGCAGAGGATAGTGATGAATCAGATAATTCTGTTTTTGTTGTAGAGCGCATTGGAGTTGTCAGTAACAATGAAACCAGATCTTCCTTTATGGTACCCTTCACCTTTCACACAGAGTACAGCCCTACAGTTACAACTCAGCTGGATACTTGAGCGACTTGCAGTGCAATGTCCTATACAGATTTGTTGAATATTTTGCAACTTGGCGAAGTTCAGTTGGATCCACCTGGAGGCAAGATAAGGCTTTATGATGGTAGTGTTGTCAATCCACTTGGTTCGTACACATTTTCAGTCAGCCAAAACAGTGGCCCTAAATGCAAGATAAAATTTGACGTCTTGGAGAATGCACCGACCAAGGTTGGATATCCCTAGGAACAGAAGCGTCTGTTCACTCATTAAATAGCAAGCAATATCAACCCCTCACTATGGAGGAACTTTTAAAGGAATATAAAGAGGTGTTCACAGGACTTGGTTGCCTGCCCAGAGAATATCACATTGAAGTAGATCTAGCCATTAAGCCAGTGCAGCATGCTCCTCGACTTGTACCAATACCACTCAAATCAAAGTTGAAAGAAAAGATTGATGAAATGGAAAAGTAAGGCATCATTGTCAAGGAAACTCAGCCAACAGAATGGATCAGTAGTCTTGTAGCTGTGCAGAAGCCAAGGAAACTGAGGGTGTGCATTGATCCACGTGATTTGAATAGAGCCATAAAGGGGCCAAAGTATCAGATGTCGACAGGGGACGAGGTGCTACCAAAGCTGTCAAAGGCCAAAGTATTTACAGTATTAGATGCCAAAGATGGGTTCCATCAAGTTAAGCTTGACAATGAAAGCTCACTCCTTACAACGTTCTGGACTCCTTTTGGGAGATATCGTTACCTTCGCATGCCACAAGGAATCAGCAGCGCCCCAGAAGAATATCAACGGCGCCAGAATGAAGCGCTCGCAGGCCTCAATGGAGTAGAAGTAATTGCAGATGACATCTTATGTTATGGCAGCGGACAATCTATGAAAGAAGCTTTAGATGATCACGATCGCAATTTAGTGAACTTACTAAAGAGTGCACGCAGTGTTAATCTGAAATTTCACAAGAACAAGTTGAGGTTGAAGTTAGACCAAGTAACTTACATGGGACAGTTGTTCACGTCAGAAGGACTAAAGCCTGATCCTATAAAAATCGAAGCAATTGCAAGCATGCCTCGACCAGATGATAAGAGAGCGGTCCAACGTCTTCTGGGATGTTAATTATTTGTCCAGGTTCATGCCACAGCTCTCAAAAGTGTCTGAACCACTACGCAAGTTAACTGAGAAGAATGTCATGTTCACTTGGGACAGCTCACAGGAGGAAGCTTTCCAAGCAATCAAAAGCATGATCAGCTCTGCACCACTGTTGAAGTATTATGATGTGGCCAGTGAAACCACTATCCAATGTGATGCCTCAGAGTCTGGTTTGGGAGCAAACCTGCTCCAAGAAGGACAGCCGGTTGCATTTGTATCACGGTCGTTGAGCACTGTTGAACGTCAGTACGCTCAAATAGAAAAGGAATGCTTGGAGATTGTTTTTGCTTGCAGTCGTTTTAATTAGTACTTACACGGAAGAGAACTTACAACTGTAGAAACAGACCATGAGCCATTGGTGCCCATTTTCCAGAAGTCTATTCATTCAGCGCCTAAAGGGCTACAGAGAATGCTCCTGCGTCTGCAAAGGTACAATCTAAATGTGACGTATCTTCCTGGTTCCCAAATGTACATAGCGGACATGCTTAGCAGAGCTTACCTCCAAGTTGACCGCACCCAGTGTAAGAGAACACCCGAGTACCAAATCTTCCAACTCAAGCAAGAACAGCAGCTGTTTGAAGAAATTGCCAGCATCAATCAAGTTGATTACATGCGCTTATCTGAGGGTACCCATCAGCAGATTAAGCAACGCACTCTTGCAGACCCCACTTTGCAGACTCTAATGAACACTGTTACTACAGGATAGCCAGTCTCCAAAGAAGATGTTTCACCTTGCATTCGAGAATATTGGAATTACAAAGAAGAGTTAACAGTGCAAGACGGAGTATTGTACAAAGGAATGAAGGTCATTGTTCCCATTTCCATTAGACCTCAGATGATTGCCAGAGTCCATTTCAGTCACTTAGGACCCGATGCCTGTGTACGTCGAGCACGTGATGTGTTATTTTGGCCAAGTATGGCAGGCCAAATCAAGGAACAAGTTCAAAACTGTGAATTTTGCAATGACTTTCTAGCCAGACAACAGAAGGAACCGTTAATGACGCGTAAGATTCCAGATACCCCATGGTCAAAGGTTGGTCAGGATCTCTTCACCTATGGAAATGAGACCTTCCTAGTGACTGTTGACTATTACAGTGATTACTTTGAACTAGATTTGTTGCAAGATGAAACTACAGAGTCTGTGATCAAGGCAACAGAGTCACACTTTGCCCGGCATGGTATTGCAGACATGATTACTGACAATGGTCCTCAATATTCAAGCGATCAGTTCACCGCTTTCACACGAGAATGGGAATTCCAGCACACTACCAGTTCGCCACTCCACAGTCAGAGCAATGGCAAAGCAGAGTCAGCAATTAAGATCGCCAAAAATCTGGTTAAGAAGGCAAAGCGAGAAAACAAAGATCTCCAAATGGCCCTGTTGGAATGGCGAAACACACCTGACATTAACAATTTAAGTCCGGCTCAAAAGCTCATGTCAAGAAGAACTCGGACCACCGTCCCAACCGCTGAAGCGTTACTCAAACCTGAAATTGTCGAAGGTGTACATGACAACATTAAATGTAAGAGGCAGCAGGCCAAAGCAGCTTACGACAAGAGCGCAAGACCATTACCAGAGCATCAAATTGGAGAACCAGTACGTCTTCAGCCAGTAAACCCCAAAGCTCCATGGGACAAAGGCTCGTGTGTGGCAAAAGTCGGCCCACGTTCGTACCTGATCGAAACAGAGAACGGAAACCTATACAGACGTAATCGGAAGTGCATCCGCCAAGATCCTAGTCAAGGACATCAGCAGCCCATCATCACCGATAGCAGCTCCACCAAGCAGAGCGCACCTTTGCCAAAGCCAGCAGATGTCCACCCTGAACCTAGAGCGAAAGAAGAAAGGAAATCGCAGCAACTCTGACTCTCGTTACAAGAAGTGGCAGAGTCAGCGTTCGCCCATCAAGATTAGCAGACTACGTTTAATAGACGATTTATCAACTGAACTTTGACATTAACTTTAGTTTTTTGTTGCGTTTTAGTTTTACTTTCTAGGATCAAGTCAACAAATAGCAGAAAGACATTTAAGTGCATTTTCTAGGTCAGATAATTTCTAAATTCAAGTCGCTGATTTTTAGTAAGATCGTTTATTACTGTAAAAGGGGAAACGTTACATGAAGTAGTTTTTAGAGTCTTTCCAGGAGTCCTTGTGTGATTAAAGTAGAGAAAGTATGGCTTCGTTTCATTCAAGTTGTCTCAGTCAATCCCTCAGTTAAAGGCCGAATAACAGTCTTTTCTCCTCGAGTAAGCTTGCTGCCCCTCTATACTTCCGAGAAAGTTTAAGCGCACAAGTTTACTCACTCGCACGCGTTAGCATTACGGTTATTTGACTGAAGACAAGGATAAAGCTGGTTCTCCAAAGATAAATAAATCTGGGCGTGTAAAAGAAGTAACCGTAACTACTAATAACAGAATACAAACGGGTTTTAATTCAGCCCGGCGAAAGAATGCGAAGCACAGGAACAAAACTCAACTCACAAATCGAACGCACAATTAACAGAAAAATACAAACCTCTTTGGAAATGTTCAAAAACGTTTTATTCCACCTCAGACTGACGGAATGATCCGTTTTTACGCTAATATTGGTTGTTCTGAATTCAAAGTACTTTTCAAGTGACGAAAAAACAACAACAAATAAAAACGCTTTACAAGAAAACGTTCGCACCTCGTGAATTTCATTCAGTCTCAGTCTGAACTCTCACAGAACGACACAAACGCAGTTAACAAACAGAAAAGCCCGCATTGAGCCTGTGATAAGAGATGCGCAGAAGCTTGCGCAGAACGTTTTTCCGCCCTGAAGACCAACACTGACGTCGCGTAATGTCCAGTCCATCGCGCAGCCATTTCAGAAACTTTGTCGTGAAGTCTTCGGAAATACTTGGATTTTGATCTTTTATCTTTCTTTAAAGGCTTGGGAAGAAAAATCTTTACCCAAATCTCACTTAGGATGGTTCTATTTTAGTGTTTAGTGAAGGTAAAGCGACAAAAGGAAAAAGTACAATTTTTCCGGTTTATTTGACCTTTAACGAGAAGAGGGATTCTCGCCTCCGTCGGTTCAGTCTACAATCCTTTGGCATTGGTAGCTCCCTTTTTGTTGCCAAGTAAACAAATTCTACAAGACCAACTGATTGGGATAAGCCTATACCCGACGTCTTTCGGACCAGGTGGGAAAAGTGGAGGAGTGAGTTGCACACACGTCCAGCGCCACGCCTTCCTAGAGCAGGTCAAGGCCTTGGAAACAGAACAACGAAGTGAGATACAGGGAAGGGAAAGAAAAGTGACGAAGAGATCAAGCCCCATGCATCGCCTCCAACCAATCCTGGACAAAGATGGCATCCTACGCGTTGCTGTAAAGCATCCTGTCTTGTTACCAAAGAAAGAGTACTTCAAACACCTGATAGTTCGCCATTTTCACTAACGTACAGACCACCAGGGTCGAGCAAGAACGCACGCAGAAATCCGTTTGTCAAGCATCTGGATAATTGATCGTAGCTCCATAGTTAGCCATCATATATCCAAATGCAAAAAGGTCATTGGAGTCATTCCGTAGGGGTTTTGCTTCAAGTTTAATCGGGGTTTGGTTTGCAGCATGTCTGTAATTTCAAGCGTAATTGCTTTAAGTGAAACGGTGACCACGTTGGCTCAACTTATAATTTTCTTGCCCCACGGGGGGTATTAATCCAATCACCAAACAACCTGTCTGCCAAAGGAAACTGCCAACCCCAGTTCGAGTAGATAGATTGGCGGTTATGATCATTCAATTGCCGAGTGCTGAAGGCGTGGTTTACTGAAGGGTTTTCATTTTACTTTCAAAAGACGGAATCCATCAGGAAATTGAGTAATTTCAATTTTCAGTGGACAAAAACCTTGTACCAGAATAATTTAAACGATATCGCGTTCTTTTTTACATTTTTCAAGGACTATAGATATAATTAGTTATCTGTATTAACACCAAAGATTATTTCTCACGGGAGCCCGACAAAATAAATGTCAAATTTCACAAGAATTGCGAAAACAAAGGTAAAATTCTAAAAGTTTCATGTGTAAAATTTCATTTTGTGAAATTTGACATTTCTTTTCTCGGGATCTTATAAGAAGTATTCTATGGTGTTATTACAGATAGCTAATTACATCTATAGCCCTTGAAAAATATAAAAAAGAATACGATATTGTTCAAATTATTTTGGTACAAGGTTTTTGTCCAACGAAAATTAAAATTACCCAATTTCCTGATGGAATACGTCTTAATTCTTTTCCTATAGTCTTACGTCTGTTCCTGTGGGTCATGTATGAGATACAGAACCACTTTATTTTTTACCGATAATGAGGCTCTCCTACATGTTATGAACAAGCATTCTTGCAGAGATAAAAGATTAATGTCGTTTGTCCGTCAACTCGTTTTAATTTGCTTGCGTTTGCTTGTGTTTTAAGGCCAAGCATGTACCCGGTTCACGCAATGGCTTAGCGGACGCTTTATCTCACTGACAGGTTCAAACTTTTCAAAGACTGGCACCATCTTCTATGGACAAATTGCCGACAGCCATTCCTCTGCATTTGCAGCCCCAGGAACTGGCAGCGGTAGTTACACAGTCACCTGATTAACTCGGGCCTACAACCTTCCTCTCTACCTACTTACAAACTCACTCGACGAAGCCGACTCCATTAATATCGAACTTGATGAAGCTTTTGAATTTCGTGTCAGGCATTATCTTAAGACCATTTAAACATTCGAGTGCTACAAAATCGTCGGCAAGTTTATTATAACAAATTTTATAATAAAATTCATGTAGCTTATTTTCCGCATTCTGAGTACCCAGAGACCTTAGTTCTGTAGACCTAAATTTCTTATCTTAAAAATATTAGTCGCACAGGAAATATGAACGGCAGTTGTTTTGAACAACTCAAATCTTTGGCCTCGTTTTCATGCAAAGTAGCCAGATGTAATATTTTAGTGCCCCGTAGATACGGCTGCTGTACGCGTTACAGAAGTGCCGACAACACTTAACATGTTACTTAATAAGTCCCACTTCAACACTTCAAGAGTGGTCCCTTGAAATCATCACGACATTCCCAAGGAACTTTTTCAGCAACACCGGCTCCCGGACTAACTGACCTGCTGAACTCGAACTTCTGGCTTGTGGTAAAAGCCGCCAATCATCATTTTCTTTGAAAAGGTCACTATATCAGGAGGGTCATCAAGACCCCAGTGCTCATGAGCCCTGTGTATGAATATCAAATGTTAAAGAGACAGAGAAAACAGAATAATGGAGGTCCAACTTACAAAGCAATGTATTGATACGTGTCTAGGGGCTTAAATAAAAGCTTTTGTCTTCTTCAGCACTCACCAAAATTTTCCAGTACTTCCACAACCGGTTTGCACTTCGTCAACAATAAACAGCGCATCCAGCTACGAACAAAAACATGTACACTTCAGATGGATGAGAAGAAATAATATATAGATTTAGCCAGGGCTAAAGGCGAACCTCTGGTTAATAATACGAGTGAACAAAAAAAATTAAATCGTTTAATGCTAAACGGGGAAGACAATGAAAATGGCTTAAAGACTAATAGATCTAATTAGCAAAAAAACAAATTGCACGTGCAGCACGCTTTTTTGTCTTTCCCTTGCCGTTGTTTTGCACGACTACAACGCCGTTTTTTACAACTAAAACGTCAAACTTCCAAGTTACACATTATTTTTATGGAGGAATTGTCCGGCGTATGTGCTTACCCAATATTTTGTCTCCTGTATTCATGTTCGCTTTTATTTTTCACTGCCGTTCATTTCACCTTGCTGGCCGCTAGCATTTCTCATTTTCTCACCGCCGCTTTGACTTTCCATGTTTTTCTTCCCACGAAATTCGTCTCCTTTGTTTTCAATAACTCGCTCTAGCTCTTTCTCTGTTATCCACGTTAGTGTAAACATAAAAAATGACGCCGAAAAGACACGACTTTGTTGTTGTTTTTCTTTCCAAAAGTCCGGGCGACCATATGATTTCCTTCCAAATAAAACCTTCAGTTGCATTTGGGTTACCATACCTGTTGATTGAGTTATTTTACGTTGGTATGCGAGTGGTGTGGACAGACGGTCGCTTGCTCGGTGTACGGTCACGTGATTACCAAATTTTCTCGGATGGGTAGATTACCGCATTTTCTTAGCTATGGGGCTCCGCCCATGCGCGGCGCTTCGCGCCGCGTGGAGCTCCGCTATCAGACCTTGGGGAGAAATCCGCGTCTTTTTAAACGCGACGGTGAGAAAATTTAGAGCATCGAGTGGCAAAAGTAGAAAAATCGATTTCTTTTATTTTTTGTCCATGGATAGCTTTTTGCTAGATAAGCTATCTGGTGTAAACTGTACTAGAAAAAGCCGCTACTACTGTCGAGAAAAGTAAGAATATCAGTTTTCGAGGTCAGCGTCTCAAAATGGCCCTATTTTCAACCCGAAATGTCCTAAAATAAACTCTCCACGCTTTCGCAAACAAAGACGCAAGGAGAAGTTTGGGCACTTTCCATCAACAGAACTCTATTTCTTTTACTAAAAGATACTTTCAAAAAAATAGCGTGTCTCGTTGAACTGGCATAAAAAATTCCACTGGAAACCCACGTATTAAACGTCCGATTTTTGTGATGGACAATATTTTCTTTGGGGAAGTATCAGCGAAATGGCTTTTTTAAGCGAGTTTTTGATTCCCACCATCAAATTTGATGCACCCACACTATTGTCGTTCAGCGGATGCACGCATGTGCACGCAAATGGCGCGGCCTGTTAAAAAATGTAGGTTCTTATTGGCGAGTGTTTACTGTAAAACGCTTACGAGTAAATACCCAAGGTTTGGTAAGGTTAACGAAACAGCAAAAAAGGAAAAAAAATTACCCGTGGCTAAACTAAAAAATACTTTTGGCAAACTCAGTTTAGACTAAAGGAGGATATTACCATCTTCCCAGCGTGCCTTGCGCCTATTTCGGGGTGACTGTTTCCAGTCTGTGAGATGAAAACCTGAATTCTACCTACGGTTTAGGAAACATTTTCGCCGCTATAAGAATGAGATATGGAGGTAAAGTAGGTGTTAGCGTAATCTCCCAACTTTCATTAAAATGACAAAATGATTTCTTGATTAAATTATCCTAACGTTCTGTAAGATTTGACCGTGTGTTGATGCTTATCTGTTGTATGCATGGTGTTTTAGTAAGTAAGTAATAACTTTATTTAACGAGGGTAAAGACATTGATTACTGGTCACCCAGTAGTTTTCATAATGGCCCTCCTGTTTTCGAATTATTCATTCATTTCCGTAATCAAACGAGGAGTCGATTGAGAATTGAGACAGAAATCCATTCTATTATACTTCGAACATTTAAAGAACCCAATCGACTCCTCTCGATTCCACATTTTCCCAGAAAATTTTCATCTTAAACGTGGAGTATTTTTAGCGCTATCTATTATGATGAGAGACAAGCAACTGTTGCGCGCGGAATGCATTTGATAATATTTTTTAACAAGTTTCCAATGAAATAGCATTTATTTATTTTTTCATGTATTCAGACAGGAGATTACTGCAACCTTAGTTACTGTTTCACGGTAGTAGTGTTGGAGGTCAACAGTGTTTGAAGCTGCAAAAGACGCGTACATGCTGGTGTACACGCAAGCTCAGTAAGATATTTACTGGTCAATCATGTTAATCATGAATGTATAAAAGGTCGCGTACTGAGTTTCTCGCAGCCAAATTCTTTGACACCTTCTAAATTCAATACATACTTTACCACAAATTCAGTACCCAGCATTTGAGAAGTATTTAGTGAATATTTATTTCATCGCGGACCCCGTAACAAGGGTTTATTAGATTTTATTTACATCCAGTCAAACAATCTCGATGAAGAATTTAAACGGTAAACAAAATCATAGACCTGAGAAGGAAACCTGAAGCTTCCTCGTGAAATTCTATCGTTTGATCGATACAGTTGACGCGGAGTATACTGGATTATTTCGTGTACCTCTCTTGTGCTCTTGTGTTTCCTCGGCGGCGACACTTTAAATCAGTCGCGCTTGGACTCGGCCGTTTATAATATAGTTTGACCACAACGAATGACAAGAGGATGGTATTATCCTCCTTTGTTTAGACTTGACGAAATTAAACTTGCAAATAATTAGTCATCAATTTATGCGTGTAGGTTGCAAAAAATGTTTTCTCCGTTTTAAAATTCAAAAGTTTTCTTATTTCATGTCATTTTGCCTTTTTTAGAATATTGTAACCTATTCAGCCATCGCTTCCCACTTCCCGTCATTGCTAACATGTGGGGAACCAAATGAAAAGGCGTATGGTACACGAAGAAAAATCACGTGATATGTCAACAGAGCTGCCTTGCCGAGATATTGCCCTTAAAAATACCGAGCCATAAAATGACCAACGGTTGAAATGTTATTTGACTCTGAAACTGTTAAATATGATCGCAGAGTTTGTAGTTGGCTTTATTAGCCTACGTACAGCCAATTTCTCTTTGAAGGGAGTGACCCAGTAGCTCTGTGGTTATAGCCGGCATCCGATCTGCAACACTTTTATTCGATTTCCATTTCTTCTCCTAAATTCGGTTATACATGGCGAGTCTGCTACTTAAAATGTTCAGGAGCATAAAACTGAATGTTTAAGTTGTTAGTAAACTCGTAAATAAATTGTAATAAATTGGAGCTGAAGTTAAGATTGGGAGGGCAAATACACAGTTCATGAATTCTTACCTCTTTAGCGATCTGTTGCAGGGATTTAAAGAATTCTACACTTGCATGGTTGTCACCTTTACAAAAAAACAATACATTATGTATTCCAATGATAATGTTTTATTTGGTTGTCCAAAATTTTCAACATATGTTTAAAACCTTGTTAAGACTGAGACTTCTTGTTGCAGCAACCTAACTTAGAGCAAGAAATGTTTGCTGAGTAGTTAATTTTGTAAGTGATTATTTTTAGGTTTTGTTCACACTATACCAGGTAGCTTTTCCTCTCTACACGGTGCAGAAACGCTTCGTTACAGAAATCGCGCCGAAATCACCGTTTTTATAGGTGAATAGAAGCCATATGGTATGGTTTTCAGGCGGCCGCAAAAGCTATCTGGTATAGAGTGAACATACATGTAGCCTTAATGTAGTTTACTTTCTGAACTTATATGAACTTATTACTAATAGACAATAATCAGTTCGAAGCTTATCTAATAAATTCTTTACGATTTTCTGAAGTTTAATTTTTTCCATTTCACTCCCCAGGTTAAGCTATTTTTCGTAGAGAAAGGAATCCTAAAATTCTCGGAACCGAAGATACGATAAAATTCTCACTTTCCTAAAACTTTCAATTGGAAGCCAAATTTTTCGGGAAAATAATGCTGAAGCCCTTGTTATTTCGAAAAGACTGAAGTTGTCTTGGCTTGCATGGACCTATTATTTTCAGAGAGAGAATTGGCCAACGGCAACACGGCAGGACCTTTTGGCTTCGAAAAGCTATAATGAAGAAAAGATGCGATTTCTGTCATCAAACTTGCGCCATAAGTTTGATTTGATTTTGTAGACTATTTCTTTAGAAATTAGTTTCTGTGTAAAAATTTGGTTGTAAATATAAAGGCGACTGTTTTTTTTTATGTCTTATCTTAAATTCCCCTTTGTTTTAATTTAGTCCTCAAGGCACTACCAAGTTTCAGGAGGGTAACAAATCCACTCGTACATCAACGTAAAATGGGCATTTAAAAGACGCACTAAACTAGCGCCACATAATCAAAAATTATTTTCGCGCCGCTTAAATAATAGTCTGCTAAACAGCCGTTTTCAGTGGAAGGAGCGTTGCGTGACGAAACTAAAACGGCTGTGTAGCAGACTACTTTAAGACACTTAAATAATTGTAGGCCGTAATGCTTCTGATGACGCTAAATTGGTCGCCGTAACTTCATAGTGCGAATGTTTGTTTAGATGGTTCTAAAACAGAAGGCAGCCACAAGAAAGACAACAGGATGATTACGGAATTTGGACAATAAGACTGAAGCATACGCGATGTAATATTTCAAGAAGAACAACTTTACATACATTATTTTAATACCGGTTTCACTTTTTGTGTTATTGCCGGCCGGATCAATTAAGCAACATTGAAACCGTTTTGGAATTTTGGTACATGTAGAAAAGCAGGCTGGTTTTCATTTGATCACTACGATCCTTGCAATCGCTAAAAAATAAATACAATTTAGCGATCCTGGCTCTTGATGATTTCTACTTGATCGCTGCGATTGCTGCGATCGGAGAGAAAGTGACTTAAGTCCGAAAGATCACTGTTTCTGAGAAAATTGCAAATGCGTTTTAAATTAAGGAAAGTTAAGATAACCTTTGCACAGCTTCGTCAGTAAACATTTCTGGAAAGAACTTTGATTTTACAATGCTAATAAAGTTCTACCCTTAAATCCAGTAGGTCCCACCGTTCACTGTTTATACTTTTCAAGCGACAAACTTTTTCTTTCTCGATAGTTACCAAAAAAGGGTGCCGTACGTTCATAATCATTTACGGTTCCTTTTTGTAGAGGAAATTCCTTTAGCTTATAGATAACACGCCTTGCGTAATTTGCGCACACTGAAAGCGTGTTGTGCTTTTTCGCACGGAGCTTTTGTTTGAAAACTTTAACAAGCCCTTTTGTTCGTCTTGCTCACGCTTAATTGTCTCAAGCGTGTCCTCTGAAACAAAAGAAATTGCTAATGAGGCAAGATTGCAAGCGTGCTAAAGCGTGTTAAAATAAATTCCTTTGTTTTAAAGTGAAAGCGTGTCGTGCGCGTGCTTTCACCTTTAGCATTAAAATCCTGTGGACGGTCACATTTGACAGCTGTGGGCCTAGCATCCTAGCCTAAGAGTAAAAGTTGGCCTAAGGTCGACCTTGTTTTGCTACAAACCTCTTTCCTTTTCTTATGGAAAGAAAATTATAGTGGAAAAATATCAGTTAGTATGAAAGGAATATTTTTTACCGATAAATAATCACAACTAATCACCTGATCAAAACAAGGTCAACTCCAGCCCCGTTTTTATCTGCAACTATAAAATGGGCTGTTCAAGTGCTTACCTCCTTCTGATTGAATAGGTTCCACAATAATGGCAGCAACTGGTTTTCCTGCATTGTTGCTGTTGATTATAGCTTGCCGAGCCTAAAGTAACACAGGAAAAACAAGACATGGATGCTTTTTTGTCCTTGTCTTCGTTGATTATGGGCGTATATCAATGTTTTTAACAATCTATACGGCGTTATGTTCTATATATTACAGAGCATTTGTGCTGACGTTTGTGTTCGAAAGAGGAAGCTCATCATCTCCTCGTCCCTTACCAGCTCAAGACATCTCTCTTCTTCTGCTCTATTCGCTCTTTGATTTTCCTCTAGTGGATACTGCAGGTAAGGAAATGGTGCTTTTGGCCAGTCAAAAACTGGAATGTCTACTCTTGCAATTGCTTTTGATCGTGTTGTTGAAAGAGCACCTGAAGAAGGAAACGCCAGCTTGAGTATAACATGCATGTTCATCAGCAACTAAAAGCAGTAATTTAAACACCTCTTCACATACGTACATGCTATATACCTATTTTCGATTAAAATTTCCCCCGTGAAACATGATGCACGATCCATGTTTCATATTCTGCGGTGCATTATAGGAGCAAGTTGAGTTTGTAACATGCCCGCGCCGCGTAATCGGAAGACCTACGTTGGAGGGCGATTTGGTTTCTCCATTTTTGCGGGTATTCAGAGGAAGAAACCGTTTTGGATGATCCAAATGGACTCCAAGGCGCTACTTGCTTGGTTATTTTGTTTCAGGTCATGTGGACGCCAAGAAGACGTGAAGACGGCGACGACGGCAACTCTTGAAGAACGTCAAATACGCAATGGGTTTAATAAAGCAAAACAACAACGCTGCGAGAGCAGCCCTCTTTTTTGTAAATTTTTCTGCCGTCACTATACAACCACGATGTAAAAATGCCTAATTTCACGTGTTAAGGAGGACGTTAACAAGAGAAGACGGAATTTTCTTTCACAGGGATTCATGGGTTGAGGTGAACTCAACAAATTGGCCTTCTCTCAATGCATGGGTATTCATAGCTCAGTTTGTAGAGCACTGCAGCGCTAACGGAGAATCCATGGGTCCAAATCCCGTTGAAGTCCTGAAATTTTTTTCGGGTTAATTTGAAATTGCTTCACTGTTTCACTGTTTTCTTATCGTTTGTTAGTACTTTCAAACAGCTACTAACTGTCTCCACTACTTTATCGGCACAGGCGTGCACGGAGTTCCTGCTTAGTTAAAGATCTACGACAATGCACAGCAGGCTATAAAAGGAGGATCATGCATCAACCATTCACCTATTGACGACCAGGGTGCTCTTCCATTCAAACCTGATCAGGTCCCTGTGGTTTAATAGTCTTTGGTTAAGGCGATAATAAAATCCGCAGTTTTAAGTCACCAAATCGTTAATTGATAAGCTTGTGCTTTATGCCATACATGTGTTAGATGATGAGAAATTCAGAATGACAATTCCCCTTGATGGAAAATGCCCACCGTGGGAATATACCCTGGAGAAGGATGGTGGACACGCTTGAAATTCACTGAGCCATTATGATGATAATGTAACCATCTCCCACGAGAACGAAAAATCGCAATATTTGAAGTCTGCGTGAAAGCCCTCCATATAGGGATATCGAAAGATGTCAGGTCGAGCGGCACGCGAAAGACGAGGCGAGAACAATGGGCGAAGAAAAGAAAGGAAAGCGTTCCTCTCCCCCCTCTCCACCAGAATGAGTAGCCTAAAGAGGAAGCTGTGCCAGAAATATCTACTTCAAAGGCGGTAGAACAAGAAGTGATAAAAAGTGTATAATATATAGATTTAGCCAGGGCTAAAAGCGAAGCTCCCGTTAATAAATTCATAATTTAAATCAAACAATAAACTTGTGATCCACAGATCAGGGCACATTCATTTGACTTTTGAGGCAAAGGCTAAGTGATTTTAGAGAAAAATAATTTGACAGTCCAAGAGTGAAACAAATTTTACGTCAAGTTATTAAATAGTCTTATTTGTACACCCAAAAATAGCAATCATGTTCGATCACAGTAGATTAGGCCTGGAAAACAAATAGACCTATTCGTGTATTGTATTTGCATCAGCTGTGGCATTCACCAGTCTCTTCAACATTGCTCCGTTTTAGAGACTATGGTTAATTGGACAACCCCGAAATATACTTTTAAGAAACACACGCGCCACGATAGTCCTTGGTGGCAGCCAATTTACACGTTGCATTCCTCTGTCTAAAAGAGAGGCCAAAATAAAAAATCAGGCCGGATTTTTTGTGTTCGACAAGTTTAGTTTACTAGTAAATCTTGGCGACGAATCTGGTGGCGTGTAAACCAGCCTTTTAAACACACTTTTTCTCATCATGTCTCAGGTAAATAGTACTCTGAGGCCCTTTTTTATCATACAGACCTCGGACAGAATTTGTTCTTTTTTGCCCTATTTAAACCTGCAATTCTGCAGTTTTTCACAATTTTGCAAGAGAATTTGCACTCATTTAATATCCGCGACGATCAAAGCACGCGCTTCCTTTCACAACAAATTATAGCATTGAATGATAAAACGTTGCCATGAAGAGAATTCTCAGATAATGCTGGGACTTTTAAGTTCGAAAAATCTGGTCCTATGTGATATGCAGGGTAATAATTACGGGCTTTAAATGAAAACGATAAAAAAAATTCCCAAAATCACCTTTTCGGCTAGCCGGTTTCTCACTTTTGACAGCGAAATTTGCAGTGCGACTAATAGAGCTACCATTTACGCTTCAACATGATAGAGAAATTGTTATGTTTAGGTTTTATTTCCCTTTATTTATTAAACTGTGTATGGTTTTGTTATGTGTAATCTTTAAAAGCGAGGGACATTTACGCGCGGCGTTTTGAGTATTCCTGCATGCGATATTTATGTTCGACTGGAAACAACCGGTGCAGCGATGAAAATTGCGAGAGGGACTACTAACAATCAATAAAATAAGTTTAATTCGGTGAAACATGTACAGAGACAATAATTTTCATTCACGAAGAGAAGTATTGACAGTAAAGTGTCTCTGAAAATCATGAGTCAGGTAAGCATAAGCTTATTTATGTTTTAAGCCGGCTCCCGGTGTTTGCTCTTTTTCAAGATGAACTCGAGGCAAGAAAATCGCTCAGAGCTTTCTGTTTATAGGCAAAATCATAACTAAATAATCTTCGGAACCTTTTCTTTGAATTTGCGGTCAAAAAATGTCTAAGGGCTTTTTAAAACTGATACTATTGTAGGTTAGATCATTGTTCGTGTATAAACTTAAGCCGCACCCTCGACTTCAGGAAACCGAAAAAAAAACACATCAAAGACAATAATTGCTCAGGCTTACCAGTCGAGATGCTGCTTCTAAAGGTCATCAAGTGTTCCAGAATCGCTTGAGACTTTTCAACTCTCTTACGCCTCAAGCAATGGCAAGTGAGTAAGCTCATTTTTGAAAACGATGCCATCCGAAATCGGATTTTCAATGACTTTGACAAGCGGTGCATTTGTCAACAAAAAGCGCAATAAACAAACCAGCCATGAATTACAGAACAATCTTGATAGCAGCTGTATTTCACTTTGTACACCAAGTAGAAAAAGACAGTTTAAAACGTCACAAGATGACACAAAACTTCCGGACAAAACTCTGTCAGCTTCAGCTATCAGTAAGCAAGTTTCCAGACGCTGCATAAATTTTCCGCATGAACTCACCTGTCAAATTTTGACCAATCAGAACATAAGAATTGGACGTAGAGCGTGATCAACGCGTGACAGTAAGAAAAGTCAAAAGCAAAAAGCCGGTTTGAATTTTCGCGTCCGGGGTCAGTTCGAAATCAACATTTTAAAAGTGCTGCTCATGAACACGACTTATTTCATATTCATTTTAAAAAAATTTAACTTGAGCCTGCCATCATTTGAAAAGTATCAACTTGTCAGCGGATACCTTCAAAAAAACACACGAACTCAGTGGGTCGATACCTGAGCCCGCGATACGGTCATGCGATACTGGTCAGCAGAAACACTATTTTGACAGCTGTCAATTAATCAAAACATGGATGTACAATATCAGGTTGCAGGCTCCCAAACTTGCTAGAAAGTGTGAGATTAAACATTGGTATGTCTGTGGTGCGGACGGACGGAAGGTCGGGTGGTCGGTGTACGGTCACGTGATTGCCGAATTTTCTAGGATGGATAGATTTTCTAAGCTATGGGGCTTCGAATTGAGCCCGTGATCAAATAAAATATCAGCGCAAAACTTTAACTACGTGACCTACGTGAGATATCTATACAAGTCAGTAAGTATTTATATCCTTTGTGGTATCAACTGAGACTTTGAAGGTCTGCCAGATCGGCCTGAAATGGAGCATCAATTGACTATTTTCGAATTCCCCATAATACACTCTGTTTGCCCCCCAAATTTTACATAACTTATTGTCTTAAAATGCTCTTGGGAAAATGCAATACTCCCAGGAGCATTTAAAAACAATGGTTTATGCAAAATTTGGGGGGCAAACAGAGTGTATTATGGGGAATTCGAAAATAGAGAATACCACGAACAATGACACAACATTTACAATTTCTCCTGGCAGGTTTATGAAGCGGGTAAACGTCCTGTTGACTCAAACCAATTTTGAACTTGTTTCCGAGAGATCTTAGTCTCGCCTTTCTCTTTGACCGTTCTGTAAATAGCATCTAACCCACCAAAGCTTGGATCGAGATAAATACTGGCCAGTCTTTTGTCCATCACAAAACTCGGAGTTTTGTACCATGACTTTACCACGGCAACAAGCTAACACGTAACGTATGCGATTTAATATTTTTTCGAATCCAAAAGCCGATGAAGGTGGACAGCAACCCATCACTGGTGTTTACTCCAACGGGAGAAGCCCCAATGACTGTTTTCTCCATGGTGTTCCTTTCCATTGCTACTCTCAAATCTGGGTGAGAGTGGCAACAAGAAAATGAAATAGTAGTTCCCATTCCTCCTCAGTCAAGCCCAACTGCTCAGCAAAACTTAAAAACACCACTCATCGTCCCCAGTTCACTTTTGAAAAGACTTCAGAATTGAGTTGCTCTAACTTTTCGAGATTCGAACCCGGTAGTTCATAAAAGTTTTCTTTAAGCGTTTCCATTTCACTTGTAGATATTGTTAATTTTTTTGCTATTGAGCGATACCAAGAAAATTCGACTCGAAGCAAAGAGAGAGAAAGCCCCATCTCAACTAAGATAAAGATAAACACACACAAACCCGCTTTCTTACTTTTACAAACAGGGCTTGTTGTGAATTACATTAATAACAAGATCAACATCCATTAATTCTTGGTTCTTTCTTAAAATTGTTTCTGGGCATTCAGTTCCAGTCGGGTCAACTCTTGAAGCAGTTTCATCAAAGGCTTCGTCACCGTCAAAAACAATGCAATCGTTCCCTCTCAAGCCATTGGGACCATAATAAAGAGCAAAACCGCGATTCTTGACATTTTGATCTCAGCAATGCTCGAGTTCCAAAGACGTTAGATGCGTACTTGACCAAGGAAACTTACGCAACTCAGTTAAATAACTTTCCCATGTCTGTCCAAGTGTAAACCCAAGATCACTAGAAACACTCTCGGCACTTTTCTTTACAGTAGTGAGGTCTGTTTTCACACGAGCTTCATTGTGATCATAGATCCATGCGTCTTCATTATCCATCATAAGACAAGAGTGTTCTTTTTGGCTCGGATGATGAATGGCGCAGCCATCGCAGTGGTTTACGTTGGCTTCCTGGATGAGCTTGTCACAAATTGCAGAATACGTTAATTGAAACACATGGCCGATGATAGAGGCAACCCTTTTGCGATGGATTTGTTTAACTTCGTTCACAGTCAGCTGAAGTTTAGCAGTCGAATCTACTTGAATATTAGTGTCTGAAAACATACTAAGGACAACCTTATCGCTCAAGCTCCGATTGTAAAGTGGCAAGTCTGACTTAAAAGGTGGCGGGCTTTTATGTTCAAAGCACAACGGGTTTTCTAAACTGTCGAATGGACATCGACACGCCTTCTTATGGTGTTGTGACGTCATAGCTAGAACTTACCTGCACATGTTTAGCATAAATTAAACAAGTGTCGCGCGCATTTTATTTACGAGCTATTTATAAAGTCTTGATACCCACTTTTGATCCCCCCAAAAAGGGTATAATTCTGCTGGGACACCACTACTTGTTTTCTTTTTCTTTTTTTAAACATATTTTACCTATTGGCTGGTTTCAATTTATTCATATTGCTTCCCTTTATCACAGCTTCGCCAGGTGTTGCGCTACACGATGCCCTATTGGTAATAGGGCACTGGGAATCTATTGTTTGGTGGTCACTCATCATTGCACTGTTCTTCAAGCCCAAACGTCCAACTTCCAATTGTCAATGACCAATTTATTGCTAAAGCAACCTTTATTGAATTAGGTGTATCTGTACATGGTTAAACGGCGATTTTCGAACAGTTGTTGTAACAAAGTACAAAACTAAATATAAAACAGGCGAATACCGGGAGATAGGTCACTGGAACAGAGTTTCTGCAGAGTTCCCACCGGCACCGGTCCGTCCACACGGGGGCCTATGGAACTCTAAAGTAGCAAAGTAAACATATTTACAAGCTGGAGGCTCGTTTTCATTTTTGGTGGTCTTCGAGGCAAAGCGTCGTTTTCGTGTAAAAATGATTACGCGTCTCACGCATCCTCAGAATAAGCAAGATGAACCAAATACACCTGAATACTATCCAGCCTATTGCCTTTTAGAAATATGAATTTTGCCAGGTAAGTCGAATTCGATAAAGAAAGACAATTCACTCAAAACCTTCGTTAAAAGAAAAAAATCCAGACGCTTTCGATATGGTAAAGCACAATTTGCATATTTTAAGGCTTCAACAGTTCGCTCACTACCATCACGACACGTGATTCCCGCTCATAAAAAAAGATGGCTTCAGAATTAACGATGTTTTACAGCGCGGAGGCCACAGAGGGAGAGTTGGGCGTTCGTTTTCAATTTGCGATTATATAAGGGACAGGGGCAATACATTTCTTCCCTAAAACGTTTTCAGCTATCCTGTAATCAAGCTTGAAGCTTAAAGCCATCCACATATATCGGATGCTCGCACACTTTCCTTGATTACCTCTCTTTCTTCACCTACCCACGGTGGGGAATTTACACTGAACCTCCATCTTGTTTCGTTGGCAACTTCAATGCTCACAAGTTACGGTAACTAAGTCATTTTTAAGATCCATTTTTTCGTGTTTAGCTTTTTGAAGCATTGTCTAATCCTATCTTCTTACACTCCATGTTTTTTCCACTTATTAGTCGTTATTTGTTTGTTTGCTTTTACTCTTTCATTTTAGCTTTTGCGACTGGTGTGTTTTTCTTACGCCTGTGTCCGCACGTCTGTATCATTTTTCTGGATAAGAAAAGCAATGAAACCAAGTAAACCTGTCGAAATTCAAACGTTTTAAATATATGCTTAGATCAGTTATTTTGTCGTGAGACGCATTCCCATCACAGGTGGTTTTGTTGTTGTTAACAATATCACTGTTTATACACAGGGAACCCGAAGGCTGTATTAGCTATATCATAGGCAGCTGCTTTTTTTTATCTGTGTTCCTTAGTCTTTAAGAGTCGCTTTGGAAGGGATTTAAATTACATCGAAGACGGTTTTGAAAACCTGACCCTATTTAGAACAAAAAAGAAATCATAAAATACATGCCCCGTTTAGGGTGCTGCTGGCACTAATCTGGTGCCTAAGGCCCTAAGGCGACGCACTATAATCTATGATTACTGCTAGTAAGTATTATTAACCAGAGCTTCGCTTATAGCCCTGGCTAAATCTATATATTATAAGAAACTATGAAAAAATAAAATCCAAAAAATCCTTAAAAACTAAAATACTAAGGTAATAAATAACAAGTTTAAGAAAGCTAAAAATGTAGGGATATTCCTAACAGTTCAAGTATGCAGTTTAAATGTCTTTTGTAAGGTCCTTTTTATGCCTTGCCCACCTTGATAACAGCTGTATTTCCAATCAGAGGTGAAATAAAAAAATGAATAACCCCTTAAGTTCCAGAAATGACGAACATTAATTTTCTCCTAATAGTATCCATACTCAAACAAAGGAAAAGGCTACGGTAATTTAAAAAACTCTGAGTTCTTTCTAAAAATGTCTGAAGAATACTCTGGGAAGTTGTATTTGAATAGTGTCGCTTATAAGGCTAGAATAAAAAGAAAATAAAAGTAATTGACCACAACTTCCAAAAATATATAAATTAATTAAAGCTTTGGAAGTAGTTCATAAATTGAGGTAGCACGTGACAAATAATACACAAAGTACACATCGTTTCACTGATCCCATGGGTATTTTAATTAATAAATACCCAGATCATTCAATTTTAACCTTCACATTTGTGATTACGTCAACACAGCTGTAGAACAATAATTTTTATAACTGAGAGTACTACTTTATAAGTCTATGGTCCACCTTAATTAATTTATGAAAATTAATGCATTTTGTTGTCAGCTGAGGACTTTTCACATTATCTACTTTTTTAAAATTCCATTTCTCCTCCAGCACCAGTTCTTTGTAATTTTAATCACAACTTGTCCCCTTAAATATCTAGGTACAGAGAGAGCCACTGGCTTCGAAGCTTAGAACAACCAAAAAACCAGAGATAGAAGAAATCAATTCAAACCTACTGGAAGGAAAAACAGCAATGCCAATAGGAGATTCAATTACAAAACATATGCAAAGGTTCGCACCTAAGTACAATTATTACTTCCCCGCTTCCACGGTGGTAAATGCTGGTATTTCTGGTAACACTGTGGAGGCAATACTTTACAGGGTGGAAACTATGAACTTCCCTAAATCTGTTTCAAACATTTCTCTACTATGCGGAACAAACTATCTAACAAGTACATCTCCTTCTGTTATATCTGCCAAGATCACCAAAATATTAACCGCAATTTTTCAAAAATGGCCAACTGCTCTTATTCACGTGTTTCCTAATTTACCATAGTTTGATCATTGTTTTACTTTAGTAAAAGTTAGACACATATAAATTTACAGGTTTCAGCAACTTTACGTCGAGTGATAAAGCCTTCCAGCTGATAACACTAAAACCTGTTACCATCAGTGTTTTCCCCATTCAATTCCGCTAAGGGGAGGCTATTTTCATTGACGATTTCGGTAAATCAGAAGCTGCGAAAGCCAAATTCTTCAGTGACGCTCGATTAGACACAGAAAAAGACTCGCTATGATAGTGCTACAACCGTACAGTTGAGAGAAGAACTTTGAGCAACTTTGCGTCTAGTGATAAAGCCTTCCAGCAGACACTTTAAGCTGTGGCCATCGACATCGACTTTTGCCCCTGATATTTCAACTTGGCACCAGTCAGCCGCGCGGTTTAAACTCCGACTTCCGTTTCCTCTAGGCCGCGCGCAGAGCCGCGCCTGCACTACAAAGCCTTTAATTTTTATTTGTAATTTATGGCGTATATAAACCTTGCAACGGTTTCAACGGACTGGGAATTCCACTGATGAAGGGGCAGGCCCGAAACGTTTGGAAAGGATAACTTCAACCTAAACACGGCACTTTGGTTCATGATTTTTTTTAATGAACATTTTTGTTACCTCTATTTTCTAAAGTGCCACGCAGCTTAACGGAAATTCTTTCGTCATGTGGTGAAGAGGGTATGGGAGTCAGTGATGCACAAGTATGGGTAAGAACTCTTTTCGCTATTGCTGTGATCGAATTTGACTTACAATGTTCTTTTTTTGCTTTAAAATCTGTTACGCATTAATTTCTGGATTTGCATAGTATAGGTTGAACCATAATTATTCGTTTCAAGTAAACGCGCCTCGTTGGCTATTTACCATCTCATATCCAACGCGCCCTCGTGGAATAATTGTTAAATATATATATTAGTTAATAATAAGGGAAACTTGAGAAGTAACTGGCGCGTGCCAGTCAAGATTGAACAAAACCTCTTGAAACGAGTCATAAGACTCAGGACACAGGTATTGTAGGGGGTTTACGAGCAACTCGCTCGCTGAGCATAGAGGTACCAGGTATGTGAGTTTACATCTTGTTGTTCTCTAATCTTTACAGCAGCTCATATGTAACTAATCTCAACTACTTTCTCTCTTCTCGTGCTAAACACTGGCAACTTATATAAGTAAAACGTAGGTACGTCTAGGCTTGCTGACCATGAGAGTTACAAACGCTTTTCCGAGTGACTTAAACGAATTTCCTGTTGATAACCAAAGTGGAATAGACAAACCCATAAGAAAACCAATGAAAGCGTGACAGCTAAACCCACGAGACTCTACCTTAAACCAAAACAGGAACTCTGATGTACGTAACGATCAAGGTCAGTAATGGTTCCAAAACGTACCCACTTAAAAACTGACAATCAAACTTATTTAAACCCCAAGCTTGATGACACTTTGGTCGACAAACCCATTTAAAAAGGTAATAACACTCAAAAACCTGTTAACACATATACGGATTAAACTTGATCTATAAACTGATCATAACAAGACTCTATTCACGAGTGAAACGTCAAGCACAAACACGAAATAAACTTAAAATAACCTACAAAATACTTCACAACAGTATGTAAAACTAGCAGTAGCCGTTGTCTAGGAAATGCGGTCGAAGATGTGATTGCTGAAAACCGCTTTCATAATTGTGTAAGCCGTTTTAGTTCCAGTGTGAACAAAAGGATATCAATGCCGATCATGGAAACTAGACTGGATTGAACGACATAGTAAACACATATTTAATTCAACGATTTTATTTACATTTGCTTGGATACAATCACCCTGCAAATGGTGAGTAGCGAGGAGACGGCGGTATTCTCCAGCAAAGATGTATGCATAGGCGTACGGGCCGGGGAGGCGAGGGGGGCTGCAGCCCCCCCAAAGTTTGGGCAACTCAGATTTTTTGGGCAGCGAGAGGAAATTTGGGCAAAGCCAGTTTTTAAAGGAAGTCTCCATGTTCATTTAATTATTTTAAAGAGCTGAATATTAACCTGAAGTAGGCGTAATAATCCAGTTACATTACAGTGGTTGCTTAGCATGTGATGAGTAATTTACATATTTGCAGTTTTTTCTTTGATGGGCACTATACTGCACTGCACTAGCTGGAATGGGCTATTTCCAGTCGAGAATTAATTAAAATAAACTTTCGCATAACTTTCTAGAATCATCTCCACTCGAAGAACAGTGTATGGCAGATAGCATTTAGCAATGGGTATTGCCTGCATAGCAAGCGTTTCCGCGCGATTTCGACTGAAAACTGTATGAACATGAAGAAGTGGCTGACTAATTCTCAGTTTGAATTACGAGAAGAATCTTAATTCTTTTAAAAAATCTATCGAGCGGTTTAAAATTATCCGCTGATTTGTTAAAGTAGACCGAAATGTTTACAAAACCGCTAACAAGAGTGTCTCGATACATACTAATCAAATCCTTCTTTCGATTCCAGCAATCAAGCAGAGCTACCTCCACGATCTTTCACACAAGTTTTTAAAACGATTAAAGCTACTATGAGGTGAAATTGCAGGACAAAAGCACTTCATTTTCTACAGATAATGGCCAAAAATCAAGACTTTCTTTTCCTTACCGTATTTCTAATAATAAAAAATCATTGCAAAATATCTCGATAACGCTTTTGAGGTTTTGCTTAAACTTCACGAACATCGAGGCGACCGTATTGGAGAAAAAAGCTCCTGTGAACGATTTTGTAAGGTTCCCGTACCGAGAAAAAATAGGTAATGGAGTCATTTCGTTGCTACGACAACTCCGATGTCACTGCAACCCTGATAATGCCAAATTTTCATCTTAATACCACTGTGGTCGCAGTTTTTCCAAATGTTTGCTTATGGCGACGTAGTTTATGCTCAGAGTTGGTATTGATCCTGAAAACCTGTATCGAGCCACCTTCATATACCAGGAGGGCCTATGTTGTTGCAATATGGCCCTCATTTCTTTTCGACTCTTTCGTAAAAATTTGGGCAACTTAGGAGATTTTTTTGGGCAAATGGTTTACCGCCCCCCCTGGCAAAAAATTTCCCGTACGCCTATGGATGTATGTACATTGAAACAGCAATGCGTGACACAAGTAATGCATGTTTACAGTCATGACTGCAGGAGGTCTTATTTATATTCAATCGAATATTCAATCCGTGTCCAATGACCAAAGGCCGTTGATATGCAATAGAAAATAATGAAACAGCTTGAATAACCACCAGGGTTTAAAGCTTAATTGAAGCTTTCGCTCTGATGACAAGCGACGTAACATGGTTGGAAACGTACAAAAATATTAAAACCATGCACTGTAGTAAAACCTGAATAAACTTTCTAGACTTTGTTAACACTCGTATCTTAACGAAAACTTGTCCCGCACTAAGCTGAGATCAGGCTCTACTTTCATTTTCCTGGGTAAATAGTTTCAAGGCCGGCAAACAAGCAACGCAATAGCTTAGGCAAATTGATAAACATGCTTCGAATACTAAACACCAATCGTGAAAACAATGAGAGAAATGGAGAACAAGTGTTTAACTTTGAGGATTTATATAAGTTTAAACTGAAATCAATTGTATTAAACTCAACGCACTCTTTCCGAACACTCACTAATCTTCTTGCACCTCTTCTTCTTTCTCGAACTCCTACGCATACAGCGATACGCAGCGTCAGCACCGTGAAAAAAGCTCAACTCGCAGCATCGTGAAAAAAGCTGACCATTCACATACCATGCATATCAGTTGGAAGAACAAGGGAATCTCAAGAACGTGAACAGATGGAGAAAAATCTCACGATACAAATAAAAAAGTGCCGCTGACCAAGTCAAGATTAGGCTGCGGGCTCCTCTTGTCGCCCGCAATAACTGCTTATGATATAGCTAATACAGGTTCGGATTCCCTGTGGTTTGTAGGTCTTTGTTCCATTATAATAACTGGTTTTGCCGGCTTGGAAACAAGCTTAGTATAAATCAATGAGGAAAGTAAGTTCAGTGCTAAGTATTTTTTAACTCCTTTTGAAGAGTAACTAGCAATCCAGTAGAAAAAAAAATAGTAGAAAAGAAAAGGATCAAAGGGTGCCAATGGCTAACTTGTGGATTAATTATTTTAGAACTGAAAGCTGACAATGAACCTGCAGTTAGTCTACCGGCATATTTCAAGTCTGTCAGAAAATGAAAAAATGTCAAAAACAAAACAAAACAAAATAAAACAAACCGACCAAACAATTGCGCCACGACAGTTAATGTTAACAGCAACGTTTACACGAGGAGAATCAATTATGATTCAGAAACAGTAGACATTTCCGTTTTTATTGAACAAAGAAACATTTCATTTCAGAATGATATTTCACCACAAAACCATGAGATTGGGAGACTTGTCGTGAGAAAATTTGAGAAATCGTGAGAATCATGAGCTTGGACCAGCTTAGGAGTCGCAGAGCAATGCAATTGCTGATTTTTTTGTCATGTTTATCGCCTTGACTAGTCAAAAAGCTTCAAAAGTTCATAAACTCCTGTCTCAAAGTTGGCCATAGTGCTAATTTGAAACAATCAAAGTCTACATGTAAATGAATAGCTTTGGGCACAATGCACGCTCAGCACTTCTTGATCTCGGAACGGGAGTGATATCGTTTTGATATCGGGCGCCTTCGTGCGGAGCCAACTAATTACGAATTTGCGTACACCCGAGTGACACGTTTGATATCGCAGTGCCACAATAATAAGTTAAAAAAGGAAAGATTGGATAGATGTGACTTTAAGAATTCTCACCTAATGTTCGACCATGGAATCCTTTATCAAAGCCTAGAATTGACAAGGGCGGCGTTCCAGGAGCCTAGTGAAGATAACAAGGAAAAACTTTGTATCTGCAATTATGTTTTACGGTTTATTTCTGCGAAAGGCATTGTGTGCACTCATAAATTTTCGGAGTGGTACGTAGCACATGTTTTTCTAAAATGAAATATTTAGACTCTGCTAACGTAGGATAGGCATGTGTTTTAAGACATTGAAATTCTTTATCAAAAAGCCAAAGCGAGAGCACTTTCACAGTTTTAAGGAATTCATTATCAGCAACCTGTTTTCCACTAAAACCAAGATTTCTCGTAAGTCCTTTGCTTCTCATTTGCGGTTGCGCCAGTGGGCTCTCCCGTGCCCTTTTGCTACAGAAAACTTAAAAAAATTTCCGTTCGTTCTCGGAAAAAAAAATTGGAATCTTGAGATGTGGGAGGAATCTTTGAGTTACTGTTCCAGATTAATGTGCAATTTCACAAATACAGGGTGTCCCAAAAGTTCGTTCTTCTACTTTATAAGTCTGTATTTCAGTACGATTGGACTTGGTAAGGAAATCGTTTCAACAAAAGTTGTGTCTTTCAATATAATTCACTATTTTCATAATTTTTGTGCCATCTTTTGACTCGAATATTCGATCTGTGTACTTCCACGCCAAAGGTGCGAGTGCGCGAGTATATTTTCCAGCCACATATTTTTTGTATTTCATAGCCCGAATTGCTCGAACTCCTTCCTTGTTTTTTGTGAATATCATGAAAGATAAACCCCCTTAACGCAAAAACGTTCAGCTGCGTGAGAGCATAAGCCTGTATACTTCGATTTACTGACTTATCTGTTGTAGAAATTGCTAAAAAACTGGAAACATTCGAATGTTGGGTGGTAGAATGATCATGGAGAAATGAAGGTTTTGAAGGCAAGAAACTAAGGGGAAGACCAAAAGCCGTGAATGAAGCAGCTAAAATAGTTTTAACAAAGGCGAGATACAAAATAGGAGACTCGACAAGGAAGCTCAGTCTCAGATACTTAGCAAGCCAAATATAAGGGTCGTGAAAAGCTGTTCAAAATGTTTAAAATTAGAGGCCCCTGAGATGGCAAAAAAAACCTCTGCTTAGTCTGCCAATTAACGTCAAGCTCGTTTCAAATTTGTAAAGAAGTACAAAAGCCTTGCTGTGGAAGGGGGCCGGGATGATTATCTTTTTTTGTTGCATTCCCAAAATATATTTTTTTCAGCTGCCTAAACTAAACAAATTTTGTTTAGGGGTTGAACTGGATCCTGCGCACCAGGTGATAAAAAAGCTCAAAATGGATCATTTGTGGGTCTACACGCAACCTCGTTCCAAGGGTTCTCTCCTACCCGCCCTCTTTCTCTCTCGCTCCGTAGGGCGGGTAGGAGAGAACCCTGGGAACGAGGTTGGGTCTACACGCTGTATCCCAATTCATGCCTCAACGGCTACAGAATGTGATAAAAAAACAAAAAGGGCATGTCAGTTACTGAAATTTTGAATACACGTACTTGATAGAGAAATAAACATCTTCTAGCAATTTCATGTAAAAATATAGTTTTGATCAAAAGTTATAGTGCATGAAATCAGAGGAACGAACTTTTAAGACACCCTGTACAAACAGTATTATGGAATAATGTCCAAGTTAAGTGATTCCAAACATTGTTTTATTCGGTTATTTTACCTGATTAAGCATGCAGCTGTCTAAATCCTCGATACGTGGTTCAGGATCGCCCCGATGCTTGGACTGAAAGCCAATAAACCAATAGGACATTCACAACGGAGTCATTTCACTACAATTACTAAAACCGATTTCTTTCTTCCTTCCATGTTCAAATTTGGTAACGACGTTGTGGTTGTGGTTGAACTTCGACGCACAAAACAAAACCAAAAACAAAAACAAAATCCTGAGGGATTCTGGTAGTTCTGATAGGATTATTGTTGCTCCCTCTTGAGCGAGGTTCAACTTTTACGTATACCCGTGACCTTCCATACAATGTCTATTTTATCAACGCGCGTAAAATTTAGGTGCTACGCACGGAAAAATTACGCCACAGTGGAAATCCACTTTAACACGGCTTTTATAGAAGACGTGAACACACAGCAACAAGTTTTCCTCCCTTTTGAATCGTGGACGCATAGATAAATAGATTCATTGATGGATTATTAGGTATTCTACGCCAATGATTGCTCTGTGAAGTAGCACTTGTTGAAAGCACTAATGTCGAAGGCACAAACGTCACAACTGTAATAACATTTGGTCACAAGTGTAAGAAATATCTAAACGAAACTAAAATAGTACCTCGCAACTCGCAAATCTGAAAAAGACGACATCCCGGCACGCAGTCAGTTATCATTACCTGTCAAAATTGTTTCTCTCTTTTCTCCTCTGTAAAACTCTGTAAACTCGGGGCCTCCGAATTGCAAGTCCAGGGTTCTAACTACTCGGCGGCGCAGCCTCGTTGATTCTAGTACTCAGCGAAGGAAGCTTCATCCTTCTGGCCCCTTGCCCAGCAGACGGTGCGTTATCCTACCATTAAAGTGTTCTTACCAGCTGTTCGTTCTCTTCATATCGACCTCGGTTTCCCTGACCCTTTATTTGATTGTCTTAGACTGCAAAGCGCTAGGTGATTCATCAGGTGTTTGCGTACCAGTTACGCATTCTATTCTGATGATCATGTACAAGTCATTACATCTAGCACGGTACGGCCGCTGTAATTTCTGTGCTGCCAGAACCTTGACTTTTGTCGGTTTTAAGGTGAGCAGAGATTAACTGTTCCTAATTTCTGCAGTTTTATCCCGGATCAGCATATGGGCATTTCAGATATTGCCACTGACTCCGAAATCCCCCCCCCCCCCCCCTCCCCCGCCACCTTGTGTACGAGTGCACATCAAGGCCTCTGAAACTGATCCAGTTCGCAAAATGTTGTTTCATTCACATAGACACGGGGCGCTATTATCTCTGTGTAATTCGGGCACTGATGCAGTATTTGTCTTTTGGAGGCGACTGTGCTCGGCTTCTATTTCTCCATGTTGATGGTACTGAAGGCCATTGTCACCGGCTACTTTGACAAACTGGCTGTTTCGTCGGCTGGCATTCAAGTAGATTTTTCGAGCCATAGTTTCCCTATTAGTAAAGCCACGGTCGCCAACTGTAATGGGGTCCCTGGCCATTTGATCTAGGCGATGGGTTGTTGGAAAGGCAGTGCTTACCTACTATATATACGAACTCCACCTGAGTCTCTAGCTCAGCTGTCGTTGAACTTGACTTAACTGGTTGTTGCTGCTCCACAGTCATGGCAATTCAGCTGTCTCCGGCCATTTAGTGTATAGTAACTGAGAGTGTCAACTTCTCTTACCGGTTACCGGTTCTTCTGCCATTCATATATAGGGTATGTGGCGTTTTCGTTTCAGGGGGATAGTACCCGGAAGGTTTACGGGTTTTTAGTCCCGTGACCACCCTGTTTACGGGCCCGTTCGCTTTACACGCACTGAAGAGCTCTGTTTGACTGGCTGCCACCCACAGGGTTGTCATGGTTACGCACTGCACTTGGCTGCGGCCCTTGGCGCTACCAACGTCTTGTGCACCTACCCCACGCTTACCTTTGTTGATGAGTATAAATGTGGCTAAATAAATTTTACGCTAAGTTAAACTCGAGACACTTCTGGCCAGCAGTTTCTCACTCGTGATTTTTGGGGGTGGCCTAATAGCTTCGTAGGGTGTAATGAACATTCAATCAAAAAGTAACTTGATCACATAATTAAGCTTAGTTTTGGTTTGATCCTAAACAAGATACGGTTCTATTTTGTTTCATTATTGAGTTTTATGCCCCAGTTTTAAAGTACTATTGTCCACCGTTTCAATCACTTACGTACCTAGCCATTCTTGCTTTAAACCAGTTTACAACTGTACAGGTGAATTGTACCCTTATTAGAGTACGCCCCTTACGTTTTTGCAGAGTTGGAGTTAGAGGAGATCGACGGAGATAGATCTGAGTTTTCACAGGAGTTTTACTTTTATGGAGTTGCGTAAAATTCGAGGTTCTTTAGCCCTTTCAGACAGGATCAGACGTAAGTTACAGCCTTCCTTTCAATTTTGTTTCTTTTGTAATTAGTCTTAGCCCCTTTTTTGATCTTGGACATTGCAATTAACCCTTTTAGTTTTCACAACATGTGTACAATATTCGGACGAGTTGATGATCAAATTAAATGCTGTTGAGTCCACTTGTGCCGTTCATTTCTATACTGTGGTTGACACCTTCCGAGCTCCAGTGCACAACAGCCCGTGTCAGCTACATTGGGAACGCGACACAGGGGACTTTGGGTTTTATAGCTTTTCTTTCTTTCTTCCTTTAATCGTTATTTATACACGGTAACAAAATACATCAGGTGTAAGAAATTCTAATACAATGACTAACATCCTAAAACCTAAAAATCCTAATCCTAACATTGTATTAACTTACAAAGACCTGATTTCCATGAATGCCGTGTTTAAAAATTATGATAGAGAAGGCGTTTAAATTGATTTAATGAACCAGACTCTCTAATGTTACAGGGCAAGCTGTTCCAAAGGGTTGCGCCGCTGTAACTAAAACTATTTTTCATGTCGTTAGTTCTTGGAAAGGGGACAAGTTTGTTTACCGAGTCCCTCAGAGAATAGTTTGATTCATTTCGCTTTATAAATTTAGACGTGGGATATTCGGGAACCAGCCCGTTTAAAGACTTGAAAACCATTAAGGCGTTCTGAATTTGACGTTGAGATTTCAAGTCTTTCCAGCTGAGTTTGTGAAACAAGGAATCGACATCTACGTCAAAGTTTGATGAAGTTATTACTCGTGCAGCACGGTTGTGCAGTTTTTGTAGCTTGTTAGATAATGTTTTGCCACAATTACCCCCGACTAGGCTGCAGTAATCAAAGTGAGATTGAACTAGTGAGTTGTATGTATTGAGTAGGGTGGATTGAGGCACAAATGGCTTAACTCGCTTTATGGCTCCAATTGCAGAAGCGATCTTTTAACACAGTTTATCAATGTGGGAATGCCACGTTAAATTTTCATCGATATATATTCCAAGTGATTTCCCAGAGGGAACTTGTTCAATCGGAACATTCTTAATGGAAAGTTCGAGTGTATCAGATAGAGCCGATTAACATAAATTCAGTTTTGGTAGCATTCAAGGTAAGTCTGTTAGACACAAGCCATTTGCTTAGCTTTTAAGGTCGTGAGATAGACTAGACTGAATCAAATGCAAATCAGAACTAGCATAAGTAATGTGGGTGTCATTAGCACACATTCTAGGTATGCTGAACGAAAGACAGTCAGGCAAATCGTTAATATATATTAGAAATAAAAGCGGGCCAACGGTTCCCTGTGGCACACCACATTTAAGAGTGGTGAAGTCAGAGAGACAACAGTTAACTGAGCACCGTTGTGTGCGATTCGTCAAATACGATTTAAGCCAATCAAGAGTTTTACCTTGAATTCCACACCGAATCATTTTAGTTAGTAATATCTCATGATCAACAGTGTCGAATGCCTTTTTTAAGTCGAGAAACACTACGGCATTGACGTAGCCACGATCGATATTAAACGCCCAACTGTCAGTGGCTTCTAGAAGTGCAGTAACAGTTGAGTGTAGAGACCGGAAACCAGATTGTTGTTTAGAGATGATTTCTTCACTACTTAAGAAGTTGTATAACTGATCGTACACAATCCTCTCGAACACTTTGGCGACTACGGAAATGACTGAGATAGGTCGGTAGTTGTTTAAATCAAATGACTCGCCCTGTTTAAACAACGGTTTAAACGATTAGTGTTCGCATCAGGTGTAGGAGAAGCCAAATTACAGTTTAAGTCACCTAACAAATGGTACTCTAGGTCGAGAGAATCTAATTTGCCTATAAATGACTTGTAACTCGAAAATAAATCGGCTGGAGAACAGGGAGGTCTGTACCATGTTGCTACTAGAAATGACTTACAGTTCGGTTTACGAATTTCAGTAGGTCTATTTCTGTCAAGACGGATAAATTCATAGCCTGGTATATGGAGTTCGGAACTTTTTTATGGATTAGTCAAGTTTGGTTTCACTAATTGCCAGAATATCAAATGAAAACTCAGCAAGAAAGACTCTAAGTTCGTCAACATGTTTGACGAGGCTGTTAACGTTCAATTCGGCCATTTTGAAACCATGTTTAGCTGGTAAAAAATTAGACATATTGGAAGGACCCGAACTACCTGAATGAACTTCGCTGTCTACTAATTGTGGCAACGTTTGAGAAACTAGAGGATAATCGACATTCATGGAATTAGGAAATCAATAAGATCTCAGAAAATTTACAAAATTCTTTTGCAGAAGCTCGTTACCTTCCCTGTTTAGGCGCAGTCCACCTTTGTTAAGTCCTTTTGAACTAATGTTAGCATGGCATAGTTTCCCGCTATTTTGGTTACAAAATCGTTTTAGACGTTTGTTTACCGCTTTGAGGGCGTCGCAGTAATCATCATTCCTTGCAGTTAGTTCAGATATAATTATTTCAGACTGGGAAGCATTCTCAACCTCTCTGGCCAAGTCTATAATAGCATCTGCCACATCACTTTGTGTAGATGATTTCAGATCGTTGGTACCCACATGTAGAAAAATTTGATCAGGAGACTTATCAATTGCAGGAACAACGTACGAACGCATGTCGCGAATTGTGGCTCCGGGGAACGGCTTGACAACAACCCCATGTCCCACAGTCTTGGCTAGTTTTATTCCTTGAACGTTCTTTATCATGGAGTCACCAATGACGACTTGAACGGCTCGTTATTTATTGTTTGAGACGCGATGTCAGTAGAATTACGGGCTGGCATCTTTCTTCCAGCAGGTAATTGACGCTCTTTCTTTTTGTTTCTGAGCATTGTATTGTTATCACGTACTGTCACCCAAGGGGTTTCCTCATCATGCAAATTTTGCTCCTTGATATTTTCATATCTACCATCTCGATATTTTCTTTCTTTGCCATTAATTTCGTTGTTTAAAAGTTTTAGAGCAGTCATTAAACTTTTATTTTCATCTTGAATAGATTTTGTCTCACGCTTTAAAGAGTCGTAGCGGTCTTCCACGTCGCGAAGTCTCTGTTTTAAGGCGTTGTTCTCATCTTGAAGCTTTGTCAGCTCACAATTAGAAGTCAGGTTAGATAAAATTTGCCGCGACGAATTAGCCTTGATCTCTTTCACTTCAGTCTGTAAATCTAATAGAAGGGGTAAGCATGGGTAGTTCTCTAAGTTGTTGGTTTTGTCTCGTGCCGTACACAGTAGCGAAGTATCAGTTTGGTCAGAGACTGCACTCGTTCTCTGGCGGGTACTTTGAAAAGATGACTTCAATCGGGGGATCAGAGTTTGTTTGTTGTTTCCCTTTTTTTTTTTTAGCAAGCTCATCTTTCAGTGCTGAGATGGTTAGATTCTCAATTTCTTTCTAAGTTAGAGGAACCAACTCGTCCTTTCTCTCGGAAGTAATATGCTTTACGTTGCAGCCATTTCTGCCATGACTGTTGTTGGCCGGCAACGAAGATGATTCAGGCCTAGCATCTATCAAACGAAGACTTGAATCTTGTTTTTCATGAGCAAAATACTCGCTTGCAGATTGTGTGAAGATATCCGGCAACGAAGCAGACCTTCGTAAGGCGCCCGTAGCGAAATTTGCTTTGAGAGTCGGAGCTTCAGAAACCCGTCTTGCCGCCACTGAAGTCACTTATGCGGTTTCCACTGAGGTCAGCCCATTTCGTTCGCGTTGCTTCTCGTTGCTTGTGATCGTTAGCCTGTTTTGTTCCTTTCCCTACCCTCCGTTTGGTAAATATATGGAAAGTATTCTAGGTTCCACTGGTTAGCAGTGTGATGGTGTCCAGGAGGTTGCAATCACAGCGTTGTCATGGTTACGCATTGCTATCAGCTACGGCCCTTGGGTCCACCAACTTTTTAGGCAACTCCCCACGCTCATCTTTGTTGATGAGTGTAATTCTGAATTGTTCCGTTTTAACGTTGGAGCGGCCGCTGGCCATTCAACTCGTAGTGACGTGTAAAATTACCATGATAGATAGATAGATAGTTAGAGTGTGACTCGGACCATGAGGTGATGTGTGAATGTAAAAACCTTCTTTTTGCGTTATGAGTCTTTTAAACGTTTATTGGATCATGGATTTTCCAAAGCGGTCCTGTTCGTACCGGCTCCAAACTGTTTAGCCATTAAGCTAAATCATCGAAGGGTTCCATACCGTGGGTGAACCATAAGTAATATCGCCGCTTCACAACAGCGCAATACGACCTGACGATTCGGTGAGCCAAACCGGATCAAATTCGTCACCAAGTTCCTTATCTCTCTCAAGGAGAAGAACAGACGCCCTAATCAAAGCTGCAACTGCAAGCCTCGAAGCTAGACAGTGGAAGGAACGGATAAGGAGGGAAAATGAAGCCGCAAACAAGAATTCAAAGACAAAATGGCCCAAAGGGAGTTAGAGTTAAGTTTGGAACGTCGAAGACAGGAACTCGAACTGTACATGTTACGCAAACAAAGAGAGGACGATCTGGCCATAATATCTGCACAAGAACAAGCGGAGAAAGCAGAACTTGACAATCAAATACTTGGACAAGTCCTTATCGAAAGACAAGAGAACAGAGAGTGAATGAGTAAGTTCAGTAAAACCTCACCACCTTTGAAACATTATTTAGTTCCCAGTCCCCACGCAGTTAGTGAATTTGAAAGTAAAGGTGTTTATTCAAGTCCATATATTGAAGATGAACCCGGAATGTCAATGGGATATGTTTCCCAAGAAAGTAAACCAGTTGTTTACCCAGAATCATTCCTAAGCTATGACATAGAAACTGCTATCTCATATGAAAATACTCCATTGAGTACAACTTCCAAGTCCTTGCCATTAAAGAATTTACAATTCCATGCTGCTAACAGTTATGTCCCCAACTTGGGTACAAGTCAGGCACCGATTGCCAAAGCAAGTGAAACAGATGTGTTACCCTCCAGTACTACTGTAAACCTACCTGATCAAAACCTCCTTCATCCTGGAAATAAATGTTCATTTCAAGCAACACTAGCTATGATGCATTCTCTTCAAATAGTCATGTGACTGTGACGCGCCATAAACATGGGCCATCTTTTAATGGTAGTGCATCTTCCGCTTACTTTGGTACAGAATTTCATCGTGGTATTCACCCCCTATACTAGTAGGGGAATCACGTATTCCGCTGCCGTTGACCTACAGCACTAACTGTAAAGACAACCTAACTTGGGCTTCCTGTGAACCAAAATGTGCGTCTTCTATTTATTATTCTCGTCCATCCTTCATGACACAATAGGCCCCCTGTACCCGAAAGGCATCCACACCTTTCCCGAGTGGCCTTGACTTTACAAGTAAGCATCATTCAGCTCAAGTTCAAGAACCAGTAGATTCACTTATTGATAATCTCAGAGAGGGTCAGGAAACTGTCTTCCAGTTGAGTTTGATAACTTGCAAACAGACTCAAGTGTAGCTCTCCTGCGAGCACAAGAATGACAGCGATTACCACCACTTGAGCTCTTTATTGCGAGGTTTCGTGACCAAATACGCAACAAGACAACTCCCACTGATTCAGATAGGATGGCCTATCTATTTCAAAACCTCGATGGTTAAGCTAAGAAGGCAGTTGAGAGTCTAGGTGTCACAGGTCATAGCTACGCAGCCGCCCTTAAGACACTGAAACGCCAATTTGGAAACCCTAACAGTGTTGCCACATCTTACTTGAACAACATGTTGGACAGTACCCTTGTGCTTTCGAATGACAGACAAGCCTTGCGTGACTACTATTACCAAGTGAACGCATCTACGACGTGGTGGGTCAAGATGGGTCAGTCTGCTAAATTCCAAACCCCTGAGTACACAGAGACAGGTCCAACCTGGTGGAATTTGAGAAATGGTTGCGTAATCGAGTAGACACATTGTCTAATCGCCTGAAGGAGTATATATGCGAGGAATGGAACAAGAAGCAAAGACCTACCAAACCAAGCCAAGCATCAGGCTGCATCCCCTTGCCACGGGAGCAGAGCCCTCCTGCGAAGTTCCAGTGGAAAGCAATGTTATCACCGATCCAAACCTAAATTCTCAGCTGCATCCCCTGGCTATGGCAACAGCGTTCTCCCCAAGAGTGCAAAAAGACAGCAATCATTTCCACGGCTCAAATCAAGGTCAAGCCAACTTTCAAAACAATTAAGCAGAAAGGAACGTCCAGTCAAATGAAAAGAAGTACGTTGTTTGCCAAAGAAAGCATCCTTCATTCAATTGCTTAAAGGGAAATTATCAGGCGAAGTCAGCGTGCAAAGAAAGTACTGTCCGATAGCCTGGGGCTAGTGGATTTTGTTTTAAGCTTGCCCGACGGGCAAGTGATGTTCTATGAGGAATTTGAATAACAGAAGAACAAAACGTTTTTGGGGCTGGTTGAAATAACGTCTGGGCTGGTAAATGCTAACTTCAGCTTACCCGAATGGCAAGCTGTAAAAATGATTGTCTTTGCACCCCTGCGAAGTGCTGTCTGAGTGAAAAACGATGTTTGAAGGAACACTGTGGTCTTCCGCATCACACGCTCTTACATGGAAGTCGCCAAGCAGACTCAAGTTCTAACAATTGGACAAACACCCAGAGAGGCCTGTCTGGACATCTGTTGCTCCACAAGAAAGTGTCCGACGTTCCAAGCCTATCCCAAGTCTGTTTGTTACCTATTGCCAAGATCAACGTCAACCAAGTTTGTGCTCAGCCACGACGAAAGGTCCTCCTTCAAGTCCTGCCGGTTCAGATCCATAGCCAAGGATGATTAGTCCCTGCGTATGCTGTTCTTGATCCTGGGAGTGACTCGACCCTTATTAGAAAGGACTGAGCAGACCACCTGCAACTTGTCGGTGAATCTTACCAACTTGGCCTGAGCCTGAATACGGTTGGCAGTGATGGAAAGACAGCATCTGAACAGAGTGAGCTTTGGTCTCTCATCTAAAGATCACCCAGAACCTGTAACAGTGAACGGAGCATGGGTCATTGACAAGCTAAATATCCCGTCCGTCAAAGTACCGAAGAAAGCAGCCGTCGATCAGGAGTCATTTGTCGGGTATTAATCTACCTGAACTTGACGGTTCCGAAGTAATGCTTCTTATTGGATCTGATGTGGCTCACCTGCTGATTCACATTGAAGTCCGCCAGCGACGAGTGGACGAGCCCATCGCCATCAAAACCCCCCTTGGATGGACCCTCTTTGGTAATGCAAACAAAGGACTGTGTGAAGCAATCAATGCAAACTTTCTTTCAACAAACGAAGGGCTCCCGTTGGGCTAACAAATTGAACGATTTTGGGAGGTTGACTCTTACGGAACGAAGCAAGCACCCTCCGAAGCCACTTTGTCTGTTGAAGACCAAAGAGCCCTTGCTATCTTACAGAGCAGCACAATGAAAAAGCGAGGCCACTATAAAACACCACTGCTATGGAAACGTGAGCCAGTCATGCCAAACAACCGCACTATGGCAGGTTCAAGGCTTCACTCAACTGAGAGGAAACTAATTACGTAAATAACGGACACGCAAAAAGAATACCACCCGAAGAGGCTAACGTAACATCCTCAAAAACGTGGTACCAGCCACATCTCACAGTGCTGAACCCCAACAAACCTGGAAAAGTCCGTGTGGTATTTGACGCTGCGGCAAAGTTTCATGGGTTTCACTAAACAGCGAGCTTTTGACAGGTCCCGACCTGTTGAACAATATGGTAGGAATCCTCATGAGATGTCGTAGGGAAAAGATTATGTCACGGCGGACATTAAACAAATGTTCCACCAGGTTTATGTTTCTGAGGAAGATAGAGACTCGCTGCGCTTCTTGTGGAGAGATTTAGATGAAACAAAGTAACCAGACGAATATCTTGTGACAGTTCATGTCTTTGGCTCTGTCGAGTTGCGCAAGCTCTGCCTCACAGAGAACTGCTCTTAACCAGCAAGGAAATTCAGCGATGATAGGATAAACGCACTGAAGAGAAGTTTTTACACGGACGAAATCGAACTCAGATGAAGCCATAGTTCTGGTCAAACAGTTGATAGAAAGCCTAGCAACTGGAGGATTTCGACTCACCGATACCCTTCGAGTACCCTTTAACCGTTTTATCGATCTTAAGTTAAATTTCCATACAAATCCATATAATTTGGTTTCCAGTAGGCTGTTTTGATTCTGAGCGCCGTGTGATGCCGTCACTTTACGCACTTTTGTAAGATTTGAGACAATGATCTGACCTAGTATAGAATTTAAAAACTCTTAAGACATTTTCTGACCGCGAATAGAAAGAAAAAGTTCTGAAGAATATTTACAATATTTCGACCTATTGGTTGTAAAAAGAGAGTTATTGTTGCCTGGAGTTCACCTTGAAAAACAGCAAACACGGCGAAAAGCTACAAGGTTTTATTCACAACTCAGGATTTTCGGAGACATTTCATTCTCAATACGTCTTCGTGAATAAACATTGGTGTTCTTTTGAATGTTGGCAGCTTTGTCAAAAAGTTAAAACGTTTAGATTTTTGGTTTGGATAACATCTCATGAAAATTGCCCGGAGAAACTAAATAATGGCTGAAGGAGAAGCCTTCGCTTTCCAGCTTTGCAGAAATCCGTTAACCTATTTATCGAGGAACAGAAAAACAAACACACGTTATCGAAAACTAGACGAGATGTTGGCTTGCTCTTCGAGTTTCTGAAACCCAAGCAAGAAAACAGAAAAATAGAAGAGATACAACCACAAGATACAAATCAATGATTTTCTGAGCGAGTTTATAGTTACTGTGAAAAGAAAAGACGGGGCGATTATGAACCGTCAAGCCTCAAGCGAGCTTCAATCGTCACTTGAAAAACGTGAAGTATTCCAAAAGCATCGTCGAAGATCGAGAGTTTGAGCAAACAAGGAAGGTGCTGGATGCTCGTTGCAAACCCCTGAAAAAAGAAGGCAGGAGAAACAGAACATTTGCAGCCGAGGCTATCAGCGATGACGAAGTAAGCGTTCTTTACGAGAGTAAACTACTGGGAATCGCGAGTGCCGAGGCTTTAATCAACACGGTCTGGCATGTGCTGGACAGATAAGAAACTTCTGAGGGATGCCAACGAGACCGAATATTTAGAATACTGTGAGCTTCAAACCAAAACAAGAAGCCGTGAAGAGCCTCGGAACATTAGACCATTTAAACCTTAAGCTTTCGCTAGGCCGGACAGCCCACCCGAAAAAGACCCAGTTTTTGTCTACAAATTCTATTCTGAGAAAAGACCTAGCTCAATGCAGACCGTCGAAGCACCGTACTACCTCGGCATAAATCACAGCAAAGACTCCAGTAAATGCTGGTTCAAGGGGAGTCCGATGGGAGTCAATAAACTTACCTCGTTAATGAAAACAATGGCAGGAAAAGCTGGCTGCGAGCGACGACTAACCAACCATAGCGCGCAAAAGCAAATGATGCAAAAACCGTGAACGATAACAATGTTCCTCCAACACACATCATGCAGCTCTCTGGTCACCGAAATTTGCAGAGGGTTAAAAATTACAGCACTTTGTCAAAAGAGCAGCAGAAAAATATGTCGTAGATTTTGAGCGACAATTCAGCCCCACCAAACGCAGCGCATACTGCTAAAACTTCACAAACAGTGGCAACTGCGGAATCCTCATTCACCAACAGTTCAGTTATTCCTGCCTCAGGCGCATTTAGTGGAGCCGTTTTTCACGGGGGGCACTTTAATATTACATTAAATACGCTGAATAAGTCACCAAATACCTCGAAATACTCTGTTTCTACTGTAGCACGGAGCTACAAACGCATCAAGCGAGTTCTTGACCCGCCTGCTGTACCATTCCAGTGACAATTTTTTGTCAAAGTTTTCTTATTGATAGTACTATTCGGTGTTTTTGGGGTCATTTAATGATGTAAATATTCCCAAAGCCACTATTCACCGAGATTGAAAAGAATAATTGTTTTAGTATATACACACGAAGTGATCTCAACAAAATCAGAGAGGAAACCATTAAAAAGTACGATTTGATTGACACATCAAATCACGCGTAAGTTTAAAAATAGATCTTTGCAGAATTTTCAAACATGGCAATTGACAAGTTTATCATTTCGCAAACAACAGCGTATTGGCTTAAATGGAACCGCTAAAAGTTTGAACTGTTTCCTTACCTGAGAAGAAAAGTAAAACTTTGTTGCTTTCTGTTGACTCGCCAAGTTTATGACCAAGAGGGTTTGTTGTGTCGTTCTTCGAGTGAAGTGCTGACAAAAATGGCGGCTCGGTTGCTCGAGGTTAAGACGTCGTTTTCCTGTATTATTCTTTTTCCTGTTTACTTGAAACGCAGAATTTCTGCAAACATTTCCTTTTAAAATTTGTTTGTCATAAATAAACTTCGATTTTTCAGCCAAAATTTTTTTGTTAGAAAACGCTGAGTTCACGAAACGGCTTCTTCTACGCGGATACACGGGAGTTGTAAACAATCCATTGAACACAAAATTCAGCTACAGTAAATTGAAAAACGCCGTATTGAATCCTTCCAAGTCTTTTCTGGCCTTAAAAAAAGTCAGCCCTAGGATTTCGTCAACTTTTAAAAGATCGTTCTCTAAAAAATGGGAAAAACACCGAGCTCACACATTATCCACTCGCTAGGAGGTGAATATTGTTTAATAGTCAGAGATGGCGAACCAATCAGATTGCTTAAATCACCAAGATCACTGAGTGTGTATATACTAATAAGGGTTATTGTAAGTGGTCAACAGGTGCGGTTCTTTGGAGCATCAAACAACAATACAGATAACACCTGCAACTAAGAGCCAGCACTTTCCCAAGTCAGCCCCGCTAAATAGGTTCTTACATAAGCACAAATTTAGGTTCTTACCGGGTATTTTCTGAAGAAAAAATAGATTCAAGCTAAGACTATTCAGTGGTATTCAGCTTATTCCTTATATAAAATATGCATACAGCCACATACCGGTATTGCAGTATGATAGGCATAGACAGTGATAAGGCACCTGTGTCTCTAAAGAGGATCCCGAATGTTGACATATCTTACTTGCCCAAGTGTACAGAACTTTGTTAAACAGATCTTAGAAAATAAGAACCTGTTTTTCAAATATTGGGCTGAACAGGTTCTTGTATAGAGCAGCCCTAACTGGCAAATTTTAGCCTAAAAGGCTCTGAAACCCCAGGTTATTTACTTGCTGACTTGTACTGTATTAGCTGTTTTTGTTTTTGACATTTCCTATGCTGAGTAAGGGTAAGGGATGAGAACAGTAGAAGTCTCGCATGCAGTATACATACTCATAATGTTTCCAGGCATGGGTGAAATAACAGTAATTTCTAATGTTTTCCAATTATTGAAGACAATTAGCGATGGTGATCTTCTTGTCAGTCGGAGATGCTTAATGCTGGTTGGTTCTCTCAAAATCTTCATTCAGTTAAAGTTATATTTATGATGGAAGGAATAGCGTTATGTATGGTTGGGACCTCAATGTAAAAGAAATAAAAGGGTGCCTATGGTTAACTTGTGGATTAATAATTAATGATTATTAAAATTAATTATTTTAGAAATGAAAACTGATAATTAACTTGCAATTTATGTCTTCCAAAAAATGAAAATATGTTTTTAAAAAAGCGAAACAAAACAAAACAAAACGACGAGGAAAAAAGAAACAGTGTCCTCCGGCGGGAGTCGAGCCCCAGGCCTTTGGCATGTATGGGCAAGGCGATATCCATTGCGCCACGATAGCTAACGATACGCTCTTGCATTCAATTAATCATATCTAAGATTTTTTTTCCCATGAAATTCTGCCGGTGGACGCTGTATAAAAAAACAATAGACTCAAATGCAGCTGGTTTTGCTGATTCAGGGCTTGCCTGTGAAGCTTAGTTTCTCGCTTGTTGTACACAATGAATTCGTTGTCTTCGGGCTTCGTTTTTGGCTTCTTGCACTACAGAAATATCAGGCCACGAGCTAGGCAATTAGAAGGTGAACTGTGGGTGCGACCACAGTTTCTGGACACCCGCGTTCCTCCTGACGGTTGAGAGTGAGACGGTTGGTTACCATGTGCTCCTTTTCCTTTGTTTTGGTTAGATCTGTCCTAAATGTCTCTGCTGTTTTGGATGATCCTTGAACACGACCGTGAAACTTGAATATAGCAAAGACAGAAGTAGCTCTGGGACTGACGTGAGCTTCGAAGCGATTGCAGTATGTTTGTAACCTTCATTTCCTCGTCGGTGAGGTCGCTCGCTCTTCGTTGCTTCAAAGATAAGCAGAAGTATTGGACTCAATGCTAGACTAAGGCATTTTACGACATTCTCAACACTTGAACATGTTTACCGGTCCCTTATCTATCCATATCTGTCGTATGGTCTTGTTGCCTGTGGCCTAACTGATCGATCCCATCTAGAAAAAAATTTAGTGCTCCAAAAAAGAGTAGCTCGTCTGATGAACTTTGCCAAATTCCGAACTCATGCTATCCCATACTTCATTTCATCTAACTTAACATCATGCCAATGTCTACGCTATACTTTAAGATCTCTTCTATCCTAATGCATGATGTTTCTAATGATTCTGCACCGCCTAGCATCAATGGCATATTCACTCTCTCAAGTCAAGTTCATAATTACAACACCCGATCCTCTTCAGCTGGTAATTTTTATAAGAAATATTCTGTACTGAATCATCACAAAAACTCTTTCGTTAGCGTCGGGGCTAAAGTTTGGAACAAATACACAATCCATTACCACTTGATCTTCAACGACAGGATAGTTATGCTGATATAGACACCCTTATTAATGAAATCAAAAAAGGATAATATTAATCCAATGTATTGTAACCTTTATTTCTCTACTTATTTACATATTTATTCATTCGTATTATCTTTTTTAACCTCTTTTTCCTTGATGTTGTAAATCTCTTTTATTTTCCTTGTTAAATGTCTTTTAGTATGTAGAGTACCCACACTCCCTGCCTCGAATAGCTTTAATTAGGTAAATGCAGGCAGTGTGTATGTTTAATGTATTTCTCTGCCTTTTAATAAAATTGTTGTTGTTGTTGTTGCTCCACGTGTTGTAGATATCTCGTCCCTTTCGCCCGACCCAGATAAGTAGGTAGCTGCAATAGTCAGCTTCTTGGTGTGATTTGAGCGGGCGGGAGAACATGAGCTCCACGTGCTGTTTGAAGCGACGCCAGTTTTCCTCAAGATTTTCGCCATCCCAGTGTAGCTGTGGGCATTCGATGCCGCTAAGACCCATTTTCCTGTGTAATCGCTTTTACTTTTGACACCATGCAATACTTATCTGTCGCATTGAGCAAGCTGTGGTCTTGAGGCTGAGTTTAACCTACTTTTAGAGCGACAGTATGGCCGAATGAAAAACATATGATCGAAAGGCATTATGGTAACAATAGAACCGGAAACATAAACACCGGAAGTGACAGGCTATAGCTAGAGTCATTACACTAATCATCCCATTTTATGAACTGGATCTGCCTTACAGGCAGCCCAGTTAAAAAGGAAAAGGGAAAAGGCGGATAGCAAAACAATCTTATCAAAGGCAATGCAGTACCTTTGTGCCTAGATGTAATTTACTTTTTTAACTTTGTTAAGACGTGTATTACATTCGTGACCAGATGTAATGACACTTGTGACTTTTGTTACCTTTGTAATCTTATCAGTTATTATGTGCCTTTGTGAACTTCTTTCTTCTATCGCATTTGCCAGCTGATTTACCTTTACTACCAATTTTGCAAACATGACAGAGCACTTACATATTCAACTGCTAACGTAGATTATAACTACACTGTTTACAGTACCTTGTAATGCATAAAAGCAAGTTTAAAGGCATTTTCTACCGAGCACGTTCCACAAGCCATTGTTGTAACTTCTGGCAATCCCGGTGGAGCTACCTTTTAAAAATAAATGTAACTTATTTACATGGTTGTAACCTGCACTGAACAGCCTATAAAGTAATTCTCTTCATTTAAATAACAAAATGCTAACATACCTAAATACACACTTTATTGCAACTCCCTTAAAGGACAATTCAGCCAAAAGAATTACAAGAAAAAGGAGGAAATAACAGTAATATATAAAAATGATTAAATAGAAAAGTAATGAATGACATAGAACTCGCTATTTGCAAATTCAATTATCGATTGGGAAGGACTCAGTGAATTAAACATTATTTAACATTGACGCCATTCTAAAGCTTTGCCTCTTGGTAAAACAAGGACCGCTGACGGACAGCCCGATGGCATCTCGGAATGTTCAGCTGACTACTCTGTTTTGCACTTCTCGTGTGAATTTGGCTACGTCGGCTGAATTTCTGAGCCAAGTAAAATGCGAGCAATTGTCAGACCCAATCGAACAACATTCAGCATTTACTCATACGGATACAATGACACACTTAAGATATTTTTTAAAGTGAACATGATTTATTTCATGCGTTTAAATTCTCTTACACTTAATAAAGCATCTTTTAAATCTTGAAGAAATGAGACAGGTGGGAAGAGTCCTAAGGCAGCACGGTTCACAAAGGACGACTGAAAATAAAGCAAGAAATTCAGTAACAAAAAATTAACAAGGCTATTCACGCACTAGAAAGTTATTTCTGGCAATTAAATACCAGATATTAGATAAACAGCCTTGCAGTGGTACAGTAAAATGTTATTATGAAATAATAACAACTGTCTGAAAGCGAAGTAAAAACAAAACATCAAATAGGTTAAAACAGACAATTTCAAGATCTGCACACTTCAAGCGATATACTGCATATGCAGATAAACCAGCCAACCCTTTCATCACACCTACCCTAGAACCTGGCTGTCGACCAAGCTTGTCTTAAGCATGGCAGAGGACATGAATAATTATATTTTCAGGACTATTTTAGGTCACGGTAAGCATACACCCTGATTATTTGTTAAACAGGGTTAGAAAAAGAACGCTGGAACAAAGAAAAAATTCCAGGCCCTATAGTTTTATTTCACAGATGTATCAATAATAAACAAACCCTATGCCACAGACAAGAATTTTTAATATTAAAATCTGTAATTACAATTTAAGAGGGTCGGGTACACTTCTGATGCTACCTTATTGTAATCTTAAGAATGGCGCCACAGATCATTTTCATTTCAGACCGCGAAGCTTTGCAATTCTTTACCCTCCTAGGTTGGAGGAGCTAAGGATATTCTTACCTTTGAACGTCTTTTAAATAAGCATGTACATAGAAGTATTTAGAATTTCATCATCAACATTACCAAATATTATGTAAATACATTTAGGGATATTAAATTTGAATGACATGTATTAGTTACTTAGTATTTTTTATTTGCGCACATGTTTTAACGAGTCATTTAACTCCTAGATGTAGCGGGGTAAAATAATGAAAGTATTGTACTGTATGGCAATTTGCTTGGTTGCTTAAAGAAAAATCGGCAACTTAGAGGTAAACACATGCAATTTCTGTTTTGGCGAATTTACCAATTGAGAAAAGCAGCGAAACTTAGAACTTCGTGGCAGACGCGATGAAAATTGCCACTATAGGAGAGCTTTCTATCTATAATAATAAAGGTAACTCTTCACAAGAATACTGATCAAACCAGCTGGCAATTTTCAACGTAAAACCTAATTTTAATAATTTAAATAATCTTTTCGTCTCACGGAACAGTATGCTTAACAGTATGATCAGGTGATAGTTAAGTATAAACAACTCAACAGCATAATGATAAAAAAAGGGTGTTCGTAGAATGCGAGTCGTGGAGTTGCGAGTTGCCAGTTGCGAGTTGCTAGGTGAGAGTTGCGAGTTCCTAGTTTCGTGTTGCCAGTAATGGAAAATGGACGAGCTCGACTTCAGTCTGTCTATTCAGTCAATTTAAAGAAATTAAAAGGTACATCTTGTGACTAATTAACTAAATAAAACGCTGTCGAACGATGACAACGTGCTTGGTCCGACCGCAATATGAACTAAAGATATTGTGGTCTTGCTCCGACCGCCTTGGACCTGAAATTGTTTTCAGACAGTAAGTTTAAGAATTTTGAAAACAGAAGAACTGAAAAAGCTTGCCGGTTGTCCGAGCTAAGTAACAAGTACTCCTTGTCCACAATGTTTTAGTCGACAATCAGACGTTAAATAAGTGTCGTTGTTTTTAAAATACGATCTCAATTACTGTGTGACAGTGTGTGTGTGTTATGACTCTTTGGTCTCAATGGGTCTGAAACAAACTGTTAAGATTGCCCAGGCGTGCTAGATTTAAACGTTACCTATACCAAACTCGCAAACCGAGGTAGACACCATTATTTGCGTTACGCTGGTTTAGTCATATCTCCTTTAACGAATAATTTTTATTAAGATTCTTCGTTGTTGTTGTTCTTATACTATTGATAGAGCTTAAAATGTGCTTGCTAAATTGAATCACTTTCTGAGAAATAATAATTGCTCACATTTTAATCACCTGCTAACTGGTGATGACCCACCACATGTCGATTGTTAGAGTGTCAATCTTTTATTGAGGTTGAAAATCGCTCCGATTTATTTTAAAATTAGACTACGAGTAGTCCCCCATTTTTCCTCAGGGATAGTAGAGCGAGCGAAACGCGAGCGGGTGTGAAAATCACCCCACGCGAGAAAAGGCGACACGCGTGTATACGAGAATCCCTATTGTTTCAATATTCTTAGTATGACAATATGTGTTTGTCTTTTACTAAACGCTAATAAATGTTCTTGTTATTCAGTGAAGAGCAGTGTCACCACCATTGTAGTTCAAATATGGAATAATGGATTCCAATCTTAACAGTTTGGTTGAGACCAAAGAGTCGTTACGCACACACTGTCACACACCAATTGCTAAGTTTTTCTCGACACACCTTTGCCTCGCTTTGAGGCTTTAGCTAGCTTACGTTGTGCCTCACTTTGACGCGTAACTCAAGTGGTAGTTCATGGTCATGCGTTATTTATCTTTTTCTTGATCGTTGGTGCTGTTTTGGCAACAGTTTTTCCCGCCCCGAAACTGGTATCTATTTTGTGACACTCGTTCACAGGTGAAACATTGGCAATTTTCTGTTTAAACTTACTTCAAGTTTGTTTATCGTTTTTCTCAGAGTTTTCAGCGTTTTTTTTATATATAGGAAAAACTACATTCTAAGATAATCGGATATGTATGTATCATGTTAACAATGTGTTCCGCACACTGTATTTGTTTTTATGACCATAGATCGACCATATTTTACTTAATTCTACAGTGGAAGCTCGATATAACGATGTTTCCGGTATAACGATGAATATTAGGGAGTTTAAGATGCCACTACGGCGACGGCAACGAAAACGTCAAAAAGCAATTGATTAAGGTTAGCAAAACAATAACTCTGCACGTGCATCACGCTTTTTATGTACATTTCTTTGCCGTCACTGCACGACTACGACGAGAATTGCCTAATTTCACGTTTTATCGACAACGTGAACATACGACGACTAATCTCTCTTGTTCTTTTTACACTTGGATATGTTTCTTAAGAATTCAACTCCAGAAGAGTTCGCCTACATAAAACATAGTGATCGAGTTAACATAATCGCGCTAAAGTTTCATAGACCGAGAAGTCACTTTTTAAGCGACGTTTTGCCGCCGTCGCCGTCGTGGTATCTTAAACTTTCTATTCTATGTCCCGGCAACAGTTACAGTAAAATGTGTGGGACAGAACCCCGATCTTGCTATTTAACAGCTGTACAAGCAGCAGTGAGCTAAACCTACAAGTACAGTACATAAAACGTAACTAACGGCATCGGGGTAAAAATTGCTGGAAAGCATTTAGATCCGTGTCAGAGGCACCATGGACAGAAAATCCGTAAGTTAAGTTAGGGAGTACAATACTGTAGAAGAGGTAATCAATTTCTGTCGGCCTGTAACGCTCCTTTCTGCATACTCTTAGTACGTATAGACATTCTTTCGCCTTGCACAGTTTAGCTTTGCATGAGCAGAGAACTTACAGTCATTCTGAAAGGTCAAATCCAATAATTCAAGAGTGGCATGTTGTGGTTCTATTCCTCTTCGATCTCCTTCAGCAGATTGTAGCGAGAGTCGCCATCTTGCTTTTCTTCCCTTTCCTTTCCAAGAATGGAATGCACGTTTCCATCAGATTCGTCCGATGAGTAATCCGCGGAACTGAGAAAGCTGTTTTTACTTTTTTGGTTGAAGGTCTCGATTGGGAGTTCGAGTCACTCTGCCCATAGTTAATGGAGGTGACTGGTTGTGAAGCCCGGCAAACATCAAAGGAGCAAACAAAGATGCCAAGATTTATGTTAGAAGGTCCACGACCCTGCACAATCTTTTGTTTTGCGTTCATACGTTATGCATGAATTACGTAACCAGCACGTTTCTATTGGTTAGTTCCTCAATACGGAGTAAACAACTATTGTGTTTTGTGCAGGGTCAAGGCCAAAAAAGAGAACAAAAACATACAACAAAGAACTTTGTCGGGTTTCATAACCATTCCCTCTATTAACTATGCTCTGCCACAGCTGTTTCCGGTATTTTCAGCTTAAGTGAAGCATCGGTGATGCGTTTATTAAGCGTTCCCGCCCAAAGGTCACTCTTCTTTTCAAGGCCTTGAATGGCTTGCCACATAAGGTTAGGATCTATAGTACCGATACCGGTGGTGTCAAGATCACTTGTTTCTTCGCTGTCGACATCTCGCAATTCATTTTCATACTCTTGCCCGCTTAAGTCAGCCTCTCACTCACCTACCTACCGAGATCCGCCATGAACGAATGCTTACCGCACACTGATCCAGCTTTTGCGACGTAAACTATGATGAGGCAGAATTCCATTCCCACATTTATGCGACACAATGACAAGTGCTTACCGTTGTATCGTAATGCGTATGCATGCTCTTGTATTAATGTTTACATGAGGGGACAAAAGTTCAGATTCCACATGTGCACGTAAGCGACTTGACATTGGTTCACAAATATAAGATCAAACGGACTAAAGGGTAAGTAACGGCCTAATAATAATATGTACACTGTCCATGCGTCCTACATGACAGGACTTGTCCTACATGGGAGCAAATTGAATTTAGTTGACGTAATATAAGATTCACTGTATTCATTAAACAACTTTTGTTTCCATAGCAACCGAAAATGTTTCGAGTATGTCCCAGGCATTTGCGATAACGTGCCGAGCATTTCCAAAGATCTCCAGACCATTCCCGAAGATGTCCCGCCCCACTCAACTGGGCAAACGCGGTCCTAGGACCGCACAAAAACAACGACCATACCCTAGAACTGGCCGCTGAATGCAGGCTCATGTCTGCTGATCTCAGGTCATGTACTGTAGGCTGAAAGTGAACTGTACGAGTCTACACCATTACTGCTCACTCGTTCGATTTCTGATACGTCAAACATCAACAACTCGTGGATAAAAACCGTACCCGCGCGCTTGCCATGAAGTATTCTGTATGTATCCTGTCAACTGAAGAACGTTTAAACCTTAATTTGCAGCTTATCAAAACGGGATGATTCCCGATCTAATAATATACATGAAAAAATTCCTCGATTGTGATTGGCTAAGAGGAATGTAGTTTTTTTAGGCAGAAAAGAGTAAAAAAAGGTGACATTCTGATTGGCTAAAAAAAAAACAAAGGAACTCACTGAGAGCCAATCAAATGCGCCATCTAAGTGGCGCAAAATTTGGATCCACTCCGGACCAAGGGGCCCGTTTCTCGAAAGTCCCAGTAACTTTTCGGGCCCGAAACCAAATATTCAATTAGAAATATAAAGAATAAGGGCGCGGGTCCTGGCTAGGAAACTACTCCATTTTGTTTCACTAACTGATAGTTTTATCATGTTAGATGCAAAACTATTGAAACCTCTATCTTGCATGGAAACATCAACAGCTTTACAGGCCCGTTAATTATCGGGGCTTTCGAGAAACGGGCCCCAGTTTCGAGCAAAAACCGCAATGGTTGGCGTTTGCAGCACATTTTCTTTCCAACTGTAGAGGAGTTGAAAAACTGCTCTAAAAACGAAAACAATGCCAAGAGCACTGGTTTTTGGTTCTCTTTTTGGAAGAATTGGTGCGTAGATAGGGAAATTACTGATGAAATAGAAAATTATGAGCCGGCTGAGCTTAACACTTTGCTCGAGCATTTCTACGCCGAAGTAAACAATACAAAAAAGGTGGAGATTATGAACCAGAAAGCCTTTAATGATGGCATCGCTTGATAGACACTTAAAGAACAAAGGCTGCACCCTGTCCATTGTACGTGACCGAGAATTAAGTTCGTCCAAAGAGGTGATGGAGGACAAAGCGAAACAGCTTCGCTTGGCTGGCCGTGGTAAGCGCCCAAACAAAGCTCGGCAAGTATCAGAGGAGGAAGAAGAAATTCTCTGGAAGAGCGGAAAACTCGAGGTAATAACCAGAATCTTTAATTCAAACACATTGAACAATTCCATGAACTGTTGAGCCCGTTTCTGCACCTTGCAAACTTTAAAAACATCGAGCAAAATGTTCTTTTAACTGCACGTGTGATGATATTTGCAACATTTGAATAACTTATTTTTGCACGTAGTTACGCGGGTTGACTCCCTATTAAAAAGATTTAAAGCTATCTCGCAATTTTTCCATGAATATTATTAATAAGTAATCACATGTTTTTTCTTGTGCAATTTGGAATAAATAAGCACTCGTAAGTTTTTTCAAAGACCGCAAATTGCACTCGCCCGTTGTTAGCCTTTCAAAAAATTTACTCGTGCTTATTTATTCCAAATTGCACTCGAAATCATGTGATTACCTGTACTTATAGGACTGCATGCTGTCCAATTTGGAAATAAATAGATGAAAAAAATTCAGAGGACAGCCAAAGGAAGTCTTTGGCAGTCAGAGGAAATTTTTGAATTCAATTATTTCCAAATTGGACAAGCATGTAGTCCTCTTACTTACTAATTATATAGCTGGTTAGCTAATCCAGATTTTTTAGCGTGTCACAGACGCAAAAAAATTGTACAGTGGAGCCGTTTGTAGTTGAAACAAAAACACCCTACAAGATCTAAAAGAGGTTTATTCATATGGTGTGATTAAACTTATTCTTTACAAATAAACAAACGTAGAACTAGTATTGCTCTTTCATGCTTTGGCATGTTGTTGCCAATTAAAATTTTGAAAGCTCCTTCAATGATCTGAATGATACGGTGCTACAGGTGAAAACCGCAATTTCGAGTACAAAGAAGACAAAGCAACAACGCAAATACTTAATTTAAGGAGACTCCCTGGTTTTGCACTGCGCATTTCTTACTGTGCATTACAAGATGGCCGCCGTAAAAAAGAGCATGTGAAGTAACGTTATTAAAATGAATCTGACTGAAGAGAAACGCTATTGGAATTTTTGCTTGCGGTTGTTTCTTAACGAGGTGAGACTCAATGTGTTGGGAATGTGCATAACGTACGCAGTACGCGTGTTGCTGAGTTCGACTTCGTCACGGTGAACCTCGATAGTGGATGTTTAACTTGTGCTTACTCACTTTGATTTTCATTTAAACGCTTTCTTTATCACATTGTGTTCTAAATGTGATATCTCGATGTAAATTCGGTAAAAACGGATTTTTTAATGCTTTCTTCCCATTCTATTTTGAAACTCGCCCCAGTCGTCTCTCAAAAATCGGAGAAAACGTATTTGGTGCGCATTTTCTGCAGCTCTGCCGCAAAAACGAGTACAGTGACCCCCATTTTTTATTTCATGATTTTAATAAGGACAGTGCTTCCTTTCGATGAGAAAAAAATGGGCACAAATCTATGTTCAGTTTTTTGGCAGTTTTACTAAATTGTACGGATTGAGCCATCACGGGTCGAATAGCGCGTGTCCAATTTAATTCTACTTTGGAGCGCAAAGTAAAAATAAGGGCATTAAAAGGCATTTTTCTGGTACGTAAGTGGATAAACAATATATTAAAGTCAAATTCTGTGCGATACCACATGCATCATGGAAAAAATCTCTGCTTTTTGTCTAGTTTTGGGCTGCGCGGGGTTTTTGCCAAAGCGTCCCAAATAGCCGTATTTGTCAGCATTGTGACGTCAAAACAAGTATGGTGACCCCCACTTTTTATTACATTTTTATCATAATCTTGACTTGTTACATCAGTGTACCAAGTTTCATCTACAATCTATGTTACGTTATTTTACTAAGGAATAACCTCAAATACAAAAACTATTGAAAATCGTGAACATTTCATTCCATTCATTACCTCAAACGATTTCCGCAGACTTTGTCCGTTTGTTTTTGTAATGCCAACATCTAAACAGAAGTATCATTGTTTTCTTACTCTTGTCCAAAATTTCAGTGCTTGTACATCAAGAATCTATTCGTTGATTGTTTCCGATACAAACTTTTATCAGTTTGGTCATACATTTTCCTTTTAAATGGCCCAGACAAGAAGCCAAGAGTGCTGCCGACGAACCGCCGTCAGCCAACGAAACTTTCTTTGGCGCGTTGTCACAGGAACTTTGCGCTGATTATCTAGTTTGCATTGTCTATTGTATTTTCTGGCATTTGATTGGCTCAGACCAGCCGTCCTATTTTTCTTAAATTGGACAGTTTGCCTGTTTGTAAAGTAAAGCCCCATCTGAAACTATCCAAATTAATCTTTAATTGGACAGTTCGTATAAATTAAAGGATAATAGCTTTGCTGACAATGTCGGATTAACTAACAGCTATATAATTAAAATAATAACTCACGTAAGAATTATAATCATGTTGTGAGGGTTGGATTGCACTGAACCTTAAAATACACAATTCATATATATATACATATATATCTTACCACATTCTTTGGATCTTGTAAAGCTCTTACTAAAGCAGGGTGGTTATAACCTGTAATCAAAATGAAAACAATTGGATTTTTTAAAACAGAACAACTCTGCCTCCCAGTTTGTGAAGAAGTCTTCAATATATGGCACAAATGTTCTGGGTTTCCATTAAGGGTAGCCAAATTTTCTGTGAGGTGGATAAAACAGACTTTTGAGCCTCTGCATATTTATAATTTTTAATCTTAAGGTTCAGACGGATCAATTTAGGTTTCTGGGAAACTGCCCACCGACTCCTCCCCTATGCCATCATTTTGCCCAAGTGAGAAGTAAGTGTTAATGTTAGCTTAGGGGAGGGGTAGGTGGGCAGTTTCCCAGAAACCTAAATTAATCCGTTCAGACAAGTAACAGTTTCTGGTGGGAAACTTCGTACCTACGCCAAAGTGACAAAGATTATTTTATCAAATTATACCTGCATTCAAAAAAGACTGTTAATGTGAAAGGTTTGAACCCAAGAGTAGGTTGAGTTTCAGGATCGTCCTGATTTAAAAGCTGGTTTACTAACTTAGGACAAACGCCACTGAATCGTAGCCAACAGTTACCAGCACCGTAAAAACGACTTATTAACGAGGTTAAGCAAAACTAACTACGAGAGAACAACTGACAATTTTACTAACAATAGACGACTGTTCGTTTGACTGTGACGATAGACGGATCGAAACGCACCAATTATTGATTACGAGTCTTCATAGCCAATAACATCACGACTTAACTGACAGACGACCAATAACATCGCCACGTCATTGACCAAGCATATCAATACACCAGAGTATAGTACCATCAACTGACGTGATACAAATCACTTTGACTCTGAAGATGACCACCGCACAGGTTGTCGAAACCTCAGTCACTGTCAACAACAACAGTCCTATTCAGGACTACATTCACCCGGACGATCAAACTCAACCTACTTTTGAAGACTGTTAATGTTCTGTAGTTTAAGACCAGAGACAATGAGCTATTGAGAGAAAATCCCCGAGTCCCATGATAATGTCCCATCGGGGGCAAAATTTCACTTTAAGATTAAAGATTGAGATTTTCTAAAGGCTAGTAGCCTAGCACACTCATTTAAAGTAACGAATATTGAATACTGACACAACGTGAAAACCAAAAGCAAAAGTTATCATGCACGAAATACGAAACCTTTTACAAGCGGCTGGCTGCTAGTTATTTTGTCTTTTCTTCAAGGAATATTTCGCGTTCAGAAACAGTACACTTGCTTTTGACAATGATCCTTGATTTCAAATTGCATTGCTTCTTCTTAACGTCTAATACTTGCTAATAGGGACCTTAAGCAAGGACGACGACGACGGCAGTGAAAACGTCGGTAAAAAAATGAATTTCCGTTCTTTGAAATTTAATCACGTCTATTTGGACCCGCTCAATAGGGACCTTAAGCAAGGTCGACGAGAAGCCCTGAGGACGACGACCGGAAGTGAAAATACCGCTTAGCGTGCTACTGCGCATGCGTCACTCGTCGTCCACGTGTTCAGAACGTGAAAAACGCCATCTTTGCCGTCCAGGCCGAACGCCGCGAGAACGTGAGTAAAAATTAATGTATTTTCATCTTGTTTAGGAAGAGAATTTATGTTTGGCTTTTGAAATGAAAGTTAGATATTCCTTAGTTTGTAATTTTTCCACAATATTGAATCTTACTATGATTTTGAAACATGAAAACTTTGCAAACAGTCAAAAATTCGGGCTTTGTGGGATCTGCATCTTGTCAGCAAAACATTCAAGTTAAGAAGATGAAATCGAGAACTAACAAAGTGATTACGAAAACGCGAGGTACAACATTCTATCCGCCATTTTGCTTCTCCCAGAATTCCACTGCAGTCGCAAGCTAATTTCCATTGTTTCTCGGTCCCACCCTCTCCCCGCCTCCAGTCCAGTTAGTCACGTGATCAAAACACACTACTTTCTGGGCGGCCATAAGGTGGAGGAAAGAACAGTATTATTTCGCTTTTCTACGTTCTTCATCAATAATGATCGATTACATCAAATCGTTTGACAGGGTGCAATCACGACAACATAAACAAAGAGCAGTATTACGCACCTTCGATGTACAAAGCCTGAATTTCCGTCTGGAAGGGAAGACCTAAAGAGACGACTGTACAAGCTAAGCTAAGTGTTCAAGTTTATAAGAGTGATTGTGTTTCTGTCAAAGGTAGATGGATATAATTCGACGGTAAATACAGATCAGAGGTTGTGTGCTGGAGAAAAAACTTATCATTAGTGGCTCTTAAAATCTGGGTCGGTAATTTACATGGACACTTTTTTCGATTGACCTTTAGACTTGTATTAACTACCAGAAAATTTAGATTAATGTTGTGGCGGCAATAATTGTTTTTTTTTCTCCCTTCAACCTACCTGTATTGATCTTAGTTACTTGAAATGTCTTTCAATGTTGGACTCTCACAAAGCAGTAGAAAAGAGTTTTACCTATATTTTGTTCAGGGTGCAAAGAAAGTCAGCTTTACAGCTTGCCTAGCATACACTAGCCTGAAAGCCATTTTGACTGACCCCAATTTTTTTTATGAATGGGACTGATTACAGTTCTTCTGTAATCTGAATTCCCTAAAAAACTTTACTTGCCAGCCAGGCAAGATAAAAACGCAGTTCACTAGCCCAATCATAAAATCCAGTACCCCAGGGCTATTGCCTGGACACTACTCTGTCTACTCTCTTTGCACACCGTTTAATATAATTTAGCGAGAACTTGAACCTTTGAATGCCTTTTTAAACAATATTTTTACTCAGAAATATGACTAACATGACTGACATACACTAGCCTGAAAGCCATTTTGACTGACCCCAATTTTTTTTATGAATGGGACTGATTACAGTTCTTCTGTAATCTGAATTCCCTAAAAAACTTTACTTGCCAGCCAGGCAAGTTAAAAACGCAGTTCACTAGCCCAATCATAAAATCCAGTACCCCAGGGCTATTGCCTGGACACTACTCTGTCTACTCTCTTTGCACACTGTTTAATATAATTTAGCTAGAACTTGAACCTTTGAATGCCTTTTTAAACAGTATTTTTACTCAGAAATATGAGACAAACCTCCCGGATAAAATCAATAAAATACCAGTACAAGTGACTGGATAAGAAATAAATGGGTCTTAAGTCACCGTGGGAGTTTTTTTGTGGGGGGTGGGGAGGGTCTGTGGCTAATATTATTGAACACGGGCTATTACACACTTTATGAGAAATCATGCATTCTGGAAATAGAAAACTAAAAAAGTAATAACTACAAGACAATTTGAACCTCGTTAAGATTTGAATGATTTAGTGACTTAAGGAAACTAAAGGCGACTTAAGGCGATTTTAGGCGACTTTAGGTCCCAGAGTAAGCCTGATAAAGCACATTGTGGTTCCACTGTGTTATGAGATGTCTGTGAGTGTTATATATAAAATCCAAGACGTCATTACTGACCACACTGAGAACTGGTACTGGCAGTCCGAATCGAGAAATCATGTCACTGTATCTGCAGGGGTAACTTAATCTTCTAAGAAGAATGCAGAGACCTTTCATTCCGTCAACAACACTTCTTTGATAGCATCTGAAGCTATCAGGTGTTTGAAGAACCTCTGAGAGAATCTGCAAGTCGTGCTTTCTAAATTAAAATTCTGCCAAGCACTCGGCATCGTTCACCTCATCGAGGGAAAACCTGTCGTATTCCTCGTACGAGAAATTGGGATTTTTCGGCATAAATTGCTCATGTTGTAGGAAAAACTCATCTTCATCTAGAATACCGTCCTCATAACTCAAAAGAAGTTGATCTTGGACTTCGTGAAAAGAAGACATGATAAAATTATTGGACTGTTCCTCGATTTTCACGATAAATGAGCACTGTTTTGTTTACATGTCCTCGTCCACGTTCAAGTGCGCCCTTAACATTTTAGTTTTCCCGCCGTGAATGACGTCCTCGTTCTAGTCCCTCAGCAAGTCTACTCGTCGTCGTCGTCCAATTCGTCGTCGTTGCTAAGGGACTGGTCAAAAAGTACAGGGGGGGGGCCGGAGCAGAGAGGGGTGGGTCATGAGGTTTTGAGCCTTATGCAAGGGGTGGGTCGTGCAATTTTCATCTACCCTTAGGGGGTGGGTCACCCTATTTTTTACTTACTACTAACAAGACAGTTGACTACACTTGTTATATAAAACACAGCCAGCTGGAATTACTGCTAAAATACTCACAAACCTGCTGTGCGAGAAAATACAAAGGTTGACAGGCCGCACATCTATACGGGCGTGGAACCCTCTGTTAACCTTTTTTTTCGGCTCTAACGAGCATGTTCTTTAACGATTTTCCTTTTTTGTAAGGAAATGATTGGTGGTTCTTTAAAAATTTATTGAAGTTATAGTTGGTTTTGTATAAGATTCCATTTTTTCATTCAAGCTTCCTTTATAGTAGACCCTGAGGGCTGGTATTGTGTCACGAGTGGCAATATTTCTTTTTCCTCCTTGTTGTTTTGTTTCAGGAGTTTAGACTCCCTTTTGTGACTTTTATTTCTGATAGTAGGCACACAACGAGAATATAGTTCAAAACCACTTAAACATAGCATTGTTAAACGTATCTTAGTATTTAAACAGTAGATATAGGCGTACTTTTATCCCCAAAAAATTTTTCATCTGCTCGGATCTGCTAGCTGAAAGTCTAGTGATACGAAAATCATAGTGATCAAAACTTACCTTTTCGAAAATTTCAGTCAGAAAAAAACGCTCCCAAAAATTCTAGGTGACCTTTTTAGGGTAAAAATCCGTTAAAAATGGGCAATTATACCATTTTTTTAGATGTTCGAACATCCTAGGAGGGGCAGACAAGCAAGAAATTTTACAACAAAATTTGTTGTAATGTTCAGAAAATTCTAGATCTCAAATCGTCTTTCGGACAGATATTTTCCGAAAATTGACGTTGGGTGCCCCTGAAAGATTGTGGGTAGGCTCCGTCCGTCAAGCGTTTTTTTTTTTTTTTTAAATTTGAATTATTTTCCTCAAAGGTTGTTTCTGAGGAGTTTTTTCGTAGGATTCTTAAGGCTTCTCTTTTGACAAATTCTTTTTTAACATTTGAAGGGTGACACAAGGTGAAATGTGTGTGCAAGAAGCTTTCCGTTTGTTTAAAATGTGTCTTTGCATCAAGGATAGATTTTTCCTTTAATCTTGTGCCTTTGTATACAACCATGTCTAAAAACGCAGTCTCAGTGTCAAATGTTTCGGCCGTGAATTCAATAGTTGGGTGATGTAAGCTTGCTTGTTCAATGAAGGCTTCGATGTCTGGTTTACTCATGTCCCATAGGGAAAAGATATCGTGTATGTGGCATTTCCAAACTGTTGTTATAAAGACAGTTTTGCTTAGAGTTGTTGTTTCAATATATGACATAAAAATATTGGCAAAGGAGTCAAAACTGCTGTCTTTGTGCCCATTGCAGTTCCATGGTTTTGTAGGTAGTGCTTTCCACTGAGGTGGAAGAAATTTTCTTCGAGGATTAATCTAAGGATTTCCGGCAAGTAATGTGTAGGAATGGGTTGTCTTTGTTGAAATTTTCATATGCTTTGAGACAGATAATTTCAATATACCCTCGTTTTGCTGTATATTTGTATCAAGACTCATAACGTCCTTTGAAACAAGAAATGGTCGGTTTTTCACATTCGTCTTTTCAGTGAAAGGTATGATTTCTGTGATTTTGATATTGGTTGTAGCAGTGTATCAACAAATTTTGTCAAGCACAGAACAAGGTTTTATTGTTTACCTTATAGAGACTCCGTGGCAAATGCAAGGTATGTGTCTGTTTAAGGAAGCTATCCATTTTATAATGGAATCGGTTAAGAAGAAAGAGTTGACTGCAGTTTTATTCTAAACAAACCTAGAGGAATAGAGGCAATCTGCTGGAAGACATCTAATAAGATGTTGCCATCGGCATCAACGATGTAGTTTCCTTTGCTCCTCTCAAAGTCAACAAAATAAGGCATGCCCTTAGTTAGCTGCAAATAAAAAACAAGGACAATTGAATTATTTCACTTTTGATTAGCTGAGTGGCAATTTTTTGCAATAGACTTTATATACACAACCACATATACAAGAAACTGTGACCTTTTAGATACACTACTTTTGTAAGATGACACTGCAGGCCGCCGGTCAGCTGAATCACTATTGAACAATATAATAACGAGAAAAAGATAGTTCTTTATACAGATGGCCTATGTCATACTTAGTGGTTTTGAATAGGGCACTGTGCACGTAAAAGAAATTGTTTAAACACTAATTATGGCAAAAAGCTAATATTAAATATATGAAATTGAACTAAGAAAAATTTCACACCTAAGAAAACTAGAATAAAAAGACCTAGAAGGTACTATTGAGATTTAAACCTGTTAATGACTAATGATATTCTTAAAGCATTACTGGGGAGGTTTCTTTTCTCCACAGGGAGGGCACTCCAATCTGGTAATTCACTATTTAGGGATTTAAGCAATCCCTGAGTTAGTATTTGGTCTAACCCTTGAGAGAGTGTTATGAATGTGATGGGCTAAGCCACAGATAATCGTACTGTTACATACTGTCACTGTCATTATTAGAATTACCGGTCATGCAAAAAAAGACAGCATTGCTTTTGTCTTCTGCTTAATATAATCTAGCGCTCTATCCAGAACTATCTCGGCTGCTTTACTCTGAAGAACTTGGATAAAATCCATTAAAACTTTGTTGTTTTTCTCACCCCATAAGATACTTGCACATTGAAGAAAAAGGGATGGATGATCATTGTTGACATCCTTCCATAAACTGTGAGCAGATGTTTGATTCTTCCTAAGACACCTAGCCTCTTTCCTATTTTACTTTGAAATTGGCCAATGTGGTCATACCACGTGAGATACTGGTTTATGGTCACCGGCCTGAGATACTTGAATTTAGCAACATTTCCTCTTATTGATCTAAGTGAGACAGAGTTACATTAGTTACATTGTAAAGCCACTGATTATACTTATTTCTTAGGGTTTGTTTCAAAGAGCTCTCTCTCATGTGAAAGTTGATCAGTTGGATTAAAAAAAAAGAACCGAAAAGGAATAAAGTGATTAACGGTAATAGAGTGTTGTCTCAGAGTTTTTTTGGCTGCTTCTGTCATGAATCCTTTGTCTATACCTTCTAGGATTTGATCTGTAAAAGCGATTTAGGCAGTGACAGTTGAGCACTTCAGTCAAAAGCCAAACTGTGATCGTAAAGACAGTCTGTTTTCTTCCATATTAACTAAACATGTGCTGATCTCTCTATCACCTTGCTTAATATAGTTGGTAAGATCGATATCGGTCGATTATTATCTTTCAATAACTTATATCCGTCTTTAAATAATGCAGTGACTTTTTCTGACTCCCACACCCCAGGTGAAAGATTTGTTTATCAAGCCAGTTAGAATCGGGATGAGGACATCAGAAGCATCCTTCAACAGGCAGGCACAAAGGTATTATCTAGTCCAACAAATTTGGCAGCAGATCTAGATAGGTGTAATATAATAGGCTGCTAAGTATGCTGGGATTGATTTACCATGAGCTTTTGATAGTGGCAGGCAAGTTATGGTCGCAATGAAATAGGTACTTGAATTAAATCTGTTTGTTCGGATACTTTATTACTCTTATCAGCATAACTGCCTTGGCGACAAGGATGGACAAGAACGTGTTACCAAAATTCAATTGTTTTCTTAACCCATCAACGATTGGCCCCCAATGGACACGATGGTTAACTTCATTCAAACTGAACGCCAATGAGAAAGGGCTTATTTTAGATGCAGCAAAGGCACAGAGCAATGCTACTTCACCTGGCTGGGCCGGATGTGCAGGAGAGATTTACCACCTTAACTGGAACCGGGGAATGCTACAGATTATGCGCTACTGCTTTCAGAGCTCTCAATGCCTATTTTGTGCCACAGCTAAACTCAGCATTCGCCCGCCAGACCTTTTATTGGATCATGCAAAACCCAGATGAAACTGTTCAACAGTTCATCACTTGCTTAAGGAAATCAGCTAAAGACTGTGATTTTGGCACTGTCATACCGACAACCGGGTAAGAGATGCACATTTGAATAAATGGCTTTCACTTACATCAAACGAAAATTGCTTGAAGAAGGCCAAGGACTGAAGCAATAACACATACCCTACAGATTGCCTTACAGTGAGAAAAGATAGGAACCCAACTGGCTGCACTTTTAGTAGAAGGAGAAGAATCAGAAAGTATCCATTGAGCGAGGTAACAATCCGAGCACTAGCACACAAGGGTGATTCCAAGGGAGAGATAAGATATGTTATAGATCTGGTTTGACTGGACATTTAACTTGCTCATGATCCCCAGTGCCCAGCAAGAGGCAAGACATGTAGAATGTGTCGTGGGAAAGATCATTTTGAAAAAGTCTGCGATACAAAGTGATAAGCTCATCAGGTTGGGAGAAAAGCCAATGTCAGTAACCCTGGGCGCTAGTATGACTATGCAATCAGTAATACAGAAGGAGAACACTTAGAAATAACTCCCAGGCCTTAAACTACTTGAGTATCCCTGGATAAAGACCCCACTGTGAAACCTATAGCACAGCCTTATAGAAGGATAGCATTCAATATGAGGGGAAAGATCAAGATATGACCACAGAACTGCTGGACCTGGGAATGATTGAACCAGTGGAGGGTTCCACTCCTTGGGTTAACCCTGTTGTGATCGTCCAAAAAAACAACTAGCGGGAAATCTGCCTATGTGTGAACACGAGACAGGCCAATCAAGCAAACTATCCAATACCCACAGTTGACAAGGTGTTACATACCATGAATGGTTCTAAGGTCTTCAGTAAATTAGTCCTTAAATGAGGGTACAACCAGTTGGAGTTGAGCCCAGAATCCAGGGAAATCACCAGCAATACATGCATTATCACCCTAGTAACACTTGTTTTTTTTTATCATCTGTGGCACATTTAATATTGCCACCTACAATGTAGACTGTTTCCTCAATTTTCTGAAGTTTCAACCTCATGTACAGTGAAATGTAAAAGGGTTATCTCATCATGTACACAGTTGCAGGTCCTGGGCAGAGGGCCAGGTGGGGCAGCACACCCTGAGACTCTACACTACCTAAGTCAAAAGAGCAAGGTCTGCACAACTGGCCTACCCTTACATCAAGATCTAGATCTGGATCCCATGGTACCTAAGTCCCATAAATATATGAACGTAACTTTGCAGATTGGACTGAACTAACTAATTCATTTGACTTTGTTTAACTGTACCAAAACTACTATTTACACAGAAAATAAGTTTGCCCATTCTTGCCAGTCAACATTCTTTAAAAAAATGGCTTCTATAATCTGTACACTGCACACTAAAAAGAAACATTGCTCTTAGTATAAAATAGCCATTTCACAGATATGGTTATGACCACATAAATATGGTTATTCCATCCAAACCCTTTTATCGGTTACTTAAAGGTAGTGATGACTGGCCATGATTATTGTACCAGGCAGGAAAGGCTTAAGGTCAGTTTTAATAAAGTAAAGCCTCAGGATTCACCCATGCAGCAAACAATTAATTATCACTTACACTGGGTCTTTACAAACTGATCAAAGCAGACAAACTCTAAAAAGGTCCACTTTGATCACGCTGAACTGACTGAAAAATTCCATTCGACTTCCAAAAATAATAATTTCTGGAAGTTTTTGTTCAAAGGAAAGTGTCCTCAATTTTCTCATTATTTTACAGTCCTTCTCATAGTGTGCAAAAAAATATGTGTAAATTACACAAAATTTCTGGAGCAAATATTATGCTATTTCTAGAGTCTACAATTTCCAATAAAAGCTATTAAAAATTAACTGTTGTTAGATTCAAAGCAAAATACAGTACCGCTCAAAAGTGAGTTACAGTGTACCAGTTGCATCTTGTTTCCTGTGCTAAGGGAATCGCATCCTGCAAGAATCAATGAAGCCGCCATTTTTTGGCATAAATGTGGCTAAATGTAATTTAGGCAAAGTTAACCTCGAAGCAATGCTGGTCAGCTGTTTCCCCAGCTACAGTAGAGGTGGCCAGATGCCTCTAGCAGGGGCACCTCGTGACGCCTTGCAGTTGCTTGCTTGCAGTTCTTCGCAAAGTGTTATTGCAATAGCTGTGCTTTGGTTTTGCTTGCTTGCTGTTTCTGCTTGTACAATGACTGCTCGTCGAACCAACAATAGTTTGGCAGCTGGTTTGGATGGGGAGAACTCGTCATCAGATACCCTTTTGCACGCCGAGTCGTCTGGTCTGGCAAACTCGGCGCCACAAACATCTTCAACAGTTTCTGCTCCAGTTGTTGCTGCTGGTGTCCACAATTCCACTCTAATCGCTGCAATCGTCGATGCTGTGAAGGCCTCGTTAGCGGCAGAAAAAGGTCCTGGCTCTAGCTCGAGCAATTTGCGTGGAAATTCAGATAGCGTGGAGCCACAAGCAGCTTCTGGGGACGTTCCCGCCCCATCACCCAGCTTGTCACAGCAAACAGCGACCTTTTTAGCTTCTGGAGGCGCCTTTGTGGAGCAACAGGCGATATCTTCACCTTCAGCCACGCAAGGTAGGCCTAATTTTACTGTGCCATGCTTTGTTGCCACCTTTACAACCCTGCGCTTGCCAATTTTAAGCACGTCAATCACGGCGGGCGCTTCTGTGCTAGGGCCACTCAGTGACAGCACCTTGGCTGCAAACCTGCCATCGGGACCGCTACTCCAACAGAAGTTTGTAGTTGGCCCCGGTTTTTCACCAGTTCCGGAGAAAACAGTTAGCCAAATTGTTGCCGGCAGGTACGTGGATTTGGGGGATTTGCTGTCGGTCAACATTGTTCAGACTGAGCCGGAGTCGCAAGCATTCCTGGACGGGCAGTTAGTGTTTTTGCCAAGCGCTAAAAAGCAACGCTGACACATCGAGGACATTGTGACCTGGTCCGAAGCCTTTACAATTTTCATGCTGATTCTGACGTCGTATTTTCCACACCGCTGGAAAGATTTAACTTCTTACAAGCTTCTCATCCTGCGCACGTACCGCCAGTTCAGTGGTCGTGTTTGGCTGGCATACGATCAGGCCTTCCGCCAGCACGCTGCGGCGATGAAGCTCGTGGACTGGTCGACCATGAACGTTCAGCTTCACAATTTTCACGCTGCTGGGGCCTCTGTGCATTCTGGGTCTGGTTGTTCCTTGAGCGAGCTACCCGAAACATCCGTAGCTGACTCCTCCCAGGTCATTTGCTGGTCGTGGAACAGGGGCCACTGTTCAGCACAATTTGCTTCGTGTCGGTTTGCCCATTGCTGCAGCACCTGTGCAGGTTTCCACCGTGCGTCAGAATGCTCCCATCGTTTTGACAAAACGTCTTCACACAATCGCAAACGCAGATCTGCTTCTCCTCCCTCCATGCCCTCGTCCACCTCGAAAACCAGGCGTTAATTGATGCACCTTTTTGTTTTCCTGATTGTTTTTCTGCCTTGGTTTTATCTGCGTTGATTGCCTTTAGTTTTTTCTCCGTGTTTCCTGTCCTTTAGTCATCGAATTACTTCTTAAGTTGTGTTACCTAATTTTTGTCAACAGTGGCTAGGTCGGGCTGTATTTGCTGCAATAAAGTTGTCAAGTTGTTTTAGTCCGTGGTTTGTTGTCCAAAAGTTCTCTCTTTGGTTTGCCCCCCTCCCTTCCTAGCCTGGCTCGGCCTTATTTTAAAATAGCCTTTTTTCTTCCCAGCTCATCCAGTTCTCCCTCCTGTATCAGCAGTTAGTCCCCTTAAGGTGGAGGAGTTTTCAAAGGAATTGGCCAGTCGTCCCGACCAGCAACAAGTTTCTTAGGTCCTCCAGGGTCTCCAGCATGGCTTTCAGTTAGGCTTCCACTCAGCTCACAAGCTTAAGCCAGCTAAAAGAAACAAGCCCTCTGCTCCTCACCATGCCCACATTGTCGATGCGTATCTGGCTTATGAAGTCTCTCTGGGCAGGGGTGCAGGCCCCTTCTCCTCCTCCACTTTTCATCGTTTGCATATTAGTAGTTTTGGGGTCATTCCTAAGAAGGGCCAGCCGGGCAAATGGTGCACTGCTTGATAGTCGATTTGTCTTCCCCAGGGGGTGCTAGTGTGAACGACGGCATTGATCCTCAGGATTTTTCTCTCCAGTATATTAAGGTTGATCAAGTTATTCGCATGGTCTCCCATCATGGCCCAGGTGCCCTTATGGCAAAATTTGATGTGGAATCCGCTTATCGGAACATCCCAGTTCATCCAGATGACCGCTTCTTACTGAGCATGAGGTGGCATGGTCAGTTCTACACTGACCTCTCGCTTCCTTTCGGTCTCCGTTCTGCACTTTACTCTGCACTTATTTTCAATTCCGTAGCTGATATGGTTGAATGGATCCTTCTCCATAAGCACCGCCTTTACAATCTCTTACATTATTTGGATGACTTTATTACCACAGGTCCCCCACAGTCATTCCAGTGTGCTTATAATCTTAACACAGTAATCTCTGTTTGCTATCAGCTGGGGTTGCCTCTTCACACTAACAAATGTGTGGGTCCAGCCACTTCTATGACTATCTTAGGAATTGAATTAGATTCCGTCAACCAAGTGGCCTGTCTTCCTGAGGACAAATTGCTTGCACTAAGGTAACTCATTCATTCATGGATGCCCCATCGCTGGTGCAGAAAGCAGGAATTGGAGTCCCTTATTGGCCATTTACACCATGCTGCTAAAGTAGTTTGGCCAGGGAGAGCCTTTCTCCGTCGGTTTATTGATTTACTGTGCTGCTTCCGTAACAATGGCCATCCTGTTTGGATTAACCAGGAATTTCGTCTTGACCCTCAGTGGTGGCTGCAGTTTCTAGCTTCTTGGGATGGAGTTGGGCTCTGGTTGTACCCTGTGATGTCTGCTGCCACAGATCTGGAGGTCACTTCGGATGCAGCAGGTGCGATTGGCTTTGGCGCCTATTCTCAAGGCCAGTGGTTTTATGGTGCCTGGTCAATGTTGCAGGCCAGGCAATCTATTGGATACCAAGAACTCTTTCCTGTGCTGATTGCTGCTCATCTTTGGGGATATTTGTGATCCAGGAAGCATGTCCTTTTTCACTCAGATAACGAGGCTGTAGTCGCAATTCTCAAAACCAGGACTTCGAAGGTTCCAGCTTTAATGCACCTTCTCCATGATCTTCTGCTCTCAAGGCGCTGGGGTTTTACTCTCACTGCTGCTCATGTTCCTGCAGTTGAGAACAAAATTGCTGATGCTATCTCTCGTTTCCGTTGGCAGGAGTTCAGGCAGCTGGCCCCGGAGGCTCATTCGTTCCCTTGTCTGATTCCTCAGCTCCTGCTGGACAGCTTAACACCTCCTCCCTAGAAAAATGGTGCTTGCATTTCTTGGCCCAGGGTCTGGTTCCTTCAACCCGGAAAGCTTATGCGTCCGGGCAACGCAAGTTCGTCAAATTTTGCCGCCAAGCTGGAAAGCTCCACTCCAGTGGCTCGTCTTTCCCTGCAGACGAGTGGACTTAATGTTTGTTTGTTTCATTTCTTGCAGATTCGATTGAGCATTCTTCAATTAAAGTCTATTTATCTGCAGTTTGCACATTGAGCAAGGTTTTCCTGACCCTTTGCTTAATTACCTGCGGCTTCAACGAGTGTTGAGAGGGGTCAAGCGTTCCCAGGGCTCCCTGGCTGCGCCTTACGATTACTAACAGCCTTCTCTTGGTCATTCATCGGGCGTTGGACCTCAAGATTTTAAATTATTGCACTTTTTGGGCAGCCTGCATGCTGGGTTATTTCGGTTTTCTCCATGCTACTGAATTTACAGTCCCCAATTTAGCCAGCTTTTCTCCTGCTATTCATCTTTCAGTGGCTGACATCGCAGTGGATTCGCTCCAGTCGCCAACCTGCCTCCGTGTTAGGATAAAAGCGTCGAAAACGGATCCGTTCCGTCAAGGCTGCCACATCCATGTTGGTTTGGGAAGGGCACCCCTCTGCGCAGTTCACGCATTGCTGGCATACCTCTCCGTACGAGGAAATGTCACTGGCCCCTTGTTCCTTCTTGCAAATGGTCAACCTCTGTCTCGCTCAATCTTAACCGATTGGCTGTGGCAAATTTTCTCTACCGCGCAGATTGAGGGCAATTTTTCCAGCCACAGCTTCCGCATTGGGGCAGCCACGGTAGCAGCTCGCAACGACATTCCTGACCACCTGATTCAGGCTCCTGGACGTTGGACTAGCAATGCATACCAGCTTTATATCCGCACACCTTCGGAAGCTCTTACGGGCATCTCTGTCAGCTGGCTTGACATCATGTGTCTTGCCATTGGTTATCCACAGCTCCTTCTACACTGCGGTCGAGTTTAGCACCAAATATTATTGCTTGGGGCTTGCCCTGCAGTTTTTGGTGTTGCTCTCACTGTCAGCTGCTTTCATTTGGTAAGTGTGTCTTTTTTTCGATGCATCGGAGGTTCCATTTCACTCCTGTTCGCTGGCCCCTCCTTTTTCAAGCACCAAGGAGATCCCGGTTGGGTGGGGGCCGCTTGCAGGGTTGCCATGGATACCTCCTCCTCATGCTAGAGCATTGCCCGGCTCCACCAACTTGTAGGCACCAACGCCAAAGCTCATCTATTGGTGATGAGTTTAAATTACTGACAACATGCCCAGCAAGAAACCAATTAAAAATTTCGCTTAGCGTTACCTTAAAGACTGAGGAAAATGGGCGTTAGTTTTGGCGTTAAGTTTCTTTCAAGGAGCTTTCTTTTAGCTTGTCATCAGCACACTGTTTAGTTTTCGGCTTTGTTTGCCGTTGACATTTGACACTGCACTTGATCATGATGTTTCGTTTGCCAGAACGTGAAAACCCTTCCACTTTCCTTGATTTTTTGAATGAGCAAACCAATGTGAGAAGAACAAAAATACTGCAAATCGCTAACGATGAGTTCTTCCACCAGAAAAATTGGTCAGCTCTTTTAATGTGTGTAGTTTTCATTCAACAACAACGGTAAAATCCAACTTGGCGTACGATCACAAAATAATATTAACTATAATGTTACCTTAATAAATTTTTTTTATAGCTTTTTTATACAGTCACCACTTGATTTATGAAAGAAAGCTGTTTGGAATTTAACAAAAACAGCGGCAAAATAAGACAACAGTGCATTTGTTAAAGTTTACACATAGTGGCAACTTTAGCTGACAAGATATCAACAACATTGATAAAAATTCAACTCAATCGGCATACGATCACAAAATAATGTTAGCTTAGTTTGTTCTTTGTAACTTTTTATACAGAACACTTGATTTATGAAAGAAAGTTGTCTTGAATTTAACAAATTACAAGCACAACGGGCAAATAAGACAACAGTATATTTGCTGAACAGGCATTTTTTTGCATGACAACACACAGCTGTGTTAGCAAGTGCATAGCAAGTGCTGTACTGTCATGCATACATGGCCTCTATGCTTGAATATTCAAATTGTGTGGTATTCCTGCCCATTGCGGCCATCCATGGCGGAGCATAAAGGTCAAGTGTTTATTAATTGATGAGCATCGAGCGATCATTGTGCACTTGCGATGGGTTTGGGGAGCCAGCGAGCAAGAAACCGGAGCACACTTTACCTGCAGATTACCCGATACCAATTTGGAATGGATTCGTCAATTATTCTCAAATTTATAGTGCTTCCTGGGGAGATGGTCCATTTTTCTTGTAGCTGGCCTTTAATTCTTCTTTAGTGGATTATAAACTTGTACCTACGAGCGCAAAACTCAACAAAATGCCACTTTAACTGGCAAGGAAAGACAAGGAGACCTACAGTTAAAGGTATGTTAGCTTTGTTTTGTTATATTTTGACTTCTGGACTATTTTAGTTCATGGTAGATTCAACGACTCATCCCATTTTTGTCCATGTTATTGACCCACTCTACGTCTGAGCCACCTGTGGTCGCAGAGGTACAAATTTGTTCGCATGTTGGTCACGGTAAAGCTTCACCATCGATTCTTGAAATCGGTCAAGAATTTTGGCCATGATACAAAATGTACTTACCGGTACACTTTTTAGGCCATCGTACGCTACGCGATTCTCGTAGCGCGTGACAAGAATTGCATATATTTTATAGTGTGCGATGCGATCGATTCATTTCCTGCGAGAGGGTGGTAACTTAATTACTTTTGAGTGGTACTGTAACCTTAAATCTGTATATACCTATCAACTGTTACTTAGCTGATATGGTTGAATGGATCCTTCTCCATAAGCACCGCCTTTACAATCTCTTACATTATTTGGATGACTTTATTACCACAGGTCCCCCACAGTCATTCCAGTGTGCTTATAATCTTAACACAGTAATCTCTGTTTGCTATCAGCTGGGGTTGCCTCTTCACACTAACAAATGTGTGGGTCCAGCCACTTCTATGACTATCTTAGGAATTGAATTAGATTCCGTCAACCAAGTGGCCTGTCTTCCTGAGGACAAATTGCTTGCACTAAGGTAACTCATTCATTCATGGATGCCCCATCGCTGGTGCAGAAAGCAGGAATTGGAGTCCCTTATTGGCCATTTACACCATGCTGCTAAAGTAGTTTGGCCAGGGAGAGCCTTTCTCCGTCGGTTTATTGATTTACTGTGCTGCTTCCGTAACAATGGCCATCCTGTTTGGATTAACCAGGAATTTCGTCTTGACCCTCAGTGGTGGCTGCAGTTTCTAGCTTCTTGGGATGGAGTTGGGCTCTGGTTGTACCCTGTGATGTCTGCTGCCACAGATCTGGAGGTCACTTCGGATGCAGCAGGTGCGATTGGCTTTGGCGCCTATTCTCAAGGCCAGTGGTTTTATGGTGCCTGGTCAATGGTGCAGGCCAGGCAATCTATTGGATACCAAGAACTCTTTCCTGTGCTGATTGCTGCTCATCTTTGGGGATATTTGTGATCCAGGAAGCATGTCCTTTTTCACTCAGATAACGAGGCTGTAGTCGCAATTCTCAAAACCAGGACTTCGAAGGTTCCAGCTTTAATGCACCTTCTCCATGATCTTCTGCTCTCGTGCGCTGGGGTTTTACTCTCACTGCTGCTCATGTTCCTGCAGTTGAGAACAAAATTGCTGATGCTATCTCTCGTTTCCGTTGGCAGGAGTTCAGGCAGCTGGCCCCGGAGGCTCATTCGTTCCCTTGTCTGATTCCTCAGCTCCTGCTGGACAGCTTAACACCTCCTCCCTAGAAAAATGGTGCTTGCATTTCTTGGCCCAGGGTCTGGTTCCTTCAACCCGGAAAGCTTATGCGTCCGGGCAACGCAAGTTCGTCAAATTTTGCCGCCAAGCTGGAAAGCTCCACTCCAGTGGCTCGTCTTTCCCTGCAGACGAGTGGACTTAATGTTTGTTTGTTTCATTTCTTGCAGATTCGATTGAGCATTCTTCAATTAAAGTCTATTTATCTGCAGTTTGCACATTGAGCAAGGTTTTCCTGACCCTTTGCTTAATTACCTGCGGCTTCAACGAGTGTTGAGAGGGGTCAAGCGTTCCCAGGGCTCCCTGGCTGCGCCTTACGATTACTAACAGCCTTCTCTTGGTCATTCATCGGGCGTTGGACCTCAAGATTTTAAATTATTGCACTTTTTGGGCAGCCTGCATGCTGGGTTATTTCGGTTTTCTCCATGCTACTGAATTTACAGTCCCCAATTTAGCCAGCTTTTCTCCTGCTATTCATCTTTCAGTGGCTGACATCGCAGTGGATTCGCTCCAGTCGCCAACCTGCCTCCGTGTTAGGATAAAAGCGTCGAAAACGGATCCGTTCCGTCAAGGCTGCCACATCCATGTTGGTTTGGGAAGGGCACCCCTCTGCGCAGTTCACGCATTGCTGGCATACCTCTCCGTACGAGGAAATGTCACTGGCCCCTTGTTCCTTCTTGCAAATGGTCAACCTCTGTCTCGCTCAATCTTAACCGATTGGCTGTGGCAAATTTTTCTCTACCGCAGAGATTGAGGGCAATTTTTCCAGCCACAGCTTCGCATTGGGGCAGCCACGGTAGCAGCTCGCAACGACATTCCTGACCACCTGATTCAGGCTCCTGGACGTTGGACTAGCAATGCATACCAGCTTTATATCCGCACACCTTCGGAAGCTCTTACGGGCATCTCTGTCAGCTGGCTTGACATCATGTGTCTTGCCATTGGTTATCCACAGCTCCTTCTACACTGCGGTCGAGTTTAGCACCAAATATTATTGCTTGGGGCTTGCCCTGCAGTTTTTGGTGTTGCTCTCACTGTCAGCTGCTTTCATTTGGTAAGTGTGTCTTTTTTTCGATGCATCGGAGGTTCCATTTCACTCCTGTTCGCTGGCCCCTCCTTTTTCAAGCACCAAGGAGATCCCGGTTGGGTGGGGGCCGCTTGCAGGGTTGCCATGGATACCTCCTCCTCATGCTAGAGCATTGCCCGGCTCCACCAACTTGTAGGCACCAACGCCAAAGCTCATCTATTGGTGATGAGTTTAAATTACTGACAACATGCCCAGCAAGAAACCAATTAAAAATTTCGCTTAGCGTTACCTTAAAGACTGAGGAAAATGGGCGTTAGTTTTGGCGTTAAGTTTCTTTCAAGGAGCTTTCTTTTAGCTTGTCATCAGCACACTGTTTAGTTTTCGGCTTTGTTTGCCGTTGACATTTGACACTGCACTTGATCATGATGTTTCGTTTGCCAGAACGTGAAAACCCTTCCACTTTCCTTGATTTTTTTGAATGAGCAAACCAATGTGAGAAGAACAAAAATACTGCAAATCGCTAACGATGAGTTCTTCCACCAGAAAAATTGGTCAGCTCTTTTAATGTGTGTAGTTTTCATTCAACAACAACGGTAAAATCCAACTTGGCGTACGATCACAAAATAATATTAACTATAATGTTACCTTAATAAATTTTTTTTTTATAGCTTTTTATACAGTCACCACTTGATTTATGAAAGAAAGCTGTTTGGAATTTAACAAAAACAGCGGCAAAATAAGACAACAGTGCATTTGTTAAAGTTTACACATAGTGGCAACTTTAGCTGACAAGATATCAACAACATTGATAAAAATTCAACTCAATCGGCATACGATCACAAAATAATGTTAGCTTAGTTTGTTCTTTGTAACTTTTTATACAGAACACTTGATTTATGAAAGAAAGTTGTCTTGAATTTAACAAATTACAAGCACAACGGGCAAATAAGACAACAGTATATTTGCTGAACAGGCATTTTTTTGCATGACAACACACAGCTGTGTTAGCAAGTGCATAGCAAGTGCTGTACTGTCATGCATACATGGCCTCTATGCTTGAATATTCAAATTGTGTGGTATTCCTGCCCATTGCGGCCATCCATGGCGGAGCATAAAGGTCAAGTGTTTATTAATTGATGAGCATCGAGCGATCATTGTGCACTTGCGATGGGTTTGGGGAGCCAGCGAGCAAGAAACCGGAGCACACTTTACCTGCAGATTACCCGATACCAATTTGGAATGGATTCGTCAATTATTCTCAAATTTATAGTGCTTCCTGGGGAGATGGTCCATTTTTCTTGTAGCTGGCCTTTAATTCTTCTTTAGTGGATTATAAACTTGTACCTACGAGCGCAAAACTCAACAAAATGCCACTTTAACTGGCAAGGAAAGACAAGGAGACCTACAGTTAAAGGTATGTTAGCTTTGTTTTGTTATATTTTGACTTCTGGACTATTTTAGTTCGTGGTAGATTCAACGACTCATCCCATTTTTGTCCATGTTATTGACCCACTCTACGTCTGAGCCACCTGTGGTCGCAGAGGTACAAATTTGTTCGCATGTTGGTCACGGTAAAGCTTCACCATCGATTCTTGAAATCGGTCAAGAATTTTGGCCATGATACAAAATGTACTTACCAGTACACTTTTTAGGCCATCGTACGCTACGTGATTCTCGTAGCGCGTGACAAGAATTGCATATATTTTATAGTGTGCGATGCGATCGATTCATTTCCTGCGAGAGGGTGGTAACTTAATTACTTTTGAGTGGTACTGTAACCTTAAATCTGTATATACCTATCAACTGTTACTTTGTCCAAATAGTCTATTTTTCAATAAACAATGAGATTTCTTGAGGATTTCATGTGACTGGGGTGATTAGATCACATATCATCAGAAACACTGTCTTAATTAATTTTTGCTGGGAAAATTACAAGAGATTACAGACAAAACAAGATACTGATACCAAATAGACATAATCTTTAGTTGTTACTTGAGAATTATGATGAAAATAAAAAATTCAACTACAAAATAAATAATACACTTCTGTAATAATAAAATTCATCCATGCACCTACCTGTATTTGTGACAACTCATTAAGTAGTGCCTGAAAATGTAGAAATTAACTTTTGTAATCAGTGATCAAGAATAAGACACATTGTGCCATAAAATAAATTATTCATTGTGGTTTGCTGAGAAGGGTTTTTTTCATTATTTGTCACACAACGGTCACTTTTTTATTGATTGGGAAGTCAAATGCTTATTGCCAATTTTCATCAGGTGATATGACACTGATTTGCTATAAAGGATATCTACATGTATTATTGGTAGCACCCTACTGCTGTTAGTGATTGTTGCAAATGCTCCTTGCTCATGGCTTAATGTGGAATTTGATCCCCATACATATATAGCTACACGTTTGTGAGTACTTTTACATGTATTCCTAAGTCCCCACAAGAAGTCATAGACAGCCCATCTGATAGGGTGCGATGAAAAATCAGAAATTGTGCCACGTTTAATTTTCAGGGTAGATTGTGGACTATTACACAATAAATTATGCGATTTTTTCAGGGCTATTAATTAACATTGTTTTACCAGGTTTCAAAGGAGAAAAATCACTTAAATGTTGTTTAATTGGCAATTTGAATGTAAAAGAATAATAGAACATCTATTTTAAAACAAAATAGTTAAATTTATCCAATTATCTTGACCCAGAAAAGAAAACAAATAGAAAGAAAGAAAAAGGAGACTTGGTTAATATTACATGACGCCATTACACTGCTGACACACTGCTCGTCTCTGAAATCAAAATGGCTATCCAGATACCATGATTGAGGGTTTCAGATGTCTCAAAGGCTTTCTTTAGTGGTAAATCACCTTAAACAACATTAAGCTTGGGAAAATGTTTGATTAAAAATAGAATTATTTTATTGTTTACTTTCCTTGAATTTAGCATTTTTTTTACGAACTATCAGAGATTCCAATTACCACTGGAGATCTGGATAATCCGGGAGAGTTGGCATGTATGAACTATGTGATTTTCCTCAAATTGCGCAATCGGATGCGATTTGAGGTCAATTGTGCGAAATCGCACTTTCACGTAATATCAGATGGCTGGCAATAGAGGTTCCAAGGATAAACAAAAAATAATGATTCTGCAGGCCAAAAAGATGGTGGAAAATTTGAACTTGTACCTGAGAGCGTGGGCCAGGAATTGGTGTCCTAACCACTGGCTTGTCATACTCCTGAAAAGACGATGAGAAACCGACGATGGCTTGTCTCCTAAAAGCTAATTGCAAATGATAAAGATATATAGTTTTTTCAATTGTAAATTAAAATAAAAAGTTAAAATGGCAAGTTAAGCTGAACAAAAACATGAGTATGCAAAATAACTGAGAACTTAAATTATTGCATTTGCATCATCTAATCTTGCCCAACTAAATAATTACACTCCTCCAGTAATAGGCTACATGTATAATGCTGGTACATGTACTACTCAGCTGCATGTTACTGATTACACTGAATTTAACTGGTGCCTGGGACGCCCAGGGGCCTCCACTATGACCAGCCCCTCTCTACCCCCAGAGAGTGAATTGCTCCCTTGGCCTATTCATGAGCCTCCACAGAGAGTCACAAAGACACCCATGACACTGGCATGGGTTAACAGAGGAAAATGACATCAAAGAGGATGCAAATGAAAGAGCAGAAATGATCAAATGAAAATTGAGCCAATCCTTCAACAACTACATAATTTTGTAGCCTTATCCATTCAGGATGAGAACAATCAACAGATATACACAAGGACAAGGACAATCAGTTTACCAGCACAAAGCCAGGAACTACGCAGGTAAAAGTGTTGGGAAATATCCAGTGAACTAGCAAACTAGCTTCTGTAACAATTGACTTGTAACTAGATCTTATCAGGTGATCTAGTGCTTATGCAATCAAATATCAGAGATCTTTGTACCAGATCTGCCAACCCCTGATAAAGGAAAATCAGGGAAATCATGAAAAAAACATCGGGAGATTGTACAAGAAGAAGTGAGATTCTATTTTTTCTCAATCAAGATTAAACGAACCCTTTTTACATTGGGGGTAATTAACTGTTTATTCAAAAATTTCCCTGCTTCAGTGGGGTCCCTCTTGTAACAAATTAGATGTCTCTTTTTCTTTGACCAATGATGAATTGTTTCTTCCCAATAAGCCATCTTTGATTTGTGGCAAAAGGCTTAAACAGGCACTAGCATTACCATGAAATTTCTGTTTTTATTCAACAAGGTAACATTTCATTTCAAAATGATCAGTTTCCAAAAAAAATGTGAGATTGGGAGTCTTGTCGTGGGGCCGTGAGAAAAGTTACAGAATTGTGAGACTGATCCAGCTTGAATCATGAGAGTTGGCAGTTCTGTTATACACCCCTAGAAATGTGCCCTGATCAAACCTTACTGTTTCCTCGCTACAAATCTGGTGCTTCAAAATTACTTCACCAGGGGCGTAGCATTTACGACATGGGTCCAATGGTTGTAAAAACCTTCATACAAAATAAGTTGAATAACATTTTTGAGACCATTTCAACAACACGCACATGGGTCCAATGGTTGTAAAAACCTTCATACAAAATAAGTTGAATAACATTTTTGCTTTCCTTTAATAAACATAATTGGCAGTTTAATACAGGCTTGTTTTCAATATAATGTGATATCAAAAAAAACTTTTAAAACGTTCTTCTTTGATCTGAGCTGCTACAAGAATGGTCCAAGAATGTTTACCGGCACAATGCAAGGCGACACTCCTTTTTTGTGCAGAAATTTGCATTGGAGCCAGTAAAGCATTGTTTGAAAGAATTGCGGCATGTGCATGTTTGTGTAAATTTTCCGCATGCTTAGTTCTTTGTTGACTTTTTGAGTTTTTCCCTAATTTTCAATTATGACCGGAGCACGGGAAAGGAACAAACATTATTGATAGTCACCATGCATTTATTTATTTTCAGTATTGTTCTGAACATTTTAGTTTGTCAATGAAAAAATACTACATCTGTTTACTAGGAGTAAATTTCTTGTAAAATTATTGATGATACTGCGACACAGGTGCACCTAATAGTTTGCTTCAGCTTACATGGATTATCGTTGGTAGGGCTTTCTTAAAGTTGCTTGAGAGTTCCTAAAAATATTCCCGTTTATTCTCAAAATGTTGCTCAAAACTTGCTAAAAAAGAGTCAAAAGTTGCTTTTTCTAACAAAGGTTTCTCAAAAAAACAAAACTTTCTTTTTTGTTGCTCTCTTCCTTTAGTCTGATGCAAAAATATATCTGCAAATTGTACAAGAAAAGTGAGATTTCTAACCATTTTTGTGCAATTTTGTGGCATAATTAGCATTGCTAGATAACTCTGTCCACAATCAGGAGCCCATAAACCACAATTAAAACCCAAAAATGTATCAGTAAAGACTAAACATCAATATTAATATTAATCTGGTAAAATTTCTAGTAATGAGCCATTAAAATTGTTGAATGACCTTTTTCACCTGAGACAGTTGAGTGTGAATCGTCGTCCACCATCTTGAATTTTGTTCAAAAAAACCTCTGACCTAGCAGCCCAGCTGCATCTTATCTTGTGCCCATGATCTGCCCCAGGGGTGAGGTTCTGGCTCCTTTTTCATATGAAATTCATAAATTTTCTACTAAAACACTGTGAAACATGGAAGCTGTGAGGCCAATTTAAGCTGTTGGCCAGAACCTCTTTAGAACCTCTAATTTGATAGGTTCTTGTTGGCCCGAAGCTCTATTGTTTCAGAGTTGCGGTTCATTGTTAGTTTTGTTTGGGTTAGGGCTATCTATTGTTTTCGAACAATCCTGTGAACCATTCTTAGAGCCTAACTTCTGGCCTACCCAATTTAAACACTAAAAGTTGCTCAGATATCCCAGAATTAGTAGAAAACTAGAGAAATTGCTCAGAAATTATGCAAAAAGTTGCTTGAAACGAAAAAAGTTGCTTCAAATACTAGAAGTTGCCAAAAAGTTGCCTGCAAGCAACTTCTGGAAAGCCCTAATCATCAGCCTGGTTTAGTCCATGATTTTCCAGTTGGGTGACATTAAAGTAGTCTTTTCTACTCCCTAATACGGAGAGAGAGAAAAACTGAAAATATGAAAAGCTTTTGAATGGGAAATCTTTCCACATAAATCTTAAAAGGAGTGATAATCAGTAAGCGTCTATTCTTTTCCGATTTTGATGAATACGCAATATACTGTGGAATCACTTGAAGGCAAACAAGTGAAGAATGTTTCGACTTCATTACATTCCACTACTCAAACTGTTGTATTTTACCTGTACAAACAATGCAAAATAACAGCAAGACAGACAGGATCAAATCTGCACAATACAAAGTCGAGTCATGACACCACAAAAATTTAATGGCTTTTGCTTATGAACAGAAAATCTTTTAAAAAATCCTACAAATTTCTCAAGTATGCATGTCCATCTCTCCTGTCATCGGACCAAAATGTCAAGTAAATTGAACAAGATGAGTGGAAATGAGAACAAAATTGCTGAGGGGGAGTGGGGAAGGGATGAAACCACGAAGCCTATCAGAAGGCACATCGTCCCAACTTCTTTTGTGCTCCATTGTCTGAAATCAATTTCAATTGAGCAATGAAATGAAATTTTCCTTGACTTTTACAACAAAGAGCTTGGACAAATTTTACTTTACATATAAATGTCAAATTATGTGTAGTTTTGTTAGTCCACATGTAGACTAATGCCTATAAAGTTGAGCTCAAATTCTTCAAGAGCCTGAGGCGCAAGCAATAGATTTTTTATCTTTTCTGTGTTATAAAAAGCATTTGGCAGAGTTGGAGCTCGCATTCAGTTGTTTTTTTTGCGCTATAAAGCTAAGGTCCCCCAAAAAAAATTGCATCAAGTGCTGAAGGCATTTGTTCATCATGGTTATTTTAAAGTTTACAAAAAAAAAACTGAAAATTTTGCTGAAGGTGTTCATCATGGTTATTTAAAGTTTGCCTAAAAGGATTAATAAGTGTGTCAGTCTGTTAGTGAGTTGAGAAGTTCTTTGAGATGGGGCCAAGCTAGACCCTATCATGTAATGGTCAATGAAAGTTGAGAAGAGCACAGTAACACCTATTTCTATTTATTCCATAATGCCCCTAAAAATAAAGTAGCTGTTTTAATTACAGGGAGGCAACACCGGCAATCTATATGTATGTGTAACTGTTTGCGTGTTTGTACTTGACTGCTTTACTGTGCACTATTAACAGGTTTTTCACAACCAGCAGAATGGCTCTTTTGTGGACATTCTGCAGGATAATCCTGCAAAAATGGCTGCAAAATTTTAGTGGGAGGGATATAATCTGTCCCCACCATAAAAACCTATAAAATGGCGATGATGGCCCGCGTGGGGTATATACAAAGAAACATACAACTGACGTAGGGCAAGCCGTTTCTCTTTAAATTTCTTTCCAATTTTTGGAAACAATCTCTTTTCAGTTCGTACGGAGCTCTTAAAAACCTCCTTTTTTCCCCACACAAATCATGCATGTCAAGGATTGTTGCGCAACGGCACAACATAATTATATTCCAGGCTTTTTTATACATTTGTAATGTATTCATGTAGTTGTCAGACTAATTCTCAGCATTGTTTATCGTCTTTACCTATAAAAAGGTCTATTAGTCCGCAGTCAGAGCATTTTCGAGTCGACTGCTCTTCACTTCGACCACAACTAACGAATTACTGAACGCACTTATTTAACTTTCGCGCTGGAAACTTAATTAACCAAAACATGCCACTTACCACCGGTTAGCAATATTGAGGACTGTAGCAGACTCAAAACATGCCTACTTCTTGTTCTCAAGAGAGCCATTCCCAGGTCGATGGAAAACTCAAAAATCCCGGCAGTGGTCAGTGAAGTAATAATTTTTGCCAAGTTACATGGCTTGCACACAGAGATCACGTGTCAGATTAGGCGTTGCGTGACGAGTGGTGGTAAGGTAAATCCCTATCCCCAAAATTAGACTTTTAGAAGACAAAGTTTAAGCATATGGAATCTGTTTAAGCATTTCACAACAATGCTTACATCGTTCACCTGCCCGTCTGCAAGTCTGTGGTCGAGATATAGAAAGGATTCCTATAAAGAAGCTTCTTTTTGAGCCTACTTCCCCCCGAGGGGGCACTTGGGTATTTTTTGGGTGGGTATGTGCCGCACGGGACTCCAAATTGACACCCCGTTCTAGAAAAAATTTCCCCTAAAATTGATACCCCGTTCTAGAAATGGGT